TTGTACCCACCATACATAAGCGCGAGGTCAGTTACCGATTGGTAACCTTACCATCGACTGACCTGGCAATTTTGTAACCGACCTCGCTGTTTTCGCGCTACCCCATTATGCGCTTCTTAGATGATGACAACCTGCGAGCTCCGACATTGAAGATTCAATTCGCAGGATCCTGTACCTGTATCCGGTATCCGAGACACGAGACACGACAGGAGATCCAGCTTATTCCTGGGATCCCAGATCGCCAATGCATTGCTTGTTGCCCAATCCCACTGTTGCTATTCGTTCCATGGGGCGGAACAAATTAACTGACTCACTCTGCTGCCTTTTAGAAAGCGAATCTTCCTGCATGCCCGAGCAGCAAATCAATTGAGAATTCAAAGTTGCTGCATGTCAGTGTGCATCTTTACGTTTATGCATAAGCATTAGCAGTATGAGTATGAGTGCTGACATCAATACAAGTACTAGTGCAAGTAATACTAGTGGCAGCCGACTAATTCCCTTTGCAGTCAATCTGTGGCTAGTGGAAGGTCCCGTTGTGAGCTTCTATGGGTTTCCTTATCCCACACGAATGGCTGTGATTTCAATACCAGATTCTTCGATGGATACCAGCACCGAAGTGAGTAAGTGTTCATGGATTTGGTCCCCTATTTCTCTGGACGACGAACTTGCCAGTGAAGTGGAGAGAACTGCAGGCCCTGTGAAGCACATTGTCAGCCCCAATTGTATTCATTGGCTATTCATGAAAGAGTGGCAAGATCGCTTTCCTCAGGCCAAAATGTACGCTTCACCGTGCCTTCAGGAGCGTGAGTGCGCAGCGGGCTTGAAATTTGAACCTGTTGAAAGCTTTGACGAACCGCATCCGTCTTATGCTGCTGAAATCGACCAAACCGTCTTTGACGGAGGTTGGCCCAAGGAAGTTGTTTTCTTTCACAAACCCTCCAAGACTGTCATCTTTACTGACTTGATCCAAAGACAACCCATCGAGTCACTCACCGGAATCAAGGGATGGATCATGAAGATGGATGGAGTGGGAGGAGAGAATGGATCCACTCCCAGAGAGTGGCGTTTGCTATTTCGACTTGGGCGAAAACGAGACAAGGCCAGACAGACACTCGATCACATCCTGCTGGACTGGAAACCAGAAAAACTCGTCATTGCTCACGGACAGTGTGAACAATCCAATGCCGCAGCTGTTGTGGAAAGCTGCCTCCATTGGATCCCTCCCAAACACAATGAATATAGGCACTGAACAACATGTAACCGCACCGTATCGTTTTAGAATGCCTTGCACTCGAAAAACTAATTGCCCAGAGGGCGTTGATTCTTGCAGTCCAGTAATCTTACGCGTTACAGGAAGTCGGATGCCCGCCAAGGAACCCTACAGGCGGCCGCAACGCCTGAGACACAAGCCAACTGGCCACCATACAAGCAAGTAGACACCAACCAATCAACCGATATATATTTCGATTTGGTGTTCTTCGATTCTGGCTAGAAGCTCCTACTCATGCCTTTTCGATGAAGAGGCCACACACAGGCGGAACTTGTCAGACAGCCACAATGACAGGATGCAGGGACAGTCTTCTAGGTCATACGGTCTTCTACTAGGTACTCCCGTAATGTTCAATTGTGGGGAGACTAGTTGCCCTACTGTGTTTCAAAACAATCTGAAGTGGACGTTTTGGGCCTTGGCCGTGGATGCACGAGATTGGTTTCAATGGCACCGCACCTACTAGAGCTATAGAGCCAGACCTATACTCTTCGTCAATGAGCTTTGTAAGCTTGGGTAGCTGCTGGATGGTTTGCTTTTCTTGCGGAAAAAGCAAAGAGCATCTTTTTCCAACACTGGTGACCGAGTCTTGGTGGCAAAAACGCCATGCTCCTTCGGCGTGCTTGCATTTGTACGGTACTGCTGCTTGAGTGGTCGATGCTCGAGGTAGAAAGAATCTGTGAATCGAATCTGCCTGTCAATAAAATCAAGAAAGTTCGGAACTTTCTTTCCCCAAGGACGCTGCCTGTGCTACCAGGGAGGCACCTAGCTAGGAAGACTCCGTGGGATGGCCATTGATGCTGCTATTATCAAGCTTATTATCATTGAAGGGGGGCATCATTTTTGCAACTTGCGGTACCACTGACAGTATTTTGGATAAAAAGTGAGAAGCAATTGCGAATTGTGAAAAGCGATTGAGCAGCGATTGAACAGCGCGAACTCACATCGAAACTGATGTTCTTCCCACCTAAAGACTTAGTAAGAGCTTAAAAGAGTTCTCCGAGGTGTTCTGTCCTTTGGCTCTCTTTCTATCAAATTTATGTCCCTTTCTTGGAACATGCTGTGGACCAGTGGAACCTTGAGTTGTCTGTATACTAAATCTTGACTTCACTTCTATTGTCCAGAAGCATCCAGTTCTCGTTCTGTTCGCATTCGTTTTCTAAAGGCCACGTCTGGAGTACGGTCACTCGGAAGAAGGCCACTGTCCAGCTGAAATTTCCAATGACTGCGTTCGGCCTGGTGTTTCGGTACTAGTACATGTACAGTGTAGCTAATAGTACCGCTACAAGTAAAAGGTGCTGGTTTCGGCGTTGCTGCGGCCACCGTAGTTGTTGGCCACTTTACTTGCTGACCACTCCAGTACGGTACTATACCCAGTTTGTATGTTTATTGTTTATTTATTCAGTTTGTTTGTTCCTAGTGTTGTTGATTCGGGCATGCAGATGGAGTTGAATACTTTGCATTTGGTTGTGGATGAGCCTCTGCATCGTCGTACTGATATTAATACTGTTACCACCCTTACTCAGAGTGACAGTCACACTTATTGCTTGCTCGAGCCCATCACTCGAAATCTCGAGACTCACAATTTGGAACTTCGCAACTCGTGAACCCATCTATCAGGATATCAGCAAGTCGAACCAGAAGAACTATTACTAGTAGAAGAATGAGCAGCGCTGCCTCTACCAACAACGCCAACGCCAACGCCAACACTACCGATACGGGCAACGCTGGAAACGGCAAACCACGGAGTTTGACCAAGATGCTCAATCTCAAGATCCCCCTGCTACGATCTCGTTCCCGCAGCGGCAAGCAGCAGCTTCCCGGGCGTTCCAGCAGTGACGGCAAGTCATTCTTCCGTCGCGTTTCGGATCGCCAGTTGGTCCGCAACATTGCTTCCCATGTCATTGCCGAGTTGCACCAGAAGCAAAGCAACATGTACGGATGCAGTGCCACCTTTGTAGAGAGCAGCAGCTCTGCTTTCTTGGTTCCCTTTGAAGATACCCAGGTCGATCAGGTACATGTACACCCGTTCAAAGACGAACTGGTCGTGGCTCCCCTCCACCGCAAAGAACTCGAGGTTGGTGAGCTGCTCGGTTCGGGGGGCTTTTCGGAGGTCTTTAGCATCCAAGCTGTTCAACTCAAGAACAGATACATCAAGCAGGAGCGTGTCAGTCTCAGTGCCGCGGAAAAGGAAGCCAGACAAACGATGCAAGAGGACGTGACCAACTCCACCTCTCAAGATCAGGCAGATAAAGATGGAGGAGAGAACCAATCTTTGGTCGTCAAGCATCTCAAGAGTGAGCTCCTGGACAACCCAACGCGATTCTACCAAGCTGTCCTAGATCTAGAGCAGGAAGCCAACTTTCTAGCAGCCATGAATCACCCCAATATTGTCAAGCTACGAGGAGTTGCCCTTGGCGGCGCCGGTTCTCTCCGTAGCGGTCGTCACAACGAGTTCTTTCTGGTCATGGATCGATTGACCGACACTCTGGCCAACCGTATTGATCAATGGGAAGAGCTGCCGACCAACAACACGTCAGCTCCTGTGCGAGTCCCCAATATCGAGGCAATTGTGGACTATGCGACGCAGTTGGCGTCGGCATTGGGTTATCTCCACCAACGACGCCTCATCTTTCGCGATGTCAAAGCCGACAACGCGGGATTCTTGCCTTTGTCTTCCTCCTCTCTCTACCCCTTTGACCGTCTGCAACTCTTTGATTTCGGGCTGTGTCGCCAGCTCCCAGCTCAAAGGAATTTTAACATTGATCCCGAACAAACCTGCTACAACATGTCAATGGCAGGCACCATGAGATACATGAGTCCCGAGATGTTGCTCGGCCAAGGATACAATCGCAAATCTGACGTCTACGCCTGGGCCATGACCGTAGTGGAAATGATTTCCAGGAAGAAACCATACGAAAACATTGACAAAGTTGAACAATTTTTGGATACTGTGTGCAAGCAACATGAGCGACCCTGTGTGTCAAACTATGTGTTGCCTCCTTCCTTGGTTGTGACGTTGGAGCGTGCCTGGTCTCCCTCCGTCATCACCAGGGCTACCATGATGGATGTACTCGATCAGTTGCTGGAGGTAATTGATCAAATGGGCGACTGGGATGTCGAGGAAGAACTTGAAGCAGACATTGACAGCTCCATTACCCTTGCCCGGGCTGCCTAATCGGTGACTGGCTGTATTCACAATTCCACTCATTCATAACATCACGTAGTGTAAACAAGTAGAGTTTAGAAATATACATACATCATACATGTAGTCTACTTTGTATCGATAGACATGCCCCGAGCTGTTTCTGTGATCAGTTCCTTGTGACTTGTCCAGCCGGAAATGGAGTAGAGCTGCAGCTGGAGGTGGACGCGCCGACGGCATGGCAAAGCAAGTCCCCAATACCTGTAGATCGTTTTCCGAAGGCATGCACGAGAGCATCAGAAGCGACGAGAGTTTTTGTTTTGACGGTATACAGCTACGATGAAGCTGGCCGGTCACGGAACGGGATGCCACCTTGTCCATACAGTACAGTCAAGCATGGATTGGATTCCACAATAGCTAGACTATAATACTATTAATAGTAGAAGGTCACATAGCCGCTCCGTAGACAGCTTGATAAGACGACCCAGTCCACGTAACGGCACACCGTACAGCCACAACCACGAGACTATCCCCACGGAGCTTTCACTACAGCATAGATGTCATTGTAGTTGTTTGTTTGGAAGTTACATTATTTAGTTATTTAGTTATAGAGTACATAATTTTAAAGTAGCATGGATGAATGAATGAATGAATGAATGAAGTATGGATGTATGTACATCATGTATGATGTATGGCGGCATCTGGCGGAGTGATGAAAATTGCCAGCAACGTCATGTGTTGTGCGTTTGCGCCTTGTTGTTGTTTGCTCATTATTTGCTTGTGATCCAATCGTTGTCGCGTGGACACTACTGGATTCCCCCGTCCCACCATTGCATGGGTTGATTTCGAAACCGATTTGCCGTGAGTGTGATTGGCGGTTCAGGTTGTGACGTTGTTGTAGATGCTGTTGATGGTGGTGTAGTTGGTGGCAAGAGCATTGCTTTGTGCATGCCATCCTTCCACAGCGTAGGATGCAATAGAAACATGGTGCATCCGTATAGCATGGCTCCTCGTGTCATTGCGCCAAAGGGAATGGCTCTTGAAATTGGATTAAGTCCATGTAGTGGTTTTGTTGGTTTTGGCAAACAAGCAAATACAGATCCAGCTAGTGCACTTCCAACGACAGTGTTCCATTCATCGTCTTTTTTTCGAATGGTCTGTACAATCAACCTGGAAGCTCCAAATACGGCAGACATTTGTGCCCATTCAATTCCAAACTGTAATGACTGTGAATGCATTTGCAGAGTCTGTTGTGAGAATGATAGTATCGAAGAATATGGTAGGACTTGGTTGATGGAAGCAGCTGGTGAAGTGCCCAAGTAGGCTGCAGTGGAAGTAGTACTGTGCATAGTAGAGGCCAAGGTGGGCCTGGTGTAAGAGAGTAGTCTCCTGGCAATGGCAGAGGAAGTAGCCAGAGTGTATCCTCCTACAAAACCACTCCAACTTTCTTGGATGGTTCCAGTGGCTATCCTCTGTAGGTGAGTGCCATAGGTACTAGTACTAGTAGAAGCACTAGTAGAAGCACTAGCAGACCCAGGATGGTTGGTGATGACGTCACTAAAGATGGCTCTGAGAGAAAAAGATCTTTGAAGCCGAGTTTGCAATCTGGTGGCTCTTTGGCTGAACTGGGTGAATCCTGTACTACTAGTACTAGTACTAGTAGCAGTAATGGATTGCCTGGGTACCGTCCATCCAAGAGCCGCTTGTCCGTGTTTCGTAACTTGCGTAAGTTGTGTACCAACTTTTACGGGGACTGAAGACACTAAAGACACTGAGAGTTGTCTCTTCAAGAATGGAATACGCAATCCACCACTGGCAGCACTAGCAGCACTAGCACTGGTGGAGACCTTGGAAGTCTGTTGGAGAGATTTGAGAAGAGAAGAAGAAGTGGAAGCTCTGCTTTTACTGAAACTACACAGCAGCAGTACAAACACCAACAGACAGGATGATGCGCTCTTCATGATGGCAGTTGCAATTTGCAATGTTGCAATTTGAATGATGTTTAGAAATTGTGAGACAAGCCAAAGACAGCCAAAAGACACATCAAACTACTAGTAGCTAGTAGTTATTGGCGGAAGAGCGCCACAACCTGGATTGCGTTGCATGGGGAATACTAACTCTCCTACGGCGCGGTACGAGTGCGAACCTGTACGGACACAAGTTCAAGATCGCTATTCGGCTGACGTTTGCCTACTGACTGGTCGTAGAAAACCTACCAGCTCCTACACAAACCGAACCAACACCAACGACGATTGCGTCATTGCGTCATTCGTATTCTTGTCCAAAAAGGACAAAAACCAGCAAGAAATCTTAGCTATCCACGTTTGCAACGGAAAAAGACAGTCAAGTTGCTTTAGAACAAACTTGGCGGTCATACAAGTGATCAGATCTTTGTTTCAGCTCGAGATCTCGAGGATCTTTGCTTTCCTCGATTTGCATTTTGTCATGACGCACCATCCATAGAATCTGTCGACCTGATCAGTCGCCGCAAGGCCCGCGCCAAAGCCATCGCAGTGCCTGAACTGATCGTTGCTTGCTGGATGAGGAGCGAGGACCGAGGACCGAGGAGCTCGGGATTCGATTCCGTGATACCGGCCGTACTGCAAAACAGATGGATCTCGAGCAACACGAGCAATGCTACCGGTACCGGTACTACCGGTACCGATCGATCGCACGCACCTCTCTGGCGCTTAGCTAGCTTAATTAAAGCATGCAGCCAACCGAGAGAGGACTTGATCCGCCGCCGGTACCGGTACTATTACCATGAGCATCACAGCGCCGTGGCAAAGGAACCACAAGCAAGAATGGATGTCCTACGTTGCATGCCGTACCGTAGTACTTCGAAACTTCGAGGACATACCAACGATTGCACACGACTCTTCTACTGTCGTGCCATCGACCTGCCAAAGCATACTCGTAGTACCGTACGAGAAAAACATGCTACAGTACGCGGTACCTTACCAGTACACTGTATGGCTGGACAACAGATCCTTGAAATATATTATATCTACCCCCGTATACCTCCCTTCAGCGCAACCACCCGACCTCAACGAGTCGAGTCGAGGCGAATCATTCCATGCTCTCCTTCATCACTCGCATTTCATTCGCCTTCACAGTAGCACCCCAGTCAGAATACAAAAACTGAGCTTGACCAAAACGGTATTTCGCATCTTCCAATTCCCCTACTTCATTCAAGTATATCGCAAACCGCTCATTCGATAGAGCTTGAAGATGGGTTAGACCACGACGTCCGGCCAAAAGAACAGCAACCTCAAAACTACGGACTGCAAGGGCTCGATCCTTTTGCATGGCTCGATGTTCGGCCTCCAGCAGCGATTCATCTGCATGGTGGCAGCCAATATGGTTGATTGCGCAAGATAGCAAGATAGTTATTAGTGAGGCATGAACAATTTTCCAACAACGGATCGGTGCGAATCTGCATGGTGCGAACTTACGAGCAACACAGTTGGGGTTTCCTTTCGAAACCCATGACTTCATCTTTTTTCGGCAGAACGTGGCATGCTTTCGAAGCTTCTTGTTCCCACCAGTCTCGCGTATCACTGCCATGGAAGAGAGCGCGCTGACAAAAATTGATTCCAAAACAATGTTGTGGGCTGCCAAGAGCTTCACGATCTTGGGGATCCATTCCAATGACAGCTCTGCCGCTTCCCGGTGGTGGCCCAAGTAGCAGGCAAGCCAGATTTGAGCCCAACGAAGAAAACACTCGACAACTGGATCCTTCTTCTCCCTCGAGAAGGATACGACCTCTTCCTCATTCATTTCATCCGGCAAACCACGAAGTCGAGTGATAATGTGTCTGTTGGGTTTCGTCATTAACGCTGCCTTGGCAGCTCCACATTCATCCATTTGGCGAATGTACGTTGAATAATCGGCATGAAGAGTCTTCAAATCCAGGCCCGACCAGAAGCAAAATGACAAGTAGAAGTGGATGGCCCCAAAGGCTCCATCCGCAGTCAATGTACCGGTTTTCATCCCTGTCTCGTACCCTTCACGAAGAGTATTCAGACAGTCCTTCAAGGGAGTAGACCAATGAATGCAAAGGCCGTACGCCAGCATAATGCAACGTGAATTGATCCGCGGAAAGTCACATCGTCTCATGATCATGACACCAGCTTCCCCGCAGACTTTGGCACTTCACCGGCAAAAACGGCAAAACAGAAACGTACAGAAAAGGAGAATAACGGAGATGAGATGAGTGTTCCATCAAATGCGAGAGACTCGGTTTCAAATAATAGGAGCATGCAAGAACTCACGTTTCAAAGTCTTCAAAGACTCCTGCAAATATCAACCCAACGAAAGGATACGCAGCTGCTGAGTACGCATTCAAACCAAGCGTCTCAGAGCACTTTGTTGACTCAAGGAGGACTAGAGGAAGGAGTTCTGGCTTGGCATGATAGACTGCCGATGCAAACTTGTCCAGCATCCGCATAGTTGCCAGCGTCTTTCTGTCAGTGGTGATTGGTTTTTTCGACAATGCTTCCTTTGACAGCTTCTTCTTGAGTTGCAGCTTTGCGTTGAGTAGACCCGACAACGTCTTGGTAGTGATTCCCAGTTTTCTTTTTGGGAAGCGACGTCCCAAATCCTTCAAGATCTTTGATCCGAGCAAAACCCCTTTGTTGCTGTTAAAGGTACTCTCATAGACATCCATCATTGTGTGACAAATGTCGACCTTGTCAAGCAAAGGGACGTACGGTCTTCCAAGGACTTGGTCTGCGTGTGTTTGTACACGTTCTAGATCTCCCGTGCAAAAATCTGCTGCCGCAGCCATGGTGAAGATTTCCGCCGAAAGCTCCTCATTTTTAGCCCAATGACTGTCAATCAACAAGCTGACTGCCGTCTTCAAGTGAAGCACTGCTTGTTCAAAAGCTGAACATTCCAATGCCCTTCTGCCTGCCGAAGCATTCATTTGGATGATCTGGAGACGTTTTGGGTCACTTGGGGCAGTTGTCTGAAGGTTGACGAGAGGGAGGGCTGCATGTATCATATATCCTAGTTCTTCTTGGCGCCCTGCGTATAGATCCAACAAGACGTTTCCAATAGCAATTTTCAACTCTTGATTGGCAAAGAGAAGGGCGGCTTGTTGGATCTGGTCATGAACAAATCGAGTGTTGTCTGGACTCCCTGGGACTGGTTCTAGGAATCCTTCCTCACAACATTCCCGTATAGACGTAGCCGCATCGAGAGTGTCATTTGCGTCTTCATCTTGGTCTGTCATTTGTTGATGTTCTCGTAACCGTTCAATGACATCTACCACAGCAGCAGTAGGGAACATGGAACCTAGGCATGCCGCCACTGGCAGGACACTCAAAGCAGTTGCATTGTCCTGTAGTTTCCCCTTCATGAGATCGCCCACGTTATCAGTGGATTGATAGTTCGTTTTGATTTCGTTAGCATCGGACCATACCCATTTCATGAGCCCCAAACTGAATGACAAATGCTGATCATCTCGAAGACGCATAATGAACTGTACGACAAAGAACGCATTTCCGAGAGCTGCACACAAGTTTATGAAAAGCAAGACGAGAATGAGCACACAACTAGTACGATGGGGTTGATCGTTGATCATTGATCATTGATCATGACGTACTCTTTTCGTGTACGATCTTGGCCAGCTCCAGAGTTTCGTTGAGGTCCGAGCATGAAATGAGTGCAGACAGTAAGGAGTTAACGTCTTGCACTGTCAAGTTTCCCACTGCTAGTTCTTCCAGGAGAAAGGCTTGGTTGTCGCTGTTGTTATTGATGTCGCTGTCGTTCTGCTTCAAATCGCACAGCATCTTGCTCAATTCATGTTGCTGGTTGACCTCATTGGTTCGATAGCATAGTACAACTAGTACTGTTCCCACGTCGACGTCATTGCAAGTGTCAGTTGTTTCCGTGAGCAAAGCTTTGATCCATTGGAAGGATGCAGCATCGGCCCATTGACAATCATCAATGAGAATGGTAATGGGACAATGTGTTGCCACAATGCGTATAAAGTGTCGAAAGACATAGTGCATTTTGGAGGCTTCTTCTTTGTAGGATGTCGCATCCTTATTGCTTGCCTGGGGCTCTTGGGGTTGTTCTGAACTTGCTGTTGCTGTTGCTGTTACTGTGGCTATGGATAGTATGTCTGCAAATGCAGGAATAGCTGCCATCAATGCTTCCTTTTCCGTCTTGTCCAACTCTTTGGCTAGTGTGTCAGTGATGTCTTGTAGGAAAACCTTGTTGCAAGTACCAGTACCGGAATTAGAAGTGGAGGACGATCCAGTGCCAGTGCCAGTACTACTGATACTGATAGTGGAAGCAGTACTAGTCCCAGTAGAGTGGAGGAGAGGCTGTCCTTGTCTCAATGGCAATTGCAATATTTGCTGGCAGAGAGCATCAATGACATGTTCAATGCAAGCAAATGGATCTTCATTCGTATTGCCAAGTTCACATTTGTAAGCGGGGAAAAGTCCAAGTGAAAGTCCAGTGGCCATGGTTTCTAGGTTGACTGCCAATGCAGTCTTGCCACTGCCAGAGAGTCCATTGATGGTGAGCAATCCCCGTGTGAATGTCTGCTTGGTGAGAGACTTGGCAAGCCGTTGAAGGGTATCTAGCTGTGTGTCTCGTCCGTACAAGGGCAGATCAGCAAATCTCAGCGTACACAATGCCAGATCCATTTCCTTGAGTCGATCGCTGGTGCGTTGTTCGAAAGACGACCGTGGCTTCAGGATCAGACCTCGATCTACATCTCCTCCATCTCGACCTATACTAGTAGATCTACCTGTATGTGTACCTGCATGTGTACTGCCAGATAGCGACGCATTCGAATTGGCATTGGATGACCGTGACAGCACTTGAACTGCTGTGACCGTTGCTGTAGCTGTAGCCGTTGCTGCCATGTCCTCGTCGATCGTCAGAGTACTCACATCGTTCCAGGCGCCATTCAGGCTACCAGTACTACCGGTAAACAAATCCCGATCCCGTGTACCGGTACATGTACCTGAAGTACCTGCACCTGTACTCCAGTCACTATTCATGCAAGCATTGCCAATATTGAAGTTGCTCCTGTTGCTGCTTGACCGGGCTCTTGCTAACATGTTGTATGTAGACTTGCGGTGGCTATGATATCTATCTATTGTCGGCGGTCGATCAAGAGAAACAAAATAAATGATGATACTAGCTAGCTATAGCAATATACCACTCCAGTACCTGTTTTTATGTTTTATCACCGCTGGTTGGGGTGGCTGTGGGCTGTGGGGTTCGTTGTTGCTGTTACAGTGGCGGCTGTTTTGTGGCTGTTGCGTGGAGTTGGGTCACTTTGTGTTTCGAGTGACTATTTATTTATGGACACTCGAGGTAAAAGGCTGTTGGCCATTGGCTGTTGGTTCCTGGGGCCTTCTTAGACTGTAGCGGTACTGCCCACGTGGCGTTTCTTATGGCTTTGGGGAAATGAACGATTTTTGACTAGACTTCGGTCATTTCATAGAGTTAACGCCTTTGGAAACAGTGCCAGAAAGGAAGACATCGAGCACTGAGAATAAATCCTCGTAGGCTCTTGTACATTTTTACAGACAGGAATCTTTTATAAATATAGTGTTAAGGATAATCTCTTGATGAAGTCAGTGGTGTAATGACTAAAGGCACGTGGGGGGGGGGGATTTGACCCTACCACCACACCCACAAACGGCATTTCACTTTCTTGCTTTCTTGTCCTCGACCCAGGGAGACCCACCAGAGTGCTGCCTACCTATTAGTAATAGTTGGTCCAGAGTAAGTAGAGTATGTATCTGGCTAAAAGAGAGAAAGCTTACAAAACTCTGCAAAAAACGTATCTCTAATACATTATCAACTCTCAAAGGAATGATTCGAATCGAATCCGAAACGTAAAATGAATGATGAATCGTTGCTTCAATCATCTAATCGGATGGATGGACGCGCCATGGTGAAGCATAGCATCTGCAAACGAAATGGTGAGAGGCTACTACATGTACCTGGTACTGTAGTAACTAAACGCAGCTCATTCTTCGGCTATCCTTTCCACGACGGCTTTTCCCACGCGATAACAGGGATTTCGACGACGCGGACGAAGAAGAGGACGGGGTTCGTTCCGCCAAAGGGCGAGTACATGTAGACACAGACATGGCTTCTTGGGAGCAGTCCTCAGCCTTGCTTTTCTTGCTGCTACGTTTCACGGCAGTTCCAGCGTCCATGGATTTGGCACGTCGGAAACTTCGCTCTCGTTGAATCTGAGAGTGCTGCTTCTTGATTCGAGCTGCTCGCTTCGACAACCTGGTGCCGCCAGTACTATTTATATCAGTACCAGTACCAGTACCAGTACCAGTACATGTGGGCGCACCACTGACTCGTCTCCCTTGGGGGCTACCGGTACCTCTACCGGTACTAATAACTACCGGTAGCGTAACGGGATCACCACTCATCTCATGGAAGGGATCAACAACATCTATGGGGAGACATAGGTCGTCACTGGACCACGTATCAGTACAGGTAGTTGATATTGGAGTTGCCACGATATTCATGTTGATCTATGATTGGAGACGTCGCTGGAGGCAAACAGAGTTTGCAAATTGAAATTGTGAGCCCATACAAAAAGAATCGAATCTCCAGCGCAGCTACTAGTCTAGCTAGGGCCCCATGTAGCTGCATGTAGAATGTAGAGGACCCCCAAGCCCCCCTTCTAGACACCCTCTACAGTAGTTATTAATAGGCCCAATCTAAAAAAGGCTGTACCGGTACGGAGGCTTCCGGTCATTAGCTGTTCCGATACTGGTCAAATAAATTACGAGCTAGGAGTAGTCTAGTGCGTCTCTTACATGCATGCACAGCAGCTATCATAAGTAGAGGGTCTACATGTACCCGTTTCACTTCCGTACCGTAGAGCATTCTTTATTGGCTTCTTGTTGTTGCGTCCCGCAATTGAAATTAATTTAAAAGGCTTGTTCTCCGACGTACACTGTAAAACTTCAAAACGGCTGCCCCAGGGATTTTGAAAAGCACAACGCACGTTATGTGTACCAGTACCGGTAGGGTGTGCTGGTACCTCTGCTTTCTGTACCGACGCTGCACTCGCTCCTGGTGGCCACTGGCCAGCCGTGTCACAGCCTGTCAGATAGCTGGCCGGATAGATGATGATGGCGTTGCCGACAGTTCAGCAACTGCTCAGGGGCAGTTCAGCAACTGTTGGGATGCGGTCTGAAGGTAACAGCTCTGGGTTTACTCGTACTCTAGCTAGCTAGCTACCGGTAGCTAGTTTTTGTCGGCCTTGATCAATAACTAGCGATCGCGGGCCTTCATAGACGAGAAGCAAGCAAACCGGACAAATAAGAGTTGCGGCTACTTGAATTGCAGAAGTTCCGTTCCGTTGACATGCCTCCCTGGATCCCAATATTCTCTATAGAAGTAGCTGGCTACGGTGACGAGGTGGGCCGTGGAGCAGTTATGAGTGACGACTTGCTTGGTTGCTTGCCACAAGTTTTCGTCACCCACCAGCTCCTGGTTCTTTTGAATAAAAGATGGGCTACCGGTATGTTACAGTGTCGTATTAATAAAATATTATGACTGCTGTACGGTACCTATCCACTGGCATGTGCCAAACAGCCAGCTTTGGTCTATTCTACTAGTACTGTATTACCGGTACTGTATTAGAAGGAGCCGTTCAGCAATAGACGCCCCTGGACATTGACTCGCACGGGTGTTTCGTGTTCAAAAGGTTGTTGCAAGTCGAAGTCTTGGTGTTCGGACAAGGATGCCCACGAGCAATCCTCCGTCATGGAAGTTGTAGAGTCGTATGTTCCGTTGTCCTTGAGTTGTTTATCCAGCGGAGCTGCTTCAGACGGCAACCATGGACCGCCCTCGATGCGCTGAGGCATTCCCTCGGCGACGGTTCCACGTCCCTGAGGTAGAATGCAGGGCGGCAAAGCTTCTTCCAAGTCGTCAATGTATTCAGCCAGGACCCTTTCGTAGTCAGATCCTGCAAATACCATGAGATCCTTCATGTTCTGGTTGAAGAATCCCTTGATCATGCTCCAAAAGATTCGAAAGAGTGCAGGTTCCCTGATGACAATGATTTTCTTGATGTATCCGCAGTAGTAGTCTTGAATGACTTGAATGGCATGGGCCAGAATGGGGAGCAAGGCCGGCCGCATGTGTCTCCGGTTGAGTCCTTGTACGTCAACGATACATACGAGTTTTGGGTTGCAATCGTGCTTGGCTTGGTGATCTCGGTAGCGTTGTGTCTTGGTGGCTTGTTCTCTTACATAGAGAGCATACTTTAAGAGGTCGTCCTTTCCAAAGCGTTCGTAGAGTCCGTACAGGTCGGCAGCACCTGGTCGTTCGATCCAGATTCCGTCGCCGTCCTTATCTTGGGCATTGAGCAGCGTCATTGGCAAGTGACTCTTGAGGAGCGGATGGGGCTGAAAGTCGTCGAGAATGGTATCCATTTCGTTGCGTCGAAACTCGATAAATGTACGAAACATCTTCTCGGCGTCCTTGATCGTTTTGGCATCCCGCAGGAAGCGCACGACTTCTTGGGGATCATTCATCTCGTGACGCACATCGGCAACGCGGTCTCGTAGTTCCTCGAGTTGGCTCGTTTCTTCGTCCGTCAATCCCCAGCGCTCAGCCACCTGAACCACTCTCTCCGCATCCCACTTGTCTTCAAACCTACTAATATTATTATTAGTTTTATTCGTGGTGGTACCGGTAGCGTCATTGGTTGTACTAGTACATGTACTAGTGGTACTACTAGTACGAGGCTCACTGACGTTCTCACTCGCTTCCTCCACAGTAGTTACTGGTAGACCCTTGGCTTTTCCCTTGCCCTTAGCTTTGCCTTTGCTTTTCTGGAAGAACTTCATTTTCAGTGTTTCAGAATGAGCCAAGGTCAAAATTATGGGAGGTTGCGTTGGGGTATGGTACTGGTAACGCTGGGCTCAAATTGTTGCTGCTGTTGGCTGTCGCACTTGGACATGTACCGGTACGATGTGCCGGTTGCAAAGTCAAGTTGGATCTGAGAATCTGAAGATGGCAACTAGTAGCCGGTCCCGTGCTTCCCTGGCACCTCCTTGGAAAGATTTACGAGATCACGAATGGAAAAAGATCCTCCAAGAATGAGATCTAAGTCTTGCGGTGGTGGATTTGCCAGGTCCGAATTTTTTGCTTCCCTTGATGTTTAGTAAAAATTCAAAATTGTGAGGCTGCACCCCATTTTCAGCAATTGAGGTCAGATGTGCGTGGAACCGCTCGACTTGCTTCAACTGTAACTGTGGACTGAAGTGTGAACAGATCCAAAGATCTTCCAGGATTTCTTTCCCACCTTCTCTAACCTTATCAATTGTTTGGCCAAGCCAAGCAAGTTTTGGCCAAGCAAGTTTTGGCCAAGCACAACAAGCACAAAAGAAATGGCAAGGATGTATTAGGAATCTAGAGGAGGTACCCCGTGTGATCACATCATGTTGTCCAATTTTCAGTCCATGGCTCCAGCATCGTCCACCGTAGCTAGCTAGAAGCCCACTCTGCCCAGATGGTTGAGTCGAGTCGAGTCCTTCTGACAGCTATGCGGGCTTTCATTGACTTGATTCTGACTGCTTGCATGCATCTCATGCACGTCGTTGAATTCTTTGTGAACCTCCCCTTGGTTCCAAACTCTTCTAAGCTTCCTTTGGCTGTCTCTCATGGACTGTACTTTTATAGAATCTCTATAAATTTACTAGCCCTGTTTGACTTGCTCAAACAAGAAATCAATATCACCCATGTTGATAAGCAAAAGCACTGATGGACTCCGCGAGAGTAACATGGTCACCACTTCGGTGGAGACTGTGTGGCGAAGAGCTGCGTCGAGAAATATTCCATCTTGATGCCCGTCTGTGCACTTTGAATGGGCCCCCCTTTCCAAACCAACCCCCCAAAAAACCCACTACCAGCTCAGGCTGCCGGTGTTGTGGCAACATACCGGTACGGTATGCCCCATGGGCAAATCCATGATGGCTCCAGCATGGTCCACCGTCTCCTGTACTAGTAGCCACTATCCGGATAGCTGATGGAACGAGTCCCAATGGAGATATGGTGTAAATTAGGCAGAATCCTATAGGACTTCTATCAATTAGGCAATTGGTAATAGATAGCTAAAAACTAAGTATTGATGAGCTATTCATGTCCCCCCAGCCAACTGGTACTATAGAATTGGCCGCAAGGCCGTCAAAGCAAAGCCAACGTTCTCGTGATAGTAGATAGCAGCTGCTCCGTCATTCACTCGCAAGTGGCAACACTTCCATCAATATTGCAGGTGCCAGTGGCTGGCTTGTCGAAGAGACCGTGGTAATTACGGTCAGCATGAACGAGTATACCGGAAGAGCTGGAACTGCAGTCGTAGTCGGTTGCAGGATCTACCCTTGTCTTGCAGCCTTGTCAGCCAGCTTTGAGTGGACTGAAAAATTGCTGGCTGTAATGCAAATGATGCTTACCTGGCTGAGTGACAGTCCCATCGTATACTGGCTCATATCTGTGATGGCGAGACTCTTGGTGTATTCGCTCATCTGCGTTGCTGTGATTTAAAAAAAAAAATCGAGGACTCCCTGCCTCTCCAGTGCTCTCATCGGTCTGCAAGACCACCGAAGCCTTGGCACCTCCCCAGATCATAGCTAGCCATGGCACAATCCACCCGTGGTGAAGCGACTTAGGGCCAGGGCATCTCTAGCTAGACAAAGACTATGAAGACCATGATTTCATGGCACCGATGCGTAGTCGCTACCAGTACCGGTAGCTCCTTGTGGCTTCACCGCTGACGCTGCGCCGCAGCCCCGGTCGACAGTATCTGTATTCTGTACAAGCAACGCCATGAACTTTGTTGTAGGCAAGGTACGTAGGCACGGGGAGGGCGGCAGGTGCAACTCTACCGCACATAAGTCGTCACTGCATGCAGCCACGGCGATGACACCTTCATTGCAACGTGCTCATCCTACATTTACATCCACCGATGGCTGGTTAAATGCAACTACAACCTAAACTGCCGTGATAGCAGGAGGTTTGGGGTCGAGAGATGAGCCTCCTTCGACAGAGTTGCCCCAGATTCAGCCCCACAGGCAACGTGCATACGGTAGTAACTACGGACTCCTCAGACAGCCAATTTGGCAACAAAAGTGTCTGCATCCCTGCATCCCCTTTTCGAGCTGCTTCAAGTTCCGCCATGTCATTACGATAAATAGCGTTCCAGCACGCGCTGAAGGAAAAACGGGTCGTCCAAGCCGATGAAGACCCTCTGTCTATGCGAACTAGCCTTGGGTTTCAGGCAGTGCCATGATGTTTACTTAGTAGCTCCATCAATTGGAACGTCCAAGCAGAATGATCTGTCCCCAGTGACAGGTGCATCCTCGAGACTGTCCACTCAATCGTCGTCCTCGTCGTCGTCCAGTTCGAACGCCAAATGGTGGTCGTCACGTCTCGAATGTGAATGTGACCCATACTAGTACCACAGAAACAAGAAAGCTGGTCACAAGTCCTGAATGCACATACGCGTCCAACAATGAATACGTACTAGTATATAGAACGTCATCTGCTGTCCTCCTACCTACGGGCACATGGATGAAGATAGCATAGCAATCGCAGAACAGACTCACGTTGGTTCTCACTTGCACTCTGATCCTCCTGATCCTTGGCTTTACTTTGCTCTGCTCTGCCGGTGTGGAGTTCACGAGGAAGGTCTCGGTATGTTCGATTAGCTACGGAATCCTCTTTCTGACATCTGCCTGGCTTCCGCACCGCCCGGGAAGGTTAGCCGAGCCGAGTTTATTCGAATCATCATTCGGCAACGCAAATCAATTCGAGAACAAAGACTCGACTCGACTCGACTCGACTCGACTCTTGGAGATTGTAAATTGCCATGATCGTTGCCGATGCCAATGGGGTACTGTATCTACGTGGGCACTACCGGTATCATACATGTAGTGGATGCCAGCCAGGTCTAATTTTGTCTTGGAACCTTTCTTCTTGGCTAGTAGTCTAGCTTACTAGTAGATGAGACCCCAGAAGACAAGGTGCGGTACGGCGTTTGGAGGGAGAAACGATTGAAGTGGTCGCGTCGCTCCGCAGCTGTAGCTGTAGCTGTACAGTCGTAGGTATGCCGGGAGGCTATATCCTCAATTTGGTACCGTTATCCAATGTGAATGCTCCAAGCCATGACGGTATTCCTTCGAAATCGACCATACACCACCAGCAGAATCCTCGTGCCGCCTTTGTGCACGTGTGAACTTCCGTACATGTATTAATACCTCAATAAGGAGCAGTTTCAACGATTGGACAACAAGGACCGTCCCATCAATAATGTCTTTGATCTTGTACGGTGCGAGGTGCGAGATGTTCCCTTGTTGGAAACTGTGCTGTAGCGGGCAATATTCACTCGACCCATGGCAACTGGGCGTGGTGGCTCTCCGACTATCGATACATCACCGAACGAGGGCGCAAGAGATTCGATTCGGGCAGTCTCGATTCCTTCCAAGAATTGTACCGGTACCAACACCAGTAATATGCTAGTACATGTAGTGATACAAAGCAGTACGGTACCGGTACGAGTACAGTTGACTTGTCGTGTTTTTGTGGACGTTCCCACCCGGAATACTGGTATCAGTACGGTATACATTATCGTCGGTACAATTGTAATACAGAATGCATGAGGGTGAAAAATGTGACCGTGTGCTCCATGTAGCTACGGTACCGGTACCGGTACCGGTACCGGTAGGGAATCGAATCGAATGTAGCTTCCAGCATAATACCAGCGGTGAAAAGTTGGTTGTGTTGGCAGACCAGCTGCAAAAAAAACCTGTCATTGTCAGTTCTGTCTCCCTGAGGAAGTAATGAAACGAGTGGCATCTATGGAGTGAATCGAATCAAATCAAATCAATCCACAAGGTACCGGTACTGTACGATACCCAATCAAATACTACATATGCCGGTACATGGTGAGTGCCAGTCCAGCCGTGCGACTGTGCCATCTATGATACATGTATGTAGCTAGACCGGAAATGAAAGCAAAATGTGAGCACCTGAACCTCGCTCTCCATTTGCTTACGTCATGCGACAGTCATTTCATTCTTTGAATAGAAACAATAGAAAGGCTTTTGAAAACAAAGACTTAGATATGTTTAACGTCTGAACGCCCGTCTCTCCTCATTCGAAACCAAAGGATGCACGAATCCACCATCATTTTTTTGAATTCTATTGTTTGTTGTGGTTGCGACCATGACACTCAAGATTTCTCTCTACTAAAGCAAAAGCACCGCTCCTCTACGTTTCTACTACAGCTGTCTACTACTACTACTACTACTACTACTAGTACAATGACAACGCGTCCTTCTTCTGGCCGTCGCCTGTTGATCAAAGAGAGCAGCAATGCTACTTCTAACGCTACTGGTGCTACTACTAGTAGTAGTGGTAAAAAGTCTCCCACTAACAACACTACTAACAACACTACCAGCGTTGGCGTACATGTAGGAAAGAGCCAAAAGCATTTTGAACAATTGCGCCGTTTGATTTTGTCCCGCGATCCTTGCTTAGAAGAAATCCAGCGCCTGGTGGAATTGGATCCTCTGTGCGTCCAACAACGAGACCCTCATCATTCTCTACTGGCTTTGCACTGGTCAATTGTCTTTCAGAACGATTTGTCTATCATTCAGTATTTGTGCCAACAGTATCCACAAGCTCTTACAGAGGTTGACAATGACGGTCGTTTGCCGTTGCACCACGCTTGTAGACCGGAAGGAAGCATTGACTTGGTCGCATTCTTGCTCCAACAAAACTCCAAAGTCGCCACGCAGAGAGACCACCGTGGAAAAACTCCGCTCCACTGTGCTTCCATGGAAGGCGTCCCTTCCGATATTCCACGCTTACTCCTACAAGCCAATCCACCCTGTGCCAAAATAAGGACTAGAGATGGACAAACTCCTCTATTCATGGCATGTGATGCAAATGCTCCAAATACTACCATTCAGCTTTTAGTGGATGCATACCCAGAAGCTGTCAAGTACTTGCAGGAAAATACTACTGGAAAGTTCAAAACGGCAAAGGATTACTTGGCCTTCAAAGTCAGACAAACCGAGCAAGAAGCAGACAGGCAGGCAGCAGAGCAAAAGAAGAAGAAACTAAAACAAGTGCAAAACACCAGATATGAACCAGACATCTCCATTAAACAAAATGCTACCTCGGACAGTGACAAAATGAGGAGAATCCTATCCGAAGAAGAACGACAGATACAGATTGAAGAGCAAGAGCAACAACTCACTCGATTGGCAAAACAGGAACGGGATGCCGCCCTTCAACTGCTTGAACAGCAAGAACTGGATGTAGAGGAAAAGGCAAAAGAGCTAGACAGACTCATTCAGCAAAAGGAGGCACAGTTGGACAGTGAACGCTTTCACAAGGAAACTCAACGAATCTACAACGAAAACAACACCAACATCAACAGTATTGATGCGGCCAAACGACAACTCAACGATTCTGGAATTGGACGCTCCCGATCTTTCAATGGAAACGTCAACACACAAAATCTACCGCCCGCCATGGCCATTCATATTGCCACACAGCAAAACGCAAACAACACCACCGATCCACCCAAACCCGAAACACTACAACAGCAGCAGCAACAACAACAACAAAACAGCTTTATCAACACTCCCAGTGTCCTGTCGTCGTCCAGGGGCGTCAGTGTCGAATTTGACACTCATCACCACAAGCAAACTCGTCATCAGCATGCGGGTCGATTTGATCTCGTTGACGAAGACTACTTGGATGAGGATGATGAAGATGATGCCTACTTTGATTCCCTAAGGCATTCTTCCAATACTGATCATCACATCCACATCCAGTCGCACAATCAGAGTCACAGTCACAACCACACCCAGCCATTGTATCAGGAATCCAAAGTGCATACTGGAGACTCCACGGCGTGGATGCCAGGAGGAGGTGATCCGTCCGTTGACAGCAGTTTCCAACACCCAATGCAAACCACAACCGACAATAATAACAACACTTCAGCAGCCAATCCGGCAACCGATGATTCCAACATTCGGTTCATGGATATTCGAGACCCGGCACCCCGCAAAGCATCATCTAGTAAACCCAATGATAAGAACAACTCGTCCTCTGTGGGGGCTCCTATTCAAGATCAGCTTCAGCACGCCATGCAAATGCTCGAACAAGCCGAAGATAGACGAAAGGAAGAAATCAAGGAGGCACAAGAACAACAATCCAAAATGCAACAAGAGTTGGCCAAACTCATGGAAAAACTAGAAGTCAGTGAAAAAAGCAGGGCGGCGGCAGAACAGGAACGAAAAGCCCAAGAACTCAAGGCTCAGCAAGAAGCTGCAGCGGCGGCGGCGACTGCCGAACAAGAAGCCAATGCGGCCAAACAACGTCCTCCCAAACCGGTCGGACGACGAACACCTCCCGCGACCACGACAACAACAACCGATCCGACGACTACGGCCATGGTTCGAGGATACTTTAGTGGCGGCGCCAGTCAGAGTTTTCCCGATGCTCCCACCCGTATCTCGACCACTGCCGAAAGCAGCGGGACCTATACCATTGACCACTCCATGGGAGGAGTCCCCACCAGCAGTCGTTCCCAATTCGCCAAACGGCAACAGCAGCAGCCACCGGCGCACCACGAAGATGCTTCGTTGGCTCATAGTGGTGTCACTCCCACGACGACGAACGAGTTTCTGAAAGATTCGCACGGACGAACGCCTCTGCACGTGGCATTGGCCAATGGACCGTCCTACACGGTTGTTCAGTTCTTGCTGCAACAGTTTCCACTTGCCATTTTCCAAACGGATGAACAAGCCAATACGCCCCTTCATGCGGCCTGCTCTTGCCCCAGCACTCCTCTTGAGATATTGCAGTTGCTCTTGGATATCTTTCCCGCAGCAACGCTGATGTCCAATGCAGAGCAGCAACTTCCGTTGCACTTGGCGTGTCAACATCATGGACAACGAGTCGAAGTGTTGCAACTGCTGCTGGATTGTGCTCGAACTGTCGAGCACGATTTGGCTCACTCGGAAGGCGAAGGAGGCGACGATGGCACCAAGGCCAATGCAAGGAGTTGAGTTGAGTTGAGCTGAGTTGCTTGGGGTGGCAAACAGAATCGAATGATTCTGATGGTTGATGGACTTGTGTGTGAGTGTGTGGAACATCTTGTTGAACTGTGAGCTTGGTGCGTTCGTCTTCAATTTGAGCAGAGTACGGTACAGTAGCGCAGCATACCAGCAGCACTGTTTCTGCTGAAAAAGTAAATATGTATAATCATGGTTAAGTTTCTAGTGCGGCATTGTAATCACCGGTGCGGTAGTCTAGTTTTCCGCCACATTATTTTCATCCTTCATCTGCCTTGTCCATTCAACTTTCGTCTGCCTTGGCTCTTTGTTTATGGAGGGCGAATTCAATTAATTCGTTCAGGAACTTGGACTTGGCTGCCTGATTCATTCTTTGGAGGACAATGGGCAAACTTACACGTTCTCGTGTACCGCTTTCTCATCCGTGCTACACCATTATTAATTTATAAAGGAAAAAGAAACAGTTGAATGATTAAAGTTTTATACACAATAGGGGCTATTGACAGTATCTTTAGATGATTGATTGGTTGGTTTAGGTTCTGAAGGGGAGGACTGAAGGATTGTTTTGTACAAGGCACATAGAGAGCCAGACCAAGTTTTTATTGTTGTTGGCACTGCTTGGAAGAAGAAGGAGAAGGGGGCGTACATGTGCTGTTGGTGGGGAGGAGGGATTTGATGGATGCCGAAGACAGTAGGTAGATTCTAGCAGCTTCTTGAGCATCTCTGGCAGCCACGCCCTGTGCTGCCCATGAACTGGGTTTGGTGACTTCTTGGTATACCTTGGCCAAGTAGACTTTGCCATTGACAACCTGATGCAGACTAGTGCGTTGTCTAGCTTGTTCTAGAAAGACAGCTCGCCATCCCTTGGTTTTGCTTTGTCGAAATTGCTTGGCACCCTGACGACTGCGGCGTTCCAAGCCACGGGCACAAAAGCTAGCTTCACTACTACATGTAGTACCGCCAGTACCGGTACCCCGCTCATGGGCCTTCATGTCTTTGGTAGCTTGACTCTTGATGATTTTCAAGTCACGCTTCTTGTAGTAGCATTGATCTAGTTCTTCCTCAGACAACTCTGAGAGACAAGGAATGGCATGATAGCTAGTCACCAAGTTCTCTGTGAAGGTAATGCGGCGTTTCTTGGCAGCTGGTTGGCGTTGGCATTGGTTATCTCCACCAGTAGTTGTAGTACTAGTAGGTAGCACAAGGTCAAAGAGAGGACGTCTCTTGATTGGACCTACTAGCTTTTGGCTTGTCTGGGACTGTTGGACCTGAAGCTGAAGTTGGGTAGTAGTGCACATGATAGTAGTTATCTGTAGAGTATACTTTACTAGCTAGCTAGCTAGATAGCGGTTTTGTGGTTGGCGTGTTTTGGTTGTTGCTTTGGCGGAATTGTGAGAAGGAATGAAGACTGAAGAGTTGCTTGTTGCTTGGCAGTTTTTTGCAAGTAGTAAGCAGTCATCGCAGCTCGGTCAAAAGTCACTGGTGGATTCTGGATTCTGACATGGACATCGAAAACATGACCGGACTATTCTCTGTGCACTCGGTCTCCGACCAACCTTCTGCACTGTCACTTCTTCTTCTGGACTACTATAAAGTTTATTGTACACAACAGAGAACTTGGATGGAAGGAGGAGTTCTCACAGAATTGTTTCTTTCCAGTCGAGGCCATTGAATGTGTCGCTGTTTAAATCCCCACGACCAATTATTCCTACTGAGTAGACTACCGTGCCACAAGTTATAGTGGTGAACAGGGTGTGGTACTCACACTGTTTTAGCATGTGAGTACATGTACTGAGTAGTACTCACAATCCTGGAGGTCATGTGAGTACATGTACTGGGTAGTACTCACAATTTCTGGGGTCAAGTGAGTACAGGTACTATGTGAGTACAGGTATTCTGTGGGTACTACGGAATACTCACAGAGTACTCACATATCAATTACTTAGAGAATTTATCTTTGCAATTGGGCCCAAAGTGAGAAAATAATGATCTTTTGGCTGTTTCGCGGTGAGAAAGTACCCACCGAGTACTCACAAAGTACCCATTCAGTACTCATAGTACTAGGTGAGTACTGATCGAAAGTACTCATTGAGTACCCACCGAATACTCACAAAGTACTCAGAATCTGGAGGTAAGTGAGTACATGTACTGAGTAGTACTCACGATTTCGGATATCATGTGAGTACATGTACTGAGTATACTCAGTACTCAGTACATGTACTCACATCGCGTACTCACTGCATGTACTTCATGTGAGTCCCACACCCTGGTGGTGAAATAAATGAAGGGGACACAGATAGATAGAGACAGCTCATCAGCGACCCACCCAGTCACACAATGTCACCGGAAAAGCCACCGGAGAGATCCTCCGCGATCCCAACACCCCAGCATAAGCATTGCTCCGTACGGTACTGGTAGTCTACCGGTACTGTTCCTCGCTAGCTAGCTAGCTGGCTGAGTATGAAGCGGGGCTAGCTAGAGCTGATTGGTCATGACATGCATGCAAGGCTTTCAATCTACTGCACATGTACGGTACTGGGGAAGCTCTGGCTGGAGATATCTACTGTATCTACCCTAGTAGCTAGCTAGCAGAAAGAAAGAAAGGAGAGTGCTCCTCCTGGTCGGGCCGGACTGCTGGCTGGTGATGACACAAAAGAACCCGCAAATTGCCGGTTGGACTGGACGACTAGACTATCTACCTGTGAAGAAATCCGGAATCATGCAGGTGCAATCATCAACAGGCAGGTAGCTACTGTAGCGTACTAGTATGGTAGACTCGAGCAACTGGAGAACTTGACTCGCTCTGCTATTTTGGAAGGCCGTGTCCGCCGCTGCACATCCAGTTGGTTCTTCGCAGGGAAAACACTGGAAGTCTTCCCCGTGAAAATCAAATCGGACACTAAAGAAGGCTTCTCGTGAGCTCGAGTTCGTCCTAGCTAGTAGCTACAGGGCCCGAAAAGGCTATCAACTTCCATTCTTGCTCGGATACGATGTACCTTTACTGACGACCACGCCGAAACGATAGCACGAGCAGGGTACGGTACCGGTACATGAAATACTCCCTCTACATGGCCAACGTACCGTTGGCTAGACGCCAGTACGAGTTCGGAGCTGGTCCTGATGTGAGACACACCTTACGTTGTCATTGGTGAAACGAAATTTCTTGTGCACAAAATGCTGACTTTATTCATATGCTTCTGACTCACTACTCAATAAACTTGTTGTACATGTAGTAGGGTGACTCCAAGAGGCTCGCTTTCCAAGAACTGTCCGTCGGGCCGAATTACCGTCCTTGTTGCGTTCTTGGGGGCCAAAGGACGCCAACAACTCGTCTCTCCAGCGATCTCGATCTGGAAGCTCTAAACCCTCTGCCGGCGGCTCTGTTTCTCGTGGCACGGCGCCATTTCCACCAGCCGATTTGAATGGCTCAATCTCTGCCGCAACTTCACGCTCATTGCCTTGGCAATCCTCATCGCCGGGAAGATCCTGGACAAAACTGGGACTGTTGCTGGCATTCACAGTTCGCTGATTGACACCCCAACTCAGTCTGGGCACACCAAGGGCACCACTCATGTAATTCATCAGTGCACCTGGCGTTTGAAAACCCGACAGCCTGCCAGTCAAAGTCGTCCCTACCGGTAGTGCGCTACTACCATTTCTGGGACGCTCTTTTCTCAACTTGGGAATGAAGTAGATGACAACCGTCGCCATGGTATCCACACTGTAGAGAAGACTCTGGATTTCGTCAATAGTACTCCCATGCAACTGATCCTGCAAGAATAGTGTGCCAGATCTGAGACAGACAAAGACAAAGTGGGAGTAGCAAAGAAAGGCCAGAGTCCTGGATTCGTTGAAGCTTTCCAAGACATTCCGAGACTGAAAGGCCAAGACAGAAGCACACAGCAGGAGGACCATATTCCAACCCACAGCTGCAAACTGCCATGCATTGGATGTCATTCCACAGAAATAACTGACTGACACGATATGCTTTCCATCAGCAGTTTTGGATTCGGTGAGTGAGTACTCTGCTTGTTTGCGTGGCGTGTCAAACACTGTCCAGAGAATTAGGAAGATGCAGCAGCAAACCCCAATGAATGCCACTGCCTGGTAGAGTGACTGGATGGATAAGTTGACTCGCCTCATGGAATTAGCAGCCGCCATCATTTTGTTGATTGCTGCAACCTTGATGATGAGTGGCACAAGCTCGAATGTGTAGCCAATGTTGATGAGCCAGGTTGTGGCAATACAAGTTCCCTTTGTTGCTGGAAGCGCAAGCAAAATGGCTCCCAATGCCACCATGAGAGACCCAGCCAGCAAGAGCCCCAGGAACCCTGGCTGGGCATGTTTGATAGAATTCTTGTCTTGATGCTTTAGTACCAGGTAGGACGTGACAATAACGATGATTGTTGCAATGGCCCCAAAGGCAATGAGGAAGAAAGAAAATGCAGATTGAGGCTCCACCTGAAGAGTTCTTGGGTAGGATTTAGGCACCGCTGAACGTAGAAACTCTAGATTGTCGGTTGCCCATTTGCAGACTGCCTCCCTTGGTGTTTGTTCCGATTGCCACAATTCAAATATTTCACTGAGTTGTAGCTCTGTCAACTGGAAGCTTCTGATCATTTCACTTGTTGGGTTTCTTGTGGCCTCATCGCCAGCGATTGTAATATCATGCAGAGAACTGCTGACAAGCTTATGTAGATTGACAGGGTTGTGATCACAGGCAGCATCGGGGGATGAAACTCGTAATGTTTGATTGGGGGAGCATTCATCTTCATCTGTTGGATACGCCTCAAGGCAAGCTTGAGTGGGCGGTGGAAGTGTAACCCGTTGCATCTCTGCATCTGTTCCAGCAAACTCATTGTAGAGTGGCTCTGGAGTCCACCACATCATCATTAAGTTGCTGGGGTCCACGAAGTTATCGTCAAAAGAATCAACAGACGTAAATAAGTGAATTGTTTGTTTGTTTGTCAGTAAATCATGATGATCGAGCCTTGACAGTGTACAAACCTTTTTGTGGCATTAGCTGCTCTCCACATTTGCACCAGTTGATTGTATGTATATCCTCCTTTGTGTGGCGCTGGTCCAGGGTCCAGTGGACTCCATGGCAATGTTAAGGTGGTATAGGACTGATTCCATGTGAGAAGTCCAGCCACAAGGTAAATCGGCAATGTGTCCTACGGTATTTGCAATAATCAAAAGTCATGAAAGAGTGAGAGACAGATGCAAGGTCCATGCAATAGATATTGTGCGAAGTCACGTCTGTACGTACCTGTACAAGAGTCTGGATATCGAGTACAGTTGTTTTTGTCGGTGTATCGAAAATATCCCGTGTAGGAATCCTGTTGAAAGAATCGATTGACTTCGTCCTGATCTTGTGGTGGCCGTGTGGCAGTTTGATCAGGAGTCGAACAGTTATTTTTGGAAACTTGGTGGCAGTATTCCCCCCATGTGGTGGGTCTCTTGAAGAGGGCAGCCAACTTGTGTCGATTGTGTTCTCCCATGAGTCCATGATAGGAGAAAACATCGGGTTCTTCCTGTGCGGTGAATTTGGTGACCATCCACGTTTCCAAAGCCAAGACTCCTAGGTATTCCACATTGATGATTCTGTCCCTGATTAGCTCTTGTACCCATTCAGAGTCTGTATCCCATGATTCACTGGATATGTGTGCACAGGGTTGGTAGTTGTTTTTTGTTTTGTCTGCCAATCGACAATCCCCATTTTCCATTTGTGCGGAGAACGCGACGGCATTTGCGTTATTGTGACTGATGAAATCGAGCCTGGAGAGGGGATCGTAAAAAGATTTAATTTCTCCGTGGCTTCCTGCTTCAATGGTCGTGGGTACACTGAGGTATTCGCTAAGTATGATTTGAATAAGCCACCCCACAATGACGCTGCTTTCCCAGTTGGCCAGCATGACTCGGATTTCCATGTAGTCGATTCCAGGTGCACTGCAAAAGTCGTACATGTACTCCTCATGGTCATTTCCATTTCCAAAACCAAATAGACGCACATCGTCACTGTTGCAAACTCGCTTGGGGCGATCAGGGATCACTTTGTGCAGACAACCAGAGTAGAACGGGTTGCTGCTGCTGATGGCTGCACTGAGATTGGCATTGCCTGTGACTGTGCCTGAGCCTGAGCCTGAGCCAGTGCCAGCTATAGACAGGGAAGTCAGATTGGCCAGAGAGAGGTAGCCTGACATGGCAATGCTAATAGCTATAGCTATAGATAGTGATAGTTGTGATGGGTACTATACTACTGTACCGGTAGGAAGCTTTGACCAATGGATAGAAGAGGGGTCAGTTGTTGCCATTGTAGCAACAGTTACTGTGATGGAGTGGGAGAGCAGAGGCTACCGGTACGCGTGGGAAGGAACGGCCGAAACCAGCTGATGGGTGAGTTTACAGTTTCCAGGATGCATAAAGTCTTCCTCTAACATTTGACTGGAACAATACCTGGACCGATTTATTTATTAAGTATGCTGAAGTGTTTTAGAACCGGTGTCGGACACTCTCATTCCAACTCATTCCATCTTCCATCATACCGGGTACCATTCTGCTTGGACTTTTAAGGATAGCGCCGATACTACTCAAGAACATATCACTCTCAGCATTCCTGTCTCTTAAATAATTAATCCACAGAGCGTGCTTGGGCCTTGGGCGGTGATAAAGGCACGTTTTAGAGACGTCAGGGTACACTGTGCAGCGCTGGACTACTAAGAACTATTACAGTAATACTGAGCAACGTAGTACTGTACTGCTGTACTGTATTTCTAAAATTGCCCTTGCTTATGTCTTGGTTTCTGAGTGAGATATTTTTTCATCCAGCTTGATTCTGCATCGAAATCGGAAGTATTTCGGATATTTTGTGGAGTTTGGAGTACAGCTACTGGTAGAGTACTCAGTACCTGCTCAACAAAATAGCATCCGGTACGCAATCAGAGTCCCGTTTCGGGGCTGCATTAAATTTTATTTCTAGGCTTCTACTGCTTCATGGGCCTGGTCGGAGGTGCTGGACGTAGTGGTGGTATGGTGCTTTACTAACTAAGGGCTGCCATTCCCTTGCTTCGGCCAAGCGGCCTCCGCCGCCTCCCTCAGGCCATCGGGCATAAGGGAGGGAAAAAGTGAAATGAATGAGGGCGGGTAGACGTAGAACGTACATGTAGGACGTACCGGTTGGTGTGGAGGTCGTGTTGCGTGTAGGTCGGAATTTTGGGCAAAGGTGGTGGTACTATACTAGTAAGCCAGCTAGAAGATGCGTCAGTTGTTTGCCATTGTAGCAACTGTGATGGAGTGGGAGAGAAACGGCCAAGATCTGCTGAGTCGAGTCAATCCAAGGATTTGACGGGGGACTAATGCTTTCGTGTCATGAGTCCGTCATGACCGTTGCCCAATTTTCTTGGATTTACCAGGTATGATTATTTGGTTGAAGTACAAAAATTCTCCGTACAGTTTTCTTGATACCTTGTGACCTAACTCGGCACTATTAGTGCAATGAAGAATTAACATGATAATGCTCCAAGAAACTTCTCCTTAGCACATGTATTCAGACAGTTCAAAAAGTCGTCACACAAAGTAGTTCGTACCGTACCGTAATCTCTGAAGATGGCAAACCTTGGAACTTAACCTGTCGAAAGCTAAGGTACAAGGTACAAGGTACGCTACTTCGACAAGGACCTGCCTTTTTAAAACAGTTGTCGAGGTCCACAGCGTGCTGCTGGGGGCTGATAGTTGCTACAGTATCGTAGCAGTACATGTAGCACGCCCAACCCAGCGCTACCAGTTTCCATGCTTGAGTTGCCGACGATCGACTTCGGATCTGTTCTGCTCCGGATAAATACGGCACCAATGGCTACAATGTACCAATACGGAGGAAAGACGTTGGAATGACTCGACAATATATATATATGTTTGGCCTCAATCCTATGGCTAGCTGGTACTGTATTGGTACCTGGTAGTCAGCAATGCGGCGGAGATCGATCCTTCCGGCTCGTGTATGGACCATTCTCCTCTTATGCATCACTATTTCGATACTCTATCTTTGCTCTAACTATCTATCTATACTCCGAGACTATCGAGATAAGTTCGCCATGGAGCACCTTAAACCGTAGTATTTTTTGAGTAGTATCACTCATTGACCGCACTGCCTGTAGCTGGATGACGCCATGGAGCACCTTGAACAACGTTGAACTGCCACTTCTATTATAAATGAATGAACTCCATGACACTGGCTACCAGTAACACGTGGCAAATCTTCTCCTCCAGTGAAGTCTCCGCTATCAGTAAACTAGCTAGCCAGCCTAGCTACCTGGTACCAGTAGTATTCATAGTTACTCCTCCATCTGCTCATCTGTTGAATTGTATCTACTGCTGGAACCAGTACCCTATCCTTGAACCGTCAACGATCAACCATGTTGTGGACTTTCAAATTCCTGCTGTGTGTCATTGCAGCCATTCTCTTCAAGTCAGCCGATAGTACTGGTACCAGTGAACCACAAAAGTATGCACTGCAAATCATTGACTTGAATGCGGAACATCGTCGGTTGGTTCCCATCAGCGGATATGTTGTTATTGGAGAAAATCTTGTGGGAAATACACCTAGTGGTTTTCTTGGAGAGTCTGTGGCCATGGACGAGACAGGGACAACAATAGTGGTTCGTGAAAGAGGCACTGGCACCATTCGTGTCTACGAGAATGCTGCCAATAGCTGGACCAAGAAAGGCCAAGACTTGACGGGTTTTCCTAATGGCTCCTTCACTGATGGTCGTACAGTTGCAATATCGAGAGATGGCAGCATTGTTGCCGTCAGCTCTACCGCAAATGAAGTTGTTGAGGTGTTCCAATATGACACAAGCACAGGGATGTGGTCTCAACGAGGCAGCACAATTCAAGGTGTTGAGTTGGATGGATCACCAATTGAATCCTTTGGTGTTTCCATTTCTATATCAGCCGATGGAGACAAAGCTGCAGTTGGGGCTTGGAGTTATTCTAGCTCAACTGCAAACAACATTGGGTTTGCAACAACCTACATCTGGAATGGCACTGACTGGGAGCGCGAGGCATATGTAGCTGATGATTTCACCACTGCTTCTGGACTGTACGGAGAAATTCCAGAGACATTGTTGGGGCGGTCTGTATCCTTTTCTGGAGATGGCCTTTTGTTTGCTATTGGAATGCCCGGATCTGGATCCTCTGATTCTGACTCCACAAGGTTTGGTGAATGCCGTGTTTACGACAGTGATGGCGACATCCGACAACTTAGAGTTGATGGTGGAGCAATGTTTGGGTCCTCTATCTTGGACAATTTTGGCTATTCGGTGGCTCTAAACTATGATGGAAGCATTGTTGCAGTGAGTTCTCCTGGGTTTAATACGCTTGAGGCTACATTTGTCGGCAGGGTGCAAGTCTTTCAAAGATCTGGGACATTATGGGCCCAATTGGGAAGGTGAGCATTGTGCACTGAGATTTGTGCATGCCACATTTTTATTTCTGACTCTGCCCCCTGCGGCTTGTGATACATACATAGTGATCTCATTGGGGACAAACAAGCTGATCTATTTGGGGCTTCCATTGATTTGTCCGATGATGGTAAAACCCTTGTGGCTGGATCTGCAGCTGTTTACAGCGGCGTACCAAATAGCCGTGGTTACACTCGTATTTACAAGTTTGATGGCACTGATTGGGTCCTAGAAGAGATCAGCAGGGCCCAAGGTTTTGATATTGATGGAATTAGGGAAGGTGATGAGTTGGGATGGAGTGTTGCAGTTTCTGGAGATGGGACAAAAGTCCTTGTTGGAGCACCGTTGTATGATGGTCCCAACTTAGATAATGGTCTTGTCCAAATGTGGGGACAAACTGAGTTCCCCACATTTTCACCTATCCTGAATCCTTTGCCCCAAGTTGGCAACCTGGGCACTATTGGAAGCCCTGCAAAGGCCAACTTTGTTAGTAGGGCATTGACTTGGTGGCAGGGTGCAGTTGCCTATTTGGAAGATTTTTTTGTTTAAAAAAAATTGATTGGTTTTAAAAAATTATTGTCAAAGTGTATTGGTTTCAGCCATTCTGTTTGCCTTCATGGCAATTGCTTTTTGGAGAGAAAGAAAGGGCCAAAGGGCAGGAAGAAGAATTTTGACGGGGAGGCTAGGTAAGGTTAGGGTTAACATTAATTTGTACTTCTCATTTTTGTATTCAAAACTATATTTACCGCAACTACCTCATTTCCAATTTCTTTTCCGGATGGAGGCCTGGTGCGGTGAGTGAGGATTTGACGGGAACACATGGAACTTTGCTTACGTGTCATGACCGTGCTTTAACACACCATGGAATTATCGAGTGTTCTCCTTAAAAATGCTTCCTGGTGACTTTACAGTAGTACTATTACACACGTGCTTGCTTGCTTGCTTGCTTGCTCGTGCTACGGTACAGTACAGGGCAACGTAACGTTGGCTAGGCTGGCTAGCTAGCCCGAAGACCAGTACCAGAACTGGTACGGTATACGATGACTGTAGATGATGTTCGCCATGCACTCGAATATACCTACCACCCGTATGACACTAAGGAGCACCTTGAACAACGTTGAACTGCCGCTTCCCTAATAGAATCAACGTCAAGCACACTGGCTACCAGTAACACAAGCTGGCCTAGCTGCTTCCTCGAGTGGTTTCTCCGCTACCCGCAGCTACATAGCTAGCTAGCTAGCAGCATTCATAGTTTTCTATTTTCTTCCACCTGTTGATTGAGTTGAATTAAAGTTTTTGTTGATCAACCATGTTGTGGCTTTTCAATGTCCTGCTGTGTGTCATTGCTTCCGTTCTCTTGGTGTCGGCAGATGGTACTGGTGCCAGTGAACCTCAACAGTATGCATTGACAATGATAGACCTGAATGAGGAGAATCGTCGGTTGGTTCCCATCAGTGGATATGTCACATATGGAGGAAATCTTGTGGGAGAGAGCGGTGCACGATTTGGATACTCTGTGGCCATCGATGAGACAGGGACAACAATAGTGGTTCGTGAAAGAAGACCTGACATTGTTCGTGTATACGAGATTGCTGATGACGGATGGACCCAGAAAGGTCAAGACTTGACAGGTTTTACTCTCATTTTATCCGTCGTTAAACGGAAGACAGTTACAATATCAAGTGATGGCAGCATTGTTGCTGTCAGCTCTACGGATCCCTCAAATGAAGGTGTTGCGTTGTTCGAATACGACACAAGCACACAGATGTGGCTACAAAGAGGCAGTACAATTCGAGGCGAAGATTTGAATGGCTCGCCAATTTTTTCTTTTGGACATGACATTTCTCTGTCAGCAGATGGAAACAAAATTGCAGTTGGGGCTCCCGAATATGACAGCCCAACTCTACGTGACATTGGCTTTGCAACAACCTACTTCTGGAATGGCATTGACTGGCAACGTCAGAGATATACTGATGATACATTCTCCGTTGTGTCTGGACTGTATGGAGAACTTCTACGTGCATACTTGGGGTGGTCTACATCATTCTCTGGAGATGGCAACTGGTTTGCTGTTGGAATGCCCGAATCTGGATCAGCCATTTCTGATGCCACAAGGTTCGGTGAATGCCGTGTTTACCGCAGTAATGCCGGCATCCAACAAATTGCGATTGATGGTGGAGCGATGTTTGGCTCCAGTGTCAATGACCAATTTGGCTATTCGGTGGCCCTAAACTACGATGGGAGCATCATTGCAGTTAGTTCTCCTGGATATGATGGGGATGTCAATGAAGAAAATCTTGGGAGGGTACAAGTCTTTGAAAGAAGCGCAGAAACATGGAGGCAATTGGGAAGGTAAGCATTGAGGATGGTGAGAATTAAAAGTGCATGCCACGTGATTCTTTTGAATTCCTGATTCAGCCCCCGGTCATACAAACATAGTGATCTCATTGGTGAGCAACAAGATGATGGATTTGGGTTCTCCATTGATTTATCCAATGATGGCAAAACCCTTGTGGCTGGATCTGCATATAGTGATGGTTCCGGAAATCTTCGTGGTTACATTCACATATACAAGTTTGATGGGATCGATTGGGTCCTTAAAGAAATCAGCAGGGCCCAAGGTTTTGATATTGATGGAATTGGGGAAAATGATTCTTTTGGATGGAGCGTTGCCATTTCTGGTGATGGGACAAAAGTCCTTGTTGGAGCACCTTTCTACAATGGTCCTGACATACAGAATGGACTTGTCCAAATGTGGGGACAGACTGATTTTCCCACGTTTTCACCCATCCTGAACCCTTTGCCTCAAGTTGGCAACCTAGGCACTGGTGGAAGCCCTGCACAGGCCAGTTTGGTTAGTAGAACTTACACTTGGTGGCAGGGTGCAATTGCCTATTTGGAAGGTTTTTTTGTTTAAAAATCGATGTGGTTTAAAAAATGATTTACAAAGTTTCTTGGTTTCAGCCATTCTGTTTGTCTCTGTAGGAACTCTTGGACAGGCCGAAAATTGAATACAGTCCATCAACCCTTCTAATAGCTGGCTACCGGTAGTTCGTACCCCAGTACTTGGAGGGCGGTTTTGCATGCATGTCTTCTTCCCGCTGGCTAGCTACTAGGGTAGCTAGTTGTAGCCCGATTGAATCATTCACAATCTTCGAGTCCTTCTCGTGACTGCACACGTACGTAGGTGAGTTTTGAGTACATGTACATGTACATGTAGTTTTGTGCTCACTTTTTTAAAGTCCTTACCATAAATGAAGAAAGGACCAACCCACCGGAAGAGACCTCATAATATATGTATTTATCATCCCAGCTTCCACTTTTCTGCCAACAACTTGCAAGGAGATTCCAGGCATCATGCCGCCTTGCCTTGATTATCTGTTCTCGTTCGCGTTGTTCGTCACTTTACAAGCTTGCAGCACCCTGACTGTCCACGGTTTGCTTTCTGTTCCACCACCAACAGAGCCAATTCAACACATACCGGTATCATCATTGCGGACACTGCCTACATCTACTAGTACTGGCTCAGCCATATACTCCAGCGCAAGCAACATGAATTTGAACCAACGAGTTTTGAGAGTCGCTGCTGTTGCGTCCTCGCAGCAGCAGCTCAGCATCGTGGCATCACTTTCCTTAACCCCAACTCTATGGTTATCCCTAGCAGCGACCAATGACATCCACTCCAGCACAAGTACCGCTGCAAGTACTCAGCTCCTCGAATCATCTGTGTTGGACCTGCAAAAGAGCAAACAATACAAGAAGGATACTGTGGCGAGAATTCTTGACCCCAACACCATCAAATTGGACAAGAATGGTCTCGTGGCACTGGCGGGAGTCCAAACCCCGTCCACCGGCGGTTTCCCAGATTGCACGTCGTATTCACCTTCCAAACAACTCCGAAAGTCTCTGCCCAAGGGGACTACTGTCAAAGTCAGGTTTCTAGACGAAGAAAGCAGTAGTTCTTCCGCTGCCAAGCGAGTCCTCCTCCTCCGGGAAACCCCAAACCCCAATGACGATGCAGTGCTGGTCAATGCCGAACTAATCGAGTCTGGTTACGCCAAGCCCGTGGCTCGGGGTCGAAAGGAAGCGGAGAAGATTCTTCCAGGCTTTACTGCGGCGTTGGAACACCTCAATCAACAAGCTCAGGACAAGCACGTTGGACTGTACGAAGTGTGCACTGCAGATGCTGGAACCAGACTTGTCGACTCGCCTTTTGTATCTTCGTCGTCGTCGAAAACATCGACACCCGCCACGTCTGACTTTCCTCTCAACCTGGACGACCAATTTGAGCCACTTGCCTTTACGACGCAAACGCAATGGGGAGCCGACGGAGGGAAAACCATTCGAGTTGACAATACTGCCAACTCCAAGGGAACAGTACCGGTAGTACCGATCAACCCGGGCGATTCCAGAGGCTGTTCTGACTTTGGCACTTATGAAGAAGCCCTCAGTTGGTACGAAAGGTATCTTCCCTACTATGGTGATGTGGCCAAACTGGATCGGGACGGAGACGGTATTCCTTGTCCCAAGTTGCCGCACACCAAAAACATGGATCGGTTTCGACGAAAGGTTCCAGTGGTCTCCTCGTGGAGTGTTGACAACCAGCAGAATAAGCTACAATGACAAAGTCTATACTTCAAATATAGCTATCTAGGAATTTGCTAATCTACATGTACTAGTAGCTAGAGCACAACCAATTTTCAATTCATTTCCATACAACTAACTTACTTGAAGACGGCGACGATATCTTGGAAATTGGCCATTGTGGTGACGGCCGTAGTGTCTGCCACCACCAAAAGCACACTACTCTCCTTGATGTCCAAGCCCTCAATCTTGTTGTCCAAACCTTCAATCTTCGTAGTCAGCTCCTTATTCATGTCCTTGACGTCCTTTTTGACTTCCTTGACTTCCTCGATCTTTAACGTCCTTGATCTGCTCCGTCACCTCCTTTTTGACGTCCTTGATCTGCTCCGCGAGATTGTTGTCCCAGTTCATGATTAAGGCTTCGATACGCTTTAGCGCATCCTTGGTTGTTTCACCCTCTGATTTGACTCAAGCACCGTAATTCGCGTGGACAGATCATTGTCATTGTTGTCATTGTTGTCAACGTTGGGGCCAATGGACTGAAAAGCAATCGTCTTGGGAGGAGAAGCGAACGATCGAACCGGCGTCTCTTGGATTTGATCCCCCCCATGCAGGAGGTAGGTACGTAGGTACGGTACTTCTAGCTAGTAGGTAAGGTAAGGGAAGCCCTGTCGTTGTCATTGGTAGATTCGTAGCAGCACTGATGCACTGAATGGAAGCTCCATAGCCATCCCATCCAACCTTTCCGGACAGAGTGACAGTCACCCCTCAAACTCCCATTTCAAAAGGACCTCACGGTATTGTATAGATGGCTGCAAAACAAAACCGCGGGATTGCTCTGGGGGCATAAAAACTATGGAGAGCTAGCTAGCTAGAGGTGCGCTCTTGGAGCAAAACCAAAAGTCCTACCGATACCAGGTAGCTATTTAGGCTAGCTAGTAAAATACAAGATCATTTTCAACCAGTAACAGTTACTGAGTAGGACTGACCAAGCAAGCTCCCATCTCCGTCTCCCCCGCATCATCCACATCTTGAGCGGCTTTGCCAACCAATGCTGCCATGTCGCCATGTCGGCAAGTCTGTGGTCTCTTCGAAGAAATTTCAACTTGACAACCATTGACGTCAGGTCATCAAACCAATCAGGATCCGAATCTTGACCGTTGCAAAAATTCTTCGAAACTCCAACCCCGGCAGGCTTCTTGCTCTCTAAATGAGTGTCTCCAAAAGCCGAACAGCTGTGTCGTTGACATTTCTCGGATGACATCATCACTGAGCCAGTCATGAGCTTGGTACAAAATATGGTGTAGCATCTACAGCGACCTCGTGAATGAAAACAGACCACAGTTTCGTAACCTGGCGCGCTGGCGCACCTGCTGCCAGCTGCCCAGTCCAATCATTCGACTCGTTTGACTCGACTGACTCGCCTCTCACAATCCACAACAACAAAAGCCAACAAAAAGAAAAAAAGCCAAAAGAGACATTCACTCAATCACAAGCAGACAAGACTGGCATTGCGCTATCTGACTACTAGTCTAGCTAGAGAGCGACACGTAAACAACAACAAGCAATAGAAAAGAAAAGAAAAGAAAAAGTCCACCATGGCGCCCAACAACAAAGCGGTCGACGAGACGCCGCCGGATGTACCGCTCTTTCTACGCAGTGAGTTACGAGAATGCGTTCGGTGTTAGCTGCATTGTCCTGTAGAATCCTACGTGGATCTTGTAGTACTCACGAATGACGCCAAAGCGAAGCTTCAGTCATGGAATATCGGGACTCAATTGTCTGCCTAGCCGTTACCTAACACCGTTGCTTGCTCTCCTTTCTCTTTGTCTATCTATCTACCTGTTATATCTATCTATGCTATATAGAAACCTACCATATGATCGACAGCTGCGATCCGACTATAGCTTGCTGGAGTGACGATGGCGAAACCTTTATAGTGAAGGATCCTAGCAAATTTGAAGCTACCATCATTCCCCAGTTCTTCAAGCACTCAAAGTTCACTAGCTTTGTCCGGCAGCTCAACTTTTACAGTTTCAGAAAAATCAAGTACATGGACACCCTGCGACTAGATCCAAAGCTAGAAGCTCAAACCGCTAACTACTGGAGATTCAAGCATGATAAGTTCCAACGAGGAAAACCCCATCTTTTGTCAGAGATCAAACGCATGACTGGAAGCAAGGGTGGACCGGCCGCCAACAAGACACCACCTGCACCCGTGACAAGCGCCAATGGAGCAGGTTCCGAAGCCATGAAGAGCGAACTAGATTCTCTCAAGAAGCGCATTGAAGAAATGAACAAGAACATGACTCAGCTAACGTCTATGGTCCAAAAGGTCACCCTTTCGAGCAGCAGCAAGGACGAGGAAGAAGAAGCGGCAAGTAAGCCTCCTGCTGCCTCGGTAGTCAAGCAAGACGGTAGTGTTCCACATGTTCCTGTAGGCTCGAAGCGCAAAAAGTTGGATACGTCTCTTCCCGAATCGGTTCCTTCCTTGGCTCAGGCAGCCGTTTCCGTGGCTCCGCCCCAGCCAATATTACCGCCGGATGTTGTGGGATCCCTCGATGATACTGCTCTCATTGTACGACCCGATGAAATGCTCAGTTCCAATGTTGACTTTGAAGAAATACTTCCGATGGATCTCGGCGGAGACGAACAAGTACAGCTTCAGCCGCTCGATACGTCGGCTCAGCCTGTTGACACGCTCTACGATTTTAGCAAGGACCTCAACGGTGACGATGTTGCACTGGTGGATGTTTGCCAGAACGGGGACTCGGCCGACGCTGTGGAAGACAGCACTGCCACGCACCTCTTGCCGGATCCATCCACGGGACTTCCGCCCACTGCTTTCGAACTAGCGTCACGAAGCCGGCCCAATCGGGCTGACCCGGAGCTCATGGATCGACTCTCGGAAGCGCTGGCTGTGCTACCCAAAGCCATGCAAGAACAGATTGTAGAACGACTCATCGCGGCCATTACCACCACGGATCTGTACACTGCTCCTATGCCAGCCAACGTAGTGCCAGCAGGCCAACAAGGCGAATCATCAGCCATGGAAGACGACAAGAGCGTTGCCAGCAAAGACGACCAAGAAAAGTCGTCACCCGCGGCCGTCGGAGAAATTGGTATGCCATTGGCAGCAGCGACATTGGCGGCTCTCCTTGGTCACTACAGCGAGCAGGTCAAGAAACAGCGCTCTTCTTCTCCTTCGTCGTCCTGCAGTGCCAACAAAAGCAAGGCATCCAGAACTGGTGTCAAGGATATTCCGGTCATCCCAGTTCACGCTTAGGTAACACACGACAATGCCGACTTTCGTGGCTCTTTTGTTGGAGCTTTCCACGACCGTTGCCGATGGGGAGGTTCGATGATGCAGACAGTCAATCTACTGAGGTCCGATTCTGACCACGACAACTATGCAAGGAGCAAGGGTTTGATATGAGCAATTGCGAAAAGCAATCGCAGACTCGACTCTTTACCAACGGAACCTCAATACCCCGACTACAACAATCTGCTAGTAGATACTACCAATACATATATTTCATCATGACGCCCATTGATGGATTGGCCCTTGACTCGTTACAGAGAATTTCGAACGAATTTACCACAGAGGAAGAGTTCCTAGGGATTGGGGAATCCTACATGCCGCCGTCTCACGATGACAGGATTGATTTGATTCACGTTGCATTCAAGTTCAATTTACACGCTTTCTACATGTATTTATTCTGCCTATAACACTCAAGTCCGCTTCTCGCCTTCGCCTGCATTTATTATGGTCAGGTGCTTCAGTCGTTCGTTTTTGTCACTCTTGTCGTTTGGCGGCGAGTTTTGTGTGCGGATTGTCTTTGCCCCCAAAGCTGCGAGTCGTAGTTTTACATGTAAAATGAAACGATAATTGCCAAGCGCGACGGCGTTTGGTAGTTTGGTAGGGAGCTTGCCGCAATCGTCGCTTCTAGAGCCACAGGTGTTTTCTCTTCTCTCCACGGTTTTATCCGGAACAAGCCCGTGGGTTGTTTGCAGTGGCACCGCCCCATCCTCGACGCAAATTATACGCTTTTCTGTTGCTACGTTAGCAAGCTAGATAGTTCTGGGGTCTTTGATTATGCGCGAAAGCCACAGGCCAAAGCAGCCACGAAAACTACATGGGTATGTCCTCGACTCGTCGAACGTTGTCGCTGTCCTCCTTGTCTCTGCTAGCTAGCACCCAGGTCGCTCGCAGGCTCCTTAATAAATGCAGAGGAGACAACCAAGTCTTGTTCTCTAGCTAGCTACATGTAATGACGGATGTTGCAAGCTTTGGCCTCCTCGAGCTGGCTTGGTACTCGCACAAGAAACAATCAGCTCTGCACCCCTACCGTAGTCTACCCGTGTTCAGCGCAAGGCAGGAAGCCAAGCAAACGCCGACCAAAGGTCTGCAAGCCTTTGCGGTGCCTCTCTTTAGTACTGTACAGTAGGCTGTGGATAGAGGAGAAGAAGACGACAAGGAAATAGTTCATCCGTAGCATTTTGAATTGTTTCTAGCATTTTTTGGATTATCTAGTTTTTCTTCGTTTTCGGGCCACCCAACCCAACCCCACAGCAGGAGCATCCCCTGCCCCGAGCGAGCCTCTAGCTAGCTAGATCGTTGGTTCTTGTGGGTTGTAGCGGCAATTTTGTCATTGTCATTGCAGAGCCATGTACGTAGCGTCGTACAGCCTGGGTACCTTTGATGCCCGTGTCGCTGTCGAATCGCTTTTTGAATATGCAAAATGAAGGATGGATCGGCGCTGGTATTTTGTTGTCTGGCGTGTTTGTCGTTGACGGAGCTCACCAGGCTGCCAGCGTAAGCCATTATAGATCCATCCGTGTCGTATCAGTCTTCCATCGACCCACCCAATCCAGCGGAGAAAGGCACGACGAACACTTTCTTCCACTGAAGGGTACAAGCCGACAGTCAGTAGTGTGCGTAGATTGTTGTTGTTGTTGTGAAAATAGTAGTGGTAGTCCCCAGTATCGTGTCATGTTCTTATGCATGGCATGGAATGACGGGAAGGGGCTTGACGGGTTTGTTGACGGCTTGTTGTTGTTGTTCATTATCCTTGACAAGGTTGCTGTAGTAGCTGAGCAATGACGCCAAAGTAGCGGCAGCCAATGGCATACCAAGTGCTTCCAAGTCGTTCGCTGGCGTGGCCACGGCTTGTGGCGTCAGATCATCTTCGTCATCATCCTTCTTGATCGATGGCACAACCACAGCCTGTGTGGCAGTGGTAGGTCCCAATAGCGCATTGGACGTGATAGAGTCAATGAGCCGATTGACAATTTGTTCCTGCATGTCCTTGGGCAATACTGCCAGTGCTTCCGAGAGCCGGTCCATCAAGACCGGATCTGCGCGATTGTTGTTGTTGTTGTTATTCTTCTTGGATGGGTTCCAATGCGACTGTGACGAGAGACTGGACGAACTGGATCCGACCGATGTTGGTTCAGGGAGTGCATCCAAAGCCATGGCAGTGTCCTCAACAGCGGTTTCATCTTGTCCAAATGCCGAGAAGAGCTGATCGACAAAATCCGAGTCGGTAGCATTGGATGCGATAGAAGACGCTCTTGTGGATGGTAACGGCTCTGGCATGGGATAAGAAGATACGGTTTCGAGATCCATCATTCCATCCGTGGCAGTGGTGAATAATTCCTCCGGATTGGCTTCCATGAGTAGATCGAGAGCGGCATCGGGAAGCAACTCGGCAGGAGCATCCGCCACAGAAGAAGAAGAGACGGACTGAGGAGGAAGCACAATCTCCACCTTTTTGCGTTTGTTTCCCACGGGGACATCCTTTGGTTGTGGGTCACTGATGGATACTTTCTGAACCATGTTGGTGAGTTCATTCATGTTTTTGTTCATTTCCTCTAGTTGTTTCTTGAGAATGTCAATTTCCGACTGCATGGCTTCATTGTTCTGATCACAGTGAGTAGAGTTGTGTGTGGAGTTGGCATCTGACTTGACAGAAGATGGAGTGGCCTTGTTATTGCTGGTAGCAGAAGTAGAAGCAGTGGCAGCAGCCTGAGCCCTGGACTGAGACGCCGTCATTCTCTTGATTTGAGTGAGCAAATTTGGTTTTCCCCGTTGGAACTTATCATGCTTGAATCTCCAGTAGTTAGCGGTTTGCGCTTCTAGCTTTGGATCTAGACGTAGCGTGTCCATGTACTTGATTTTTCTGAAACTGTAAAAGTTGAGCTGGCGGACAAAGCTAGTAAACTTAGAGTGCTTGAAGAACTGGGGAATGATGGTAGCTTCAAATTTGCTAGGATCCTTCACTATAAAGGTTTCGCCATCGTCACTCCAGCAAGCTATAGTCGGATCGCAGCTGTCAATCATATGGTAGGTTTCTATATAATAAGTAGTAAGGATAAGATAAGGTTAGAGAACGCCATGGTCAACATTTATTTTTAGGAAATCAAGTTTTGGTGGGTCTGGCGGGACAATGACAGGTCTACGTAGGATCCTACGCAGCCGAGTACCAGACCCACCATTCCGAGTGGCAGACAATGACTTACTTCTCAAGAACATTGGAACCTCCTGCGGAATATCGGACGGCTTGGTGGCTCCCATTGTGTGCGCCATGGTCGACTATATACTACTACTGTCGATTACTAGTATTGAATGGACTGCTTGTCTGGTTGGTTGCAAGGTGCTTGCTCTGTTGTATCGTGGTTGGATTTGATCTTTGCAATGACCAATCTGTTTGTTTTATGATGAGGGCGTTGGCTTTTTGACTTGACTCAATTGTTGCCATCTGGAGGGTCGCCTGCCGTCTCGTCGTGCAGGTTTCAAAATCATACAAAATCACACGTTCTTAACCCTTTCTTTCACTTTCCCTGCAAACATTACTTAAAGGTCGCGGAAACATTTTCTCAATCTCTAACCATGTTCTACAGTGAACATCCGTTGAGTACAAACAAGACTTATTGTTGATAAATCTACTTCTATCTATAGACGAGGGAAGACAAAAGGGGTGCGCACATTCCAGTCCAGTTCGCAGTACAGCGTTCTATGGGAATGCCGCTCAGGCTAACGATCAGTTCCGAACACCAACGAATAACCAGCAATTTAAGCTCTAACCTTAGTCAGCAACGCACACGACCCGACCCCCACGGGCATGGGAATTTTAAGGAAGCAGTTCGAAGGGCTCGTGCTGAGACCATGCATGCATTTCGCTTTCTCTGGCTTTTGAGGGAGCTTGATTCATACAGTAGGGCTACAGTAGAGAGGTTACCATGAACCCCACTGCATGCAGGCAATCCATCGTCCCAGAGCTTTCTCTAGCTAGCTAGAGCTTGACTCCACTAACTCGGTAGTTGGTGCCTCTTCCAGATACCATTCTGTTTCCCTGCTGGCACAATGAGCTACCACCGTTCTCTCTGGGATGACAATGGTGCACTTGCACTCTTCCGCTAATCTTGACCCTTTTACTCCCTCTACTTCCCCTCTACTTCCTCCTTGCTCCACGCATTCCCCTAGCCCCCCTTTTGCCCTGCTCCCTGCTCTACCAGTGCTATCCATTCCCGGTACGGTACCGATGCAACCGCTCTGCCTAACTTAGCCCCCCCCAGGTCCATATCATATCTATTTAGTATATATTTTCTTCTTTCTTTCTGTTTGGTGTTAACTACACTGAAACTTTGGTGGGATAGGGGGCACGTCAAGATCCCATAGATGGGCTGCTCGTGAAAAGACTAGGCTTGCTGTCACGACAAGAAGGGCTGGAACTACTCGAAGGCGGTTCCAACATGGTTTCTGTTGTTCTGTCCAAGCAAGAGACTAATATGGAGGATTTCACCAACAGAGACCAACAGAATGGCTGATACCAAGACACTTTGACAATCCTTTTTAAAACCACATCAATTAAAAACAAAAAAACCTTCCAAATAGGCCACTGCTCCCTGCCACCAAGTGAATGCCCTACTAACCAAACTGGCCTGTGCAGGGCTTCCACCAGTGCCTAGGTTGCCAACTTGGGGCAAAGGATTCAGGATAGGTGAAAATGTGGGAAAGTCAGTTTGTCCCCACATTTGGACAAGTCCATTATTTGTGTCAGGACCATCATAAAAGGGTGCTCCAACAAGGACTTTGGTCCCATCACCAGAAACGGCAACACTCCATCCCAACTCATCACCTTCCCTAATTCCATCAATATCAAAACCTTGGGCCCTGCTGATCTCTTGAAGGACCCAATCCGTGCCATCAAACTTGTAGATGCGAGTGTAACCGCGAGAAGGTGTAGGGGTTGAGCCCAAGAAAACAGTTACAGATCCAGCCACAAGGGTTTTGCCATCATCCGATAAATCAATGGTGGACCCAAAGCCATCTATTTCGTTGTCCCCGATGAGATCACTTTTGTATTATGTATCACAATCCACAAGGGGCGGGGTCAGTAATCAATAAAATCATGGGGCATACACATTTCACAGTGCGCAATGATTACCTTCCCAATTGCCTCCATGTTTCTCCGATTCTTTCAAAGACTTGTACCCTACCAATAGTGTTAGAGAAATCTCCATCAAATCCAGGAGAACCAACTGCAATGATGCTTCCATCATAACTTAGAGCCACGGAATTGCCAAACCGGTCATTGATAGCAGACCCAAACATTGCTCCACCGTCAACAATATTAGTCTGGACAACTAAGCTTTCGATGTTGTAAACACGGCATTCACCAAACCGTGTGGCTAGAGACTCAGAGGATCCAGATCCGGGCATTCCAATAGCAAACCAGCTGCCATCTCCAGAAAAGGCTACAGATGCCCCCAACTGTGCATTTTGAATTTCTCCATAAAATCCAGAAATGTCACCAAAATAGTCATAACGCTCCCAGTCAGTGCCATTCCAGAAGTAGTTTGTTGCAAAGCCAATGTCAAGTAGAGTTGGGCTGTCATATTCGGGAGCCCCAACTGCAATTTTGTTTCCATCTGCTGACATAGAAATGGAAAAACCAAATGATGCAATTGGCGATGTTCCATCTCTCTCAACACCTTGAATTGTACTGCCTCTTTGCACCCACATGTCTGCGCTTGTGTTGTATTGGAATACAAAAACAACTCGATTGTTGGTAGAGCCCACAGCAACAATGCTGCCATCTCGTGATATTGCAACTGAACGACCACTATTGAAGATAAAAGAGACAGGAAAACCTGTCAAGACTTGACCTTTTGGAGTCCATCCATTGGCAGCATTCTCGTAGACTCGAACAATGCCAGTTTGTCTTTCATGGACCACTATTGTTGTTCCTGTCTCATCTATGGTCACAGACTCTCCAAATTCTCCCCTATTGGTATCTCCCACAAGATTTCCTCCAAACTGAACATATCCGCTGATGGGAACCAACCGACGATGCTCCGCATTCAAGTCAATCATGTGCAGTGAATACTTTTGGGGTTCAGTGGTACCAGCACTGGTGCCTACCACTGATAGAAAGAGAAAAGCAGCATGAAGACACAGCAGGATAGCCTTTGAGAAACTTGTAGGGCCACGGCACCATTGTGCAAGATTGTTGAAATTCACTAACATGGTTGACTGTTGGATTCAAAGGATCAACAAATAGGACTGCGGAAGTAACTAAACTACCGGTACTATAGATAGTACAATGAATGATAGCAGGGATAAATGAAAAATGAAAATGAGAACGAGAGCAACTAAACAATTTTTAAAAAGTTGGAAGTAAATTCACGAGAGGAGACCATTTTGCAACGAAGCATGCGAGCGAGCGCACAGCGTTGGTTTTTATCTTTCATAGGAAACGGCGGTTCAACGTTGCCGTACAGATGGCAGATGGTACCGGTAGCAACGAGTGGCCAGCCAGTCAATTGATGAGCGACGACTGGAAACATCCTTGAGGTGCCCCATGACCTTACTGAATCCTACCATACCGTACCGTACCATACCGTACCGTACGGTAGGCTGGGCATCAATGTCGCACCAAATGCTTGAGCTTTTTGTTTTTGAAATAATGAGAAGCGACGTCAGTCGACTGACACTGAAATCAAATCAAATCTTGTCGGAAGCAAAGGCTTTATCTTCAGAAGCCGACACCTTGTATTTGTATTCCTATTCTTAAACATGTTCTTTCGATTTGGAAGGTTTGGCTTGCGTGGTCGCACTTCTGTATTCCGAGAGGCTCTTGGAGATTGAATCATTCGGAGCCTTCTCGATGGTTCCAGGCTTGGAAGCACGAAGAAGGAGTGGTGTCAGACCGGCGCGCTGCGTAGAAGTTGGTAGGAAATGCACGAAGAGTTCGAAGGAGCAAACCATTCAAAAAGTCAATCTATCCATCTTCTTGATTAGTTTTAGAGAAGTCAAAGTCAAAGCGAAGAGACAACAAGCAACAACAACAAGCAACAACAATCTCTTCTATAGTCTACTATACATCTTCACTAGTGACTGAACGGAAGCAATGATGTCCAACGACCAACAAGACGCGACTCGCTTGACGTGCGACGCTCTTTGTTCGCTTGGAGCAGCGGCGCCTCCTTACGCTGATGCTAGTACTGGTAGTAATGCTACGGGTGGAGCTACTACTGGCGCTGGTACTGCTACTATTAATAGTAGTAATAACGCTGCTTGCACCAGAGGAGGCAAATCGGCGTCATTGTCTGCTTGTCCCAAACAGCATCAGTTGCCGCTCTTTCTTTCCAGTGCGTTCCCATTGAGTACTGTACAAACTCTACAGTCGGTCCAGACTGTGTCACTCACACTTGATCTGTCATTTTTCTATCCTTATTTTTATCCCTAATCATTTTCTATACCATGTTCGTTGCATTGGACATCACGCAGAGACCTACCACATGATTGACCGCTGTGAACCCACGGTGGCGACCTGGAGTGTCGATGGATCCAACTTTGTCGTCAAAAATGTAGAAAAGTTTGCAAGTGTGAGTTTATTAGTAGCAAAGCTTTGCTAGCTAACTAAGGTCTATGGATAGCTATGGCTATAGCTATGTCATAGCTTGACCTGAGCTTGACCTGAGCTTGACCTGAGCTTTACTCACTCACCTGATCTAACCATACGTTGCGTTCTGTTTTGTTTTGTTTGTGCATTCATCATTTGTGATTTTACTACATTAGGGAGTCCTACCACTCTATTTCAAGCACTCCAACTTTTCCAGTTTTGCAAGACAACTCAACTTTTACGGATTTCGAAAACTACGCACGGATCCCATTCTCACGTCCGATGTCGATCCACGGACGGCTTGCTATGTGCGATTTTATCATGAAAAGTTTCAAAAGGATAGACCCGAACTATTGCATCAGATCAAACGAGCCACAAAGTCAGATCAGCAATCCAAAGATGACTTGGAATCACTCAAGGCTGAAGTCAACAGGCTCAAAGATACTATTGGACAGTTACGAGATGATACCGATCGACGATTGGCAGAAATGTCGTACGAGTGCAATCGACGCATCACCAGTATGACACAAGAGTACGACAAGTTGGCCGCTCTTGTACAGCAACTCATGGCCACCACTACTACAAGTAGTACCAGTGGTGCTAGTCATACAGGAACCACCATGCCCCCGCCAACGTCTGCTCCACCACCGTCGATTCAGCATCACAACCCACATGCCGCTGCCATTGCGGCGGCGGCTGCAGTCGCTGCGGGGACTATTGTGCAACCGCCTCCTTCGGCACCTACACCGGCTCACATTATGGCGGCAGCACCCCCCGTTCCAGCACCCGTGCATGTACCCGTACAGCCGCCACCTCCCGCACCAGTCCTGGCTCCGACTGTCACTCATCACGTACAGCCGCCCCTTGCAACTCCACCAACAGCAGTTCAAACACAACCGCAGCCACCCGCCAACGTCGTACCAACCATGCCAACAGTAGATCCAGCTGCTCCGCCACCACCACCACCACAACGAATGCCAGACTTGATGCAATCCTTGTCACAAGCTGCCGCTATGAGTCTACAACAGCAGCAGCAGCAGCAACAACCATCACCAACAAGCCAACAACCAACACTAACGATCCCACAACCAACACTAACGATCACACAACCAATTGCAGCTGCAACTACGACGACAGTTCTGGACACTCACAAACGACCGGCAGAAGGAGAACCGGAAGGGGCGCCGGCGCCAAAGCAACCTGCTACTAGTACAGCAATCGCTACAACTGATACAACTACTACAGCAACAGCAGAAATGCACACCCAACCACCACAACAACAGCAACAGCCACAAGTCGGGGTGTAAATGTTCTCATAATAAAGAAGTGATGAATGGCAAGGAAAAGGAACGAACCACGGCTACAGACAGACAGAAAGCGGAACAGACAATCGATGCCCTTGTATAAACTAGTATTAAAACAAGTAGCGTAGTCGTGTACTGTACAGTATTTGGTCTCGTTGTCATAGGCTGGCTACCGGTACCGTGTATGCATAGTTACATGCGTACAGAAGCTTCGTTTTCATCGTTTGTTTGACGCTAGCTAGTTATTAGCTGCTAGTCGTTCAAAAAGGTTCAGCAAGAAGTCATTATCAGCCGAGCGAGCCATATGTGGAGTGGTGAGGCAAGACGGAAGAGGATTGGGCTTGCTGATTGTCTCCTTGCCGTTGTAGTCGAGCTGCAGTATGATCCAACCCTTTTTGGTGGTGGTGGTAGTTGCTGTTGTGTGGAGGCAGAAAATAGGTCTGTTCAAACTGTATGGATTGATCATGGCAAATGTGACATCCCAGTCCATCATTGTGTGTTCCGTACAGGATGAATCCAATTTCCTTGTCGGCAATGAACTTATTCTCCAGACAAAAGAAGAATGCAATGAGACTGCTGATAATTTCAAAGATGAACTCGCAGTAGTGTGCCAAAACTTCTCCTCTCATGTCTCCATCCGACGTGCGTCCCATGAGATTGTAACATCCCAGTTGGACCAATGCCACCATAGCGGCGAGGCAGGTCATGAAGAGCTTGCTGTAACTGAATTTGTCGTCGTCGTCGTCATTGTCTTCGTCATTGTCATTGTCGCAGCAATCATCATCCGCGCCAGTATTGCTGCTAGTACTGCTAGTATCCCATTGGAAGATGGACCAGAGGAGCACCATGTCTACAAATGTGAGTGTGATTTCATTGACATACTCAATTTCGTGTGACACGACTTCAAATAGTTCCAAGTTCATGGTAACCAAAAGAGCCGGGACAAAAGATGCGACAATGTTGAAGAATAGAATGAGCTTGAGCATAAGCGGATCATTGTAGATGGTCCTGAGTGCCTTGGGTGTGCTGATGAGAGAGATGCATTCTAGGATTGCAAAGCAAAAGGTAGCCCAGAACTCTACCAGGTGAAACATGATTGGTGAAACGGGTGCATCTTTCTCCTCCCCCTCGTAATGCGAGTTTACATAGTTGACAAAAATGAGGGTCATGTTAATCCCGCAGTAAACCAGACACAGCAGAGCCAGTGTGAAGTTGACATTGGCCAACTGTCGCATTTCCTGGAGTCGATAAATCAACAGAATGTTGGAAGAGTGATTCAGAGAAGCGTTCAAGCCACCTCGAGGCTTACTACTACTACATGTACTGCTAATCGTACCGGTACCACCTGCTTGCGGCTGAGGAGGCGTAGTGCGATATCCACGGCCCGTACCGGTAGCAACGGTAGAACACGTATTACGAGTACTACCGGTACCGCAGCCGCTGTCTAGCAACGGTTCGGTATCATCTGATACACTAATGCTACTATTAGTAGTACATGTAGTAACTGGGGTTTGGTGGGGTATCGGTATCGGTGGTGACATAATGGTTGTCTAGCTAGCTATCTTCCTACTAGAGTGCAATAGACAGCGGTTGGTTGGCTTTGGAGCTTTGCTCTTGTGCTTATTTGGCCACCTCCAGTTCTGTGGCGTGAAAACCGTCTGCATTGGGAATACAGTAAGGCTAAGATTAAAGGCTATTTAAAAAGCCTCTTCCATTCAATTCTTGGCCTCGTCCTAACTAAACAGCTCTACTAAACCTACCACCTTGGCTAGCTAGTACAATGTACATTGTTGCAAGTTGCCAGAGCTTCATCTGAAATCGTACATCATGTACCGTACCAGCACCGGTAGCGGGTACCGGAACTGATACCGGTACTTCCCTGAGCAAGTCTTCGTGCGTGGGGAGCCTGATGTTGGTGAGGCTATAGCTTCTGTAGCTAGGTGCATGTTCTTGCAGGTTGCAAGTTGGATTGTATAGTCGCAGCATCATACTAGAGGACGCAGTGCAGTGCTGTGCCAAAACAGGCCACTGGCAGCCAGGCAGGAATACAATAAACGAGGAGCTTCCTGAAGGAAGTGCTTATCTATCTATCCTCTATGCCAGCAGTGGTATAGCTGAGTCTTTCCTGCCGTGGTCACGCACAGAGCCTGGGAGAGGCAGTCAACGAATCGAATGGAATGATCACAGGAAACTTCCAATGATGCGGCGCAATACACAAGCCTCGCTGAGAATCTCAATGCGGCCAACTTACCGTACCGTACGGTACCGGTACGTGGAATCTTCCCCACTTTCTCCTCGTTCAATTTTTTTGGTTGGAGTATCTGTTGAGCTACTCAGGTACGTAGACAAGGCATTATTAGTAAAGGGACGCACAACGTGGAAGATGCATCATCCACAAAGTCAAAGCGTGAAAGAGCATCAAAGAACCGCATGTATCAGTACTAGTACAGACTACGCAGTCATGATCAATCACTCGAGGACTTCCGAGTGTGACAATGGTTCCGCATTTTGGAGGAAGCAGATCTTTCAAACTACATCGTACTGGAAAGACTAGAGAGAATAGCTACTAGCTACCGTAGCCAGCTAGCAAGAGTGGCAAGTGTGAAAGATTCCATTGAATCGAGTCGAGTCATTTGACTCAGATTCGTCATTCGGTACAATGCTAGCTATTAATAGCTAGCTAGATTTGATTTGGCGGAAGTAGAAGCTGTCAGCTGCAGCCTCTGCTGCTCGGCCTCATATGATCCATCCGTTCTATTTATATGCAAAGACAGAGGTCCCATTTTAGTTGGAGCCAAGCCGACGAGCGCTGTGCGGAAGCTATCTTGTGCATGAATGCCAAGCAATGCGGCGCGTGCTACCGGGTTCAATGGCTTGCCACTGATAGATACTAGTAGCTCGTGAGCTAGTGCTGGATGGCTGGTAAGTCAATCTATAAAACATCGAAGCTCATAATTTTTCGAGCAAGTTGACCAGAAGTGACCAGAACTGCCCTGATTTGATTTTTGCTTGCTTGTTTGACCATGACAATGGACCAAGAAAAGAAGATTACGGTGGTTCACTGCTGGACGGCTCCTCGTTCTCGTTCCACGGCATTGCTGTACTCATTTGAAGCTCGAGGAAAGAACTGCGTGGCGATTGATGAACCCTTGAAGCGAGAATGGCTGATTTCCAAGGGCAATCAAGTGCAGCGACCTTACCAGATCAACATGATTGAAGGAGTGCCCCCCAATGACAGACCTGAAGAAGAGCTTCTATGGAAACGAGAAACACTCTCGTTGGGCGAACGCATTCACGCGGCTGCGCAAAAGTTGATGGCCAATGACAAGGCCAATGACACTGACAACGAAGACCCCCCTCTCATTTTCATCAAGCACATGAGCAAGACACACTTTCTATACGACTTTGAAAACGACGTCCACGTGGAATCTATTCCAGGAGTGCACTTCGTCCACAAGCACATGTTCCTCATTCGAGATCCCGTTGCCATTCTTCGAAGTTGGGATGTCTTGTCTGGAGTTCATCACGAGTCCTGTTCCACGGAGGATGTCGGTATTGTCCCCCTCGTGTCCATTTACACGGCCCTCCGTCTTCGTCTCGGCTTGGAGGTTCCCGTCACCATTATGGACTCGGACAAACTTGTGGCCGATCCACCCGGAGTACTCCTTGCGGTCTGCAAGGAACTCGGAGTCCCTTACAAGCCAAGCATGATGACATGGAAGGCAGGACCTCACCAGTGCGATTCTCGTCATGCTCCTTGGTGGTACGTAAATGCTCTTGCGTCCACTGGTTGGAAGATTCCGGATCCAAACGCACCCAACAAGAAGGAAACACCCGTCAAACCCTTGAATCAAAAGCTGCTTCCCGCACTCAAGGACTCGTTCCCTGCCTATGAGATTTTGCTTCGGTGTTGTGCTGCCAGGGGAGAAAGCGCCAACCACAGCATGGAAAACTAAATTAGCTGCCATGGCTGGCTAGAAGAGGAACTTTCGAGGGATACGGTAGTACCGCTGGTATTTCGTAACTGACTGATTGGTTGCCAGCTTGAATCAATGTGTAGATCCATTTTTAGAAAAATTCTCCACGTGGGAATGCCCACTAGATTTCTTAGAAACTAGACCACCAAAAAAGGAGACCTGAGAAACTTTCAGCATTCTCGTGTTCTCAGCCGAAGAGGGAAGATGCCTGTTTGGAAGTACGGTAGGGAGATCACTCTGACTTATGTTGCTGGACGAACGACATTTTGGAAAATCCTTGACATGGAGGGAGAGGTTTTTGGTTTGGTGCCAACGGCAAGACCATGGCTTCAGTGTGCAAGAGATGTGCAGATGTCTTCGTATTGTGGATCCGGGTACACAGCCACTTCAATCCAAAAGCAGTCATCCTCGGCAGAGTACCGCACTAAACATCATCTCGCTGTCGACTTGTACGAATTACAAGCGATGAAACAAGACAAGAGGGCGAGGGCTGAATGAATATCCACGGTGTCTAGAGCTGTCCTGATTGAAAGCGTGTCGTGGAAACTGTCGAGGGTGCAACGATCGACACGAGCTCATCCGCTGAATTGTACCACCATCATGCTCCAGACCCATGTTCGTGTATCAAGAGACTCGCTAACACGACCTGCCTGCTCCGACCTGAACTCGCCGACGAATCGAATCGAATCGATAGTGACCACCAAGGAACTCCCTAACTACCACAAGCTAGCTAGCCTAGCTGCTCCGTCGCAAATCTTCTCATTCAGCATTCATACTTATCTGTTGATCTACCTGCTCATCTGCTGAATTTTATTTATACCATATCCTTGAACCGTCAACGATCAACCATGTTGTGGACTTTCAATATCCTGCTGTGTTTCATTCATTGCAGCCATTGCAGCCATTCTCTCGGCGTCAGTGGATGGTACTGGTACCAGTGAACCTCAAAAGTATGCATTGGCAATCATTGACCTGAATGCGGAAAACAAGAAACAGCGTCGTCAGTTGGTTCCCATCAGTGGATATGTCCAATATGGAGGAAATCTTGTGGGAAATACCAGTTTTGGACAATTTGGAGAGTTTGTGGACATTGACGAGACAGGGACAACAATAGTGGTCCTTGAAGTTTTCACTGGCATTGCTCGTGTCTATGAGTACGCTGCCAACGGATGGACCCAAAAGGGTCAAGACTTGACAGGTTTTACTGGCTCCCTCAGCCGCACTGTCGTCGCAATATCAAGAGATGGCAGCATTGTGGCTGTCAGCTCTTCCGCCAATGAAATTGTTACGGTGTTCTAATATGACACAAGCACAGAGATGTGGTTGCAAAGAGGCAGTACAATTCAAGGCGTTGAGTTGGATGGATCGTCAGTTGAAACCTTTGGTTTTGAGGTTTAAAAAACAACAAAATCTTTATAACGGATGTGGCCCCAATGGACGGATCATCTCTGTGCTGCAGCCGAAGCTTTGGGTAACCGCTCCCGGCCGAAACGGGGATTGGTTTCACAGGAGACCACCACTGGTTCCCTCACCGGCACCACAAGCAAATGGAAACAAAGTTGCAACTGGGGCTCCGCGTCATGGTATTCCAACTCTACGTGACATTGGCTTTGCAACAACCAACATCTGGAATGGCAGTGACTGGCAGCGTCAGGGATATCTTGGTGATGACGGCATCAACTTGGTTTCTGGATTTTATGGAGAATTTGAAAGTGCTCAATTGGGGGCATCTGTATCACTCTCTGGAGATGGCAGCTGGTTTGCTGTTGGAATGCCCAGATCTGGATCCTCTGAGTCTCAAGCCACATGGTTTGGTGAATGTCGTGTTTACAACATTGAAAGCTTCTTCGTCCAGACTTATAATGTTAACGGTGGAGCCATGTTTGGGTCTGCTGTTGGTGACGATTTTGGCGCTTCTGTGGCTCTAAACTATGATGGAAGCATCATTGCAGTTGGCTCTCCTGGGTTTGATATGCTTGAGGCTACAACAGTAGGCAGGGTGCAATTCTTTCAAAGATCTCGCGAATTATGGGTCCAACTAGGAAGGTCAGCATTGAGGACTGTGAAAATTAAATGTGCATGCTGAATGATTCGATTCTTTGGATTACTGACCCTGCCCCCTGTGGCTTGTGACCTACATAGTGATCTCATTGGGGAAGAACAAAATGATAGATTTGGGTATCCCATTGATTTATCCGATGATGGCAAAACACTTGTGGCTGGAGCTCCATTTAGTGACATTGCTGGTTACACACGCGTCTACAAGTTTGATGGCACTGATTGGGTCCTTCAAGAGATCAGCAGGGCCCAAGGTTTTGATATTGATGGAATTAGGGAAGGTGATGAGTTGGGATGGAGTGTTGCAGTTTCTGGAGATGGGACAAAAGTCCTTGTTGGAGCACCGTTGTATGATGGTCCCAACTTAGATAATGGTCTTGTCCAAATGTGGGGACAAACTGAGTTCCCCACATTTTCACCCATCCTGAATCCTTTGCCCCAAGTTGGCAACCTGGGCACTGAAGGAAGTCCCACACAGACCAATTGTGTTAGTAGGGCATGTGCTTGGTGGCAGGGTGCAGTTGCCTATTTGGAAGGTTTTTTGTTTGATTGATTGATGTGGTTTTGAAGGATTATCCACAGATATGCCTATGGAAAGCGTGTCGTGGAAGCCATGCAAAAGAAGACGCTGTTACCGCGGATTTATAAGCCATCTGCCATCTCGATACTGTTATGGTTTGCCCATCAGCCAGAACTTGCAGCTAGTCGGAAAGCAAGTCATACCATGCTCTCTCTCTGGATCCAGTGCCATACCTGGGTGAGTGCCTACTAGAAGTCGATGAAAAGAAAGCAATTGAGGCAGCCTTCAGGCTACAGGAATGGTGGGTTAATAGTCCATTATTCGTGCCTGTTAGCATAGATATGTCACTGTTTGGCTGAGAGACGTATGTGGCGGCAGTGCGTGGCTTAATCCGACAGCATTTGTGTCCAGCCAAATTGCAGTAGCTATCCAAGTACCGTAGCGCTTTGGTTTAGTGCAGATGATGACAGTTTCCAGCCAAATACATCAATACTGGTATTAACGAATCCAGTCCAAGTATAAGGGCCATGAGTAGAACATTGCTCAGACTGCAAAAGCGACGAGTTCTTTGCCGTGACTCTCACTCTTTCTCGGGGACAGTCCTGCTTTCCTCGTTTACGACAATTTGGCATCCCTTGCATGCCTCAGGCCTCGCAAATAAATAGTCGAGTGTTTTGGGCAAGGGAGCCATAACTCCCACCTGACCGAGGTCGGGAACACCATCCTTCGTCCCGAGCAAGAGCGAACCCTACCCTCTAGCGAGCCCTGCAAACCGTCCTTATTCCGCACTGCTGGTTTGAGCTCTGGATTCTTAGATAATGCTGACAAGTTGCGTGGTCGAGATCGTCCTCCCATTCCGGCTTGCTGTAGAGGCAATTCTGCCCAGGGCAGTTGCGGCTGTAGAGCATGATTACAAACAAAAAGCAGCAAAGCATTCCACACAGCTGCTTGCTGAATGTATACATAATTGATCAACCGTTATTTATTAATGAGGGGGAAACCTCGCGAAGGCGACCTATCCGAAGATGCTGGAGATAGGAGATAGCCCTCACGATGATCAGTAGCCAAACTCTGAATTCTCGACAGCTTTGGTGGCAGATTTGGGCCTCACATAACACATAATGTACGGCAATACTAAGTCTTTCCAATAATTGGCCACTCAGAAGACCATGATTACAAGCTGACTTAACGTCACAACAAGGGAGAAGCTCACGTTTACGGCCGTTTAAATAGATGAAGAAACTGGAATCTCATGAGAATCCCTCCGTTCTCCACCACAGGTTCCAGTGTTCCAGTATCCAGGAGACAGGAGACAGTAATCGACTAGACCACTGAAGTAGTAAGTAGTGGACAAAACTAGCTAGTACACGTACAGCTTATGTACACAACTACAGTGTGATATGAGGCTGTTTTCTCCTGATCTGCGGCATCATTTCCTTAAGTCTTGGAAGAACACTGGAGTTCAACACAAGCGAACTGCGGAAAAACCGTTTTCCCATCTCTCACGATGAAGCAATTGATCATTCTGCATTCTGCAGCTCAGCTCCCATCATGCTCACAATTTCAATCTTCAGCATTGGATCAGAGTAGACAAAGATCGAAGAGCCAACTACGAATCACTTCATTATCATGCAAAGAACTACTAGCAGCTCCTCGTTTGATCACTCTGGGTGGTCTCAGGATATCTCTGACATTGTGGGCTGTCAATGCTGTGATGCTGCTACCTGGTCTGAGGACATCTCTACGGTGATTGGCCGGTCTTCCTCGTTTTCTAGTGTTTCTTCGCTCTCTTCATCCAGCTCTTCATTTTCAGTCTGCTCTGAGCAAGACAGTGAGGCCTACAGTCAGAAAATTGCAAGAAGAGCTGCCCGAATCCACAAGCAACACCAAGAAAGCCAAGCTTTGAGACTTAAGTTCAGACTGCGAATTATCCGCAGTGACGAAACTACAGAGGCAGCAACGCAAACAGCAAGCAAAATTGCACCCAGAAGAAAAGGCTTCTTCTAATCAGTTTCCTGTGCCTACCAGACTCTTAGATATGAAACCGAACACGTCCACTCCTTGCTTCCTCCTCCTCCAAGCTTCCAATCCATGATACCAAATCTTAGATGCAACCATTGCTGCCGTGAGTAACATTTACATAGTACACAAACTAGCTAGTTTACAACTTCCCGTTAGGATGTTTCCCGCTACTACTGGGGTCTAGTCATTCAAGAATGCAACAAAAGAGACATAATCCGCTTGTAACAGCAACCGATCATCCTTCAATCGTCATGTTGTTGATAGAATGCACCAAAAATTGCATAGATTGATGCATCGGAGTGTGGAGCTAAACAACAACGGCATCTATTCAACCCCGCAAGGAGGTTCTCCAGGTCCAGTAGGGGGGGGGCAGGAAAAGGATTTGCTTTGCTGTTTCAGTTTCTGCAATGGCCTACTTGCTTCCAGGTCTTTCTCATTGCATTGATGCTGCCAGTTACCGGCACAGCCATTACATTCTTTAATACAAGGGGCATCAAGCCATGGGAGTGGTTCCGTAGGAATCGCTCCCCGCCACAACATTGGCTTTGGAATTTGGGGATGTCCTTGCTAGCAAACATGTTTTGACTGCATTTTTAAGCAGTCCGGCCCAACCCAGGGAGATCAGATTCCCTCCTCCCGTCTCCTTCTCTCGTCTCGCTCTCGGCCTCTGGCTTGATAGTAGCGTAAACACTTAGCGTAAACAGCCAGTGGCAACCAGGCCGGTCTCAAACGATCGAGTCCCTTCATGGCTCTCTTTGGATCCAGGCAGCAGCCGTGGATCCCAATTTGCGATAAAGATAACTGGCCGGGGCTCCTGGTCGTGCCTGATAGGATGTATTTGCCTGTGTTTGGCTGAGATACAAGCAGTCAATGATAGCAGGACGGGTGGCTGACTTTGATCCGGGTTTGAGAGGAGATTTTGTCGTCTTTTGGAATCAAATAGCCAAGTATGGCGTAACATCCAGGTCTAGCAAACGTTGACTAACAGGACAATTGCTTTGTAGCCGCCAAAGAAGGCCAGGTCGAAGTACCGTACTAACTACTGACAGCGACCCGTACCAAGGCATGGGAACACCTTTGACCTAAAAGCAACGACAAGTTCTTTGACATAGTTCTGAGTCAGTCCTGTTTTCTTTTGTCGCCGTGCCTCAGGCCTAGCAGCTAGGAGCTGCTGCAACTGGAGTCTTAGCACCCTTCGGGGAAACCCTCAACGAAGCAGTGCCGGAAGTGAACCCTTGAGGTCCCTTGCCCTGCAGCCTGGTACCTTACTGATATTTAAACTGGGGCGAAAGCTTTTCGGCAGGCAGAGAAACCACTGAAGATGGAGCCACGGTACCGTATTAGACTAGTCTAGTAGGAAGGATAGCTGCGAATTTACTCAATTCAACTCCATCCGCACGGCTGGGAGCCAATAGCTGGAAAATCTGCAGCAGCGATAGCTGTAGAAGGGAGAAACGTCCTTTACTCCATGCTGTACCGCTTTATGAAACGTCTCCTTAAGACACCTTTGAAAATTAATTAATACGACAGTGGTTGGACCCGTTTTTACAAGACCTTTCTAAAGCGGAAGAGGAATGTAATTCAGTCTTAAGTCCTGACTACACATTAGAGTTGAACTTCAAGCACAAGTCACTCCGTCGGATTAATTGAGAGTACGCCTGCAACCAGAAGGGTTGCTCACAATTTCAATATTCAGCAAAGCTCACTCCCAACTCACTTCATCATCATGCAAGGCACTACCAGTACCAGCAGCTCCATCTTTGATCACACTGAGTGGTCTCAAGATATCTCTGACATTGTGGACTGCCACTGCTGTGATACTGATAACTGGTCTGAGGACATCTCTGCAGTGATTGACCGGTCTTGCTCGTCTTGCAATGTTTCTTTGCTCTCTTCATCCAGCTCTTCCTTTTCAGTCTGCTCTGAGCAAGACAGTGAGGCTTACAGTCAGAAAATTGCAAGAAGAGCAGCCCGAATCCACAAGCAACACCAAGAAAGCCAAACCTTGAGACTCAAGTTCAGACTGCGTAGAATCCACAGAGATGAAGCAACAAGCAGCAACACAAACACCGACCAAAAGTAAATCTTAAAGAAAGATCATCTTGTGAACAGCATATGGAGCCACCAGACTCTTTATGTGAAACCATAAGGAAAACATGAACAACCAATTCCTTTGCTTCTTTCTTCTTTTCCAAGCTCCAATTCCCTCCAAGCTTCAAAGCAATGACACCATAGTTAGATCCGACCTTTGCCTGCATTTTAGAACATTGACATAAAATAATTACACATCACTGGATACTTGATATCTTTCCGGCAAGCCTAGCCACTAGCCACTACTCGTAGCAGTCATTCAATGCTGTGCAAAAGAGTCACTATGTTCTACTCTGCTATGGACTGCTGAAGTGTTCAGCTCAAAAACAACAGCATCTATCGACCCATCAGGGTGTCTTACGGCTTACCTCGAACTTCCAAGGTTGCTGGCCCTTCCCTCGGACTTGACTCGAAATTTAGAATGTTGGGCTTGCTCTGCAGCCTCATTTTCCGCCTAAGCGAAGGACTCCATGGTGCATTCCTCCATCTCTATCCACAGCCTGCATCTATTGCTGTCATCTATCCTCCCTTGCTTCCTGAAGCTCACAAGGCTAAGTAGCTGGTTACTGAGTTGGACGTCTGCCAGAAGATACAGCTGATGAGCTGGGGATTGAAGCGAACTCGGGTGCAAGTACGAATTTATAAAATGGAGCAAAAAGTGAGAATACTAAATAATTTACTGGGATTGACAGAGTCAACCCATCACGCCACAGTTCTGCTGCCTCGTGCGGTCTATCCAATGCAGCAAAAAGTGAGAGTGCTAAAGTATACGAGTACTGGTAGCTAGTACTCGAGTAGTTGTGAATGTGCGGAAGCTATTTGGTTCACGTGGCCAAAGTTCATGCCGGAAGAGAGGCGTTTTTGCAGCGCGCAGCTCCGGCAGCGTGACAGCGTGACACGAAAACGTTAGAAAACAAAAGTGGCTGTCACGAACTCTGCTTTCATCATCTCCAAATTGCCTTCCTGGAATCGAATCCCTTTGACACCATTTGTTCAAGTTGGTTGGGGGGGTCAGGTCGTTCACCTAGCAGCTCCTAGCTAGCAGGCTACGAACTTTCCTGTTGGGCAGCCATCTGCTTAGTTTGTACATGATGATATGCTATTTTTTATTTTCCATATGCAGATAGCTAGCTATAGTGAGACAAAGTGTGATCATTCTCTTTCTTCTTCTCCCTCTGATCACCTTTGTTAGTGTTACACGCAAAATCGTGGAGTGCAATAATTGGTTTCATGGATTCTATTCAATCAAGCTGGCATCAGGCAAGCTCCCATGCTTTCTTCTTCTGTTTGCTCAGGCTTGATTATTTGTTTTGCTAGCACTCTACTAGCTAGACAGCATGGACTGCCCTGGGAGCAAAAATATAGCGATCAAAGTCGTCTTCGGTAAGAGCCCGGTTGCGTAGTCTATCCTTGTGATGCTGTGGTTGTGTCTTGAGGTCTGCTGCGTCGTAGAGCCATCCCCTTGATTGGACCATGAGCTCTTGATAATCGTGTTCGCAGAGTGCCTTGCTTCGGCGGTGAGAGTGGAGACGCATGGGGTGAGCTAGCGGGATACGTGCGGGAATGGCGACCTGAACATCTTCTCTGCGGGCCGGAGCACGTTGACGTGGGCGACTATTGCTAGCGGTTGCTGTAGGCGTCGCTGTAGAATACGCCTCCACCACTGAAACTAGATTACGGAAAGAAGCGTTCATGGCGTCGTCATGGTCGAGGCCCGAGAAAGGTGCGTCCAGGAACGAGGAAGACGACGAGGTCGTCTCGCACGTGTCGCTGCTCTCACCCCGTTTTCGCACTGGCTTCAGGAGTCCTCGTCCTGCTTTCATAGACTGACGCTTCGTACATGTAGTTCTCACTATGTTCAGTGGGTTGAGTTTCTTCAGGAGCATCATGGCGACGGACAACTAATTGCTTGAGCTTGCTTCAAACTGAAAGTGAGGGGCCAAAATTGAGGAGCTTTCGTTTTATGTGCGAAAGAAGCAAGGCGATTTGGCTCCCGACCGTTGCTTTCTTCCGGAAAACCTTCCTTTCACGGTACGGTAGTCTACTCCGCCTTGTGAACGATTGAGGGTGCGACTGAGACAGAGATGCAAACTTGCATTGGCAGGTAGTTTAGGTAAAACATTATAAAGGAATTAATACATTTACCATCTCTCAAGAGATAACCTTGCATTGCAGATTGCAGGTGAAGAAAGAGGAATGAGGAATGGGAACCATCGATCATCATCGATTGTGATGCCAGTCTCCGCTTCGCTTCCTGCCCGCACTGACAGAGTGTGTCACTGCCATACCATACTACCAGTAGCTAGTACCTGGTGGTACCGGTATGGGCACAACGAAGACCTTGTGGCATTGGAGTGAATCGAATCGAATCAAATCGAATCGATCGAAGAGTCGAGTTGAGTCGAGTCAGTCACGCGCCATTGCTGGTTCATTCGTCAACTACAGTAACTTATTTGGAAGCCAGATAGGGTACACTGTACGACTATGACATAGACTCTGATGGTTGTTGATTGCTACCTGGTACTGGTAGAGTACACTGTACCTTTGCATGAATGACATGATTTCTAGTTAGCTTATTAAAAGTGTGATGTGCTTATGTGTCGTTCAAAATGGTAGCTACGATAGCTATTCATACCTCTCTCTTTCAGCGCATCCTGCCTCCTGAGCAGCGCCCTGTGTTTTGATTTCTTCGTGCTACCTGGGTACCTACGGTACCGAGCTAGTAGGAATCACAGCTGTTGCAAGACTCTCGGCAATGCTCCCAGGCTGTTGACCCTTGCACGCACGTCCTGTTTTGCCAGAAAGGTCTAGTGCTGAGCCAGTCACAGGTCCGATTGCCTTGATTGGCATTCACATAGAATGTGATACCAGGGTCATCTTCGCAAGAGTCGGAGCAGAAACCACAAGTCTCTGGGCACACATGATAGGCAGTGGTTGTATCCGTAATATCTGCTGGAAGTTGACACAACGATTCTCGGACTTGTGCGTCACGTCGAGCCAACCATACACAATCTCGTTTACGTCGGTTTCGCAGATTGTCTCCGTCAATCCAAAAGAAAGTTCCTGGACGTGAATCTTCACACGACGGGCGACCTTGAGGGCATCGGTTGCAGGTGTCGGCACACAGGTCATTGGCTGGGTGGCCGTCCACACACAGCCGGGAAATGTAATGTGGGCGTGTGCTCAGCCACAAGCAGTGGCGGTATTCCCAACTTTCGTCCACGTAAAAGCTATACCGTTCATCATCGCTGCAATTGTCGTAACAGAGATTGCAAGTATCTGGACACATGGAATGGGCTGTCGAGGCGGTATTCTCTGGGTTGCACAGTTGATTCTCAGCCACCTTGTCCGGGTGTCGAGTCAGCCATGCACAGTTGATGTAGGAGGTGCTGTTGGGAGTAAGCTTGAACTTGCGGGGAGAGTCTTCGCAGAAACTAGATGGAGCTGTAGATGGGCTTGGAGTGGGAACACCCGTTGGAGCTCCAGATGGACTCTCGGACGGTATAGATGATTCGCTGGGGCTCGCAGACGGTACAGGCGATGCGGAATTGACTGGTGGACAGGAATTGCAGGTCTCAGCGCAAATTGTGTTTGCAGGGTGTGCATCCATACAAAGCCTGTCCTGCCACTTGGGCTGCTGCCAGAGCCATTGGCAAGTGCGATTGCCGAGAGAATGGCTGACAAAGAATGGCTCGCTGAGGTCGTCGTCGCAGCCATCAAAGCATTCACCGCATGTATCAGGGCAAAATGTGGCAGCTTGACTGGTAGGGTCGCTGCACAGATTGTTGCGTAGTCTATCCCTCTGACGCTTCAGCCAAACGCAGTTGACAAGAGAGGGTCTGGTGTGAAGGCTCTCGTCAAAATACTGCCAATTTTCATCGTCAAAATCTTCGCAGAACGCAGTGGGGGTCTCAGACACAACGGGAGCTCCTGACGGTGCCCAAGAAGGTGCCACAGACACCGAGGGCATCACTGATGGCGACATGGATAGGGTGGGTGAAACCGTGGGATAGGGATCTCCCACCTGATAACTGTCGTCTTCACATCCGCTGGTTTGTCCATCCAAGTATATGCTCAGGCGGACAAAGTCGAGGTTTGGTCCTCGAACCTGGAGACAGACTTGAAAATGAACCGCTCGACCCCCCGAAGCAAAGTTGCCATAGGAGAAGGTGTACTCCCCAGGCTCTGCCCGCTTACGAATGGATGGAGGTTGGATGGTTCCCGCAACCCAGGACTGTATCCCATTGGAACTCGCAAGGCTCCCCTCTTCCTCAATGATCACAACCTGGTTGGGATATTCTCTCGTTTCTCGGTTGAATTTCTTGGCGCGGTTGAACTGGCAATAGAGTCGCTTCTGAGAGTTGTCGGACGAGATCTGCAGAACTACCGGTTGCGCCACATGGGCGGCAGAATAATCGACAAAGGCAACCATGTCTCCAGTCCAGGGAAGAGTACTCGTTGCGCTTGAATCCGTGGGAGACGGCTCCACGACCAAGGCTCGTGAGCGGTCCTCGTACCATCGCAAGAACCAGTTCTTTTGGGCATTGAAGCAACTTCTGGGGTAGTCACCGGTCTTGACACCAAAGCCAAGCATGCCTGTCAAATCTCCGTATGCCTGGCCAGACTCTCCTGCATGATTGAGATTCCAATTGTGCCCTAGTTCGTGTGCCAATGCGCTCAAGCTGGTTCCCCAATCATTGTTAAAGATAGAGTACTTTCCTCGCAAGTATGCGTAGGCCAAGTAGTTTCGACCGCGGAATCGGATAAGGTTGCTGTTTGGAAAGACGATCACGATGTGATTGGTACGAGCCAAAAAGTCGGGACCGTACCAGTCTCTCAGCTTGAGCACCACTTTGTTTTCCAATGTCCGAACCGAGTCATCGTTGTGAGCCACTGCTTCGGTAATGTTCATCTCTGTCACCCCTCGTACGATCGCACTGGAATTGGAGGATCGATCCCTGGGGCGGATCGGTGGTGCAGGGCCAAGGATAAGCTTATCGAAACTGCATTCCTTGATTTGACGGCGTAGATTGACATCTCGTTTTGCCTGGGGACCAATACCAAAGATTCTTCCACTGAGATCATCCGCCGTGACTGTCGGAGCAAACCCCAAGTATGTGACGCGAACCACCAAAACTTTGCTGTATCCCATGTTTTGGTAGGTTTGAGTCAAAGAACGACGACGATGGTGAACAGAGTTGACAGTGGCATCTCCCAAACTGATGATATTCGAAGGTCGACGTCCGATTGTGATGGTGGCATTGGGAAGAATGTCCAAGGTCGCAGTGGATTCATCACGCAGGACGTGGGATATGTGTATCCAATCGTTGGGTTGCGAATCATCCGAGTCCAAGAAAAGCTGGTTGCGAATCGACTGTGGAAGATTGTTCATTTTGTACATCCATAAGGCAGTACTACTGTTGCTATTGCCATTGTTACCATTGTCGTTGGGTAAAGTAGTCTCACAGACTATATCCTCTTGATCATCATCAGTATCCTCCAAGGCTGGTTGCACGTCCGTCCAGTTGTTGGATTCCGTTGTGGACTCCAAGAAATCCACACGGAGTTTCATCACATGACACAACACAGACGAAGGCTCCGACTCTTGTAAGTGTCGTCTGAGGCCCCAAGCAACAGCCTGGCCACGAAGAGACGGTTCTGGATGCCGCAGAAGTGTGGCGTTGGACGAACGAGGGTAAAGCAAAAGCAAGCCCATGGTCATGGCACCCATTGAGACGAAAGCCTGGGATCGTAACTTCATGATGCTGATTTCTCTTAGGCGTTCTTGTCGATGCTCGAAAGAACAAGTGACCACTTTGACAGAGTCGGTATCATGAGACGCATCCGAGATTGTCTTGGCCTCCCACGATGAATCATCCGACTGTCGTTTCTTCCAGCTCCACTTCCCTCAACGCTGTCTGTTCTTTATCGTCTTGGTCTGAGATTGGATCCCATGAATGCTCTCGACTTTGTCGGGCGTGATGCAGGATGAAACTCTTGTTTTTGGAACAGTTTGATAGGGTAGATGGCCGGCACCTCGAAACCACCTGAGGGAGGTGCATCGTGGAGTTCCACGCCAAACGTCCACGCTCGCTGTGAAGGTGGAGAGGAGAGCACACCGGACCAAAACGGAGAACGGCGTAAGGTGCCTGAGAAGGTTTTCAGCCTTTTTTTAAAAAGTCGCGTCGCTTCATCAGGTTCGGCGCAGCACTACTGGTAGTAGTGGGCTAGCCAGCTATCGGTACGGTAGAGTCTAGTGTGTGGATTCAGAATTTTAGAAATTGCTGCTGGCTGTGCTGTAGAAGGCAGGTCTGAAGAGGATTACCAAACACGGATCGATTCGTCCGTGGGGCGTTGGGTAGTACGTCTGGAACACTCTCGAAAAAGTCGGTCATGCGAAAAATGACCGTTTGAAGAAGCCCTATACTAATCGTGTACAGAAGGTCGGAAGGTCGGAACAGGACGTTCCGACAAATCGTACTGATCTCCGACAGTCTCCGACAAACTCGGACATTGTTTTGTCGGCACAGACAAAATTCTGTCGGCGCCGACATTTTCTTTAAATCTCCGACACACTCCGACATTCTCTCCGACATTTAAGATTTATCACCATCATATTCGATCTTGTCGTTTCGGGAAAGCAATGACTTAACGTCTGAGGCCACTTTCTAAACATTGTTTAATGCCTTCCTACAAACTCCGACATAAATCAGAGAACTCCGACATTATCTCCGACATTCCGACTTATTGGAGGTCATCTCCGACAGACTCCGACGAACTCCGACAGAAAGCTTCTATCTCCGACATTCCCCATTTCATAACGACTTTCTGATTTGAGGAGCCAGAGTGGACTTAATGGCCAAAGTCATAAATCCAAGCGAGTCCGACTTATTCGCGGGTGTTCCTGTGCTTGGTGGCTTTGGTCCGTTCTTGTGCGTCTTCATTGCTCCTCAGTACATGAATTCGGTTGATTCGATCATCAATTCATTCCATCATTGAATGTACAATAACCTGGTATAATACATGTGTTCCGTACTCGAGTACGGTATTTCGAACTATTTCGAACAATGAGCGGCGATGGTGTCAATCTTGAAGAGTTGGGTCGACTTGCTGAGGCTGGCAGGTTCTGGAGTCACTACCGGTACTAGCCACCGTAGCGTACGGTACTGTATGGTCATCAACGGCCGCCAGTGGCTAGCTACAGCTGTAGTCTGTTGAAAGGTGGTCTGATAGATCTCGCAAGATCTTTTAAACCAGAAAGAACATCTGATGAGATGTCGCAAGTTCTTGATATCTGACCTGGCAAGATTAGATTCGATTCGATTCGATTCCGCGCACCATGTTTCCTGAAAGGAAGGGCCTGGACCCGATGAAAGAACTATGAAGTACTGTACTAGTAAGACGACGAACCAGTGATCAAATTTTGTATAGTCTATATATATCATGACCACTGAAATCCGAAAGCTCCGGAATAGTCTCTAATGATCACTTTAAATTGGCACAAATAGATATGATAGGACAGGCACTGTCCTGGATACCGGTAGTGTCGGCATGGAATCGAATAATAATCAAGAACCCATTGTGAGTTGTGGCACGTAACAAGCCTCTGGATCCCGGAAGCCTTCCGAATATTTTGAATCCAGAACCCCTTCTGGTTTTGTTCACCAAACAGCCACCCGTTGTAGCACTGGCAATCAACGCCATTGCGCTGGCCAGGCGGGGTAATAGAAAGGCTAGCTAGCTAGGTAGAACCGGGTAGGTTTCATGAGAGCAAGTACTGTAAGATGCACGGAATTGATGACTGAGTAGGTTTAGGAAGTAAATAAATAAATAAATAGCTTTTGTACCTGTGGACTAGTCGAAAGGAAAAGCAAGGAAAAGCAAGGAAAAGCAAGATGGTGCAGTGAAATGGAAATGGCAACGCAATGTCATATGCAAATCATAGGAAAGCGGGCGATCCGGCAGTTGTCTCTGGTGCTGAGCGAGATACGGTAGCCTAGCTAGCCAGCAACAACTACTGGCTTGTCTTGACTTGGGCGGCTCATGCTCAGGCAGCGGGTGAAATGGCAGCGGTGGGAAAGTGGGCCAAAGAGTGCTGAAAGAAGTTCCAATCACGCACGTTCATGGGTAGAACGGTAGGTAGCCTGGGAAGCGCGAGAAGGTGCTGGATTCGTCGGTGGCAACAGGCGGACTGTTGAAAGTCCGAAAGGTGTACGTATAGGTGTCCTAGGTTGTTGTAGAGCGCCAATACGAGCTGAAGCAGGTTTTCGGTCTGTCCAGGATCCCTGTAGGCAGCAAGTATCTTGAGAGCCTTGAGGTAGCTTCTCTGAGCTGCCCCGAGTTCTGTGAGCTTGTAAGTCTTGTTAGCAAACTCCTTGTAGTGCAAGCACAAGCCCAGGTTATAGTACGCAAATGCGGCAATGAGGCGCCTGCTGTTCAAGTCTTGTGCTTGCTCAGGGCGCCTGAAAATGGTGGTAAACGCCTGATCATAGATAGCAAAGTGGTTAAGAGCCCCGGCCCCACTTAGGCCACTTGGGCCATCTGGGGCAGAAGCAGGCTTGTGTGAGCTATTAGCGGGAACAGACAGCAAGGTGAGGGACAACTGGTCAGTGCTTGCAACAGCACTCCCATTGCGTCTACTAGATCTAGTACTGGCACTGGCACTGGCACTGGCACGCAATTTCACACGATTTCTCGTACGGTGAGCCACACCAGCATTGGCCATGGCTTGGGCTCGAAGTCGCGCCAAGATCTGCGTATAGATAAACGCAGCCTCGTCGTAGCTTCCCTTCTGAAGGGCCAAGGAAGCATGGTTGTTCCAATCGAAAATGGACTCGCGGGGGTTCAGGCGACGGGAGGTTACTGATGTCATGGTCGAGCGCTTTCACGGGGTATTAAACACTGACTGAACGTTTTTTGGAAAGTTTGGTCGAAAGCAAATAGATTGTGAGCTTCTGAGTTTTGATAAAATAAATCAATGATGACACAGGCCTTCGGGGAAAATTGATTTTTCACACAGATCAGGGGACGCCGGGCCGCGAAAAACCAGAACCGGGCTTCTGGTTTTTGTTGCCTTGACCGAACAAATGCAAAAGAGTTATTGCGACAAATCAGACAATCCCAATAGAATACTCCAGAGTTCCTCTCCACGGAACGTTCCCGGCACTAAAACACATACTCCACTATCATCCAAATAGAAGAATTCCTCAATGACATTAAATTTTACTGAGCTCCACGAGTTCATCACCTATTTGCCGATCGTTCTGTACTCGACAGCTACCCGGTACCAGTACTAGTACTCGACTATTCAGATCTAACTAAGAGTGGTACAAACATGTCTGGCATTGGGAGTGTAGCATTGGATGCCGCCGTCCAGCTCCTGCCTTCTTCAACTGACTCCAACTCGTGCACTTCCCAAAGATGACACCAAAAATTCTGGAGTTGACAGAGACTATGCATAGTAGAGTACTGGTAGTAGATTTAACGCACCATCTCAAATCTGATACTCTGCACTCATAGTACTGTAATGTATCTCTCCTTCAAGCTTCAATCGAGAAGCATACCGGTACTGCCGGTAGCACATGAGCTGAGGTGTACCGGTACTGTAGTTTGTATGTGTCAGGCCTTCAGCAAAGAAATAGGAGCATGAACAAATTCACGTTGGAGGTCCAGCAGCTGTTCCAGCTACTAGCTAGTACTACTAGTAGTATTCAACTCGTACCGTATAGCTCTCGCTTGTCGCTTGTTTACAGTTTACAGCATCCAGCTCAAAGCTCAGTATTCATTACTCAGTATTCATTTTGCAATTATTGTTTTAATTAAGCGCCCGTGCCTTCCTCAACTTCACCAAAGAATTTTACTGTAAGTAAGTAGTACTGCGAGTAGATTTATTTAATTTGTACTAGAGTAGCAGTCATCAACAACCAACAAAGCTCATAGCATCAACCATCTCAAAGAAATAATGCATCATTGCTTTTGAAGCTTCAAAAAAGAAGCTCGTGTCAGGGTGTCAGCTTTGGTAACATAAGGGACCATGAACAATTTTTAGGCTATACACTGTGTAGGAGTCAAGAGATCCATTTATCGTGACTCGAGTGTAGAACAGTTACTACTACGTGTAGCACGAGTACAGTAGGCTACTATACAGTAGATAATTTTCGCTCTTGGATGCACATTCAGTTTGGGGTTCCGTGCTTTTCTGTGATTGGTTTCCCGCTTCCTCTTCTCTGCAAATTTGAGCGGTTTGAGTGTCTAAGTCGAGAGAACGAGAGCTGTAGTGGTGAGTTAGTGGTGTGATTCCAATGCAAATCTATGTGTAACCACTAGCTAGCTAGAGACTACAAGGTCACCCATATTTCGCTCGAAGAGTTTCCCTTTTCTGCACTGTGCACAGTGTACCTGGTAACGTAATAGTGCATGCATAGTGTGCCTGCTGAGCACTGGTGTTGGACCCATCTTGATGCGTATTCAGTTCTCAATCGGCTTCTGGTTTTCAATGGATGTGTGAGCTCATAGCTCAGCAGCTAGCTCATTATTTAATTTTGCTTGTTTCGGTGTGGCCTAACCAAAAGAAATGGATGGGCACAGCACAAAGCTGAAGCATCAGCTGGATGAACAATTTCTATCAAGACAGCTCGATAGAAATCTCCAGAGTGTTCCTCTCCACAGAACATTCCTGGCACCCACACAAACTCCAGTATGGTGGGAATAGTACTGAATTCCACATACAATGAGAGTGCATACATGTACTAGTAGTTTGAGCTGCTTTTATTAAAAGTGCCACGGAAATGCCGCCAAAATGCCGCCCAGCCTTCCTCAACTCGTGCAATTCCGAAAGTTGTCATTCCTACCGGCATCTTTAATTACTAGTAAAGCAGTCATTAATTACGCCATCTCAATTGTTGCTGGTGCCAACGTTCGCTGCACCGTTCGATCAGTCAATCCAGAATCAAGAACGAAAAGAAAGAGGCGTTTCCTGTATCTCCTGTATCGTACCGCTGCTCTGCCAGGTAGCTACCGTATTGGAGACATCAGCGCATCGTATCTTGCTGGCTGGTCAGTACTGGTAGCGTCAAGAATTTTTGTGTCACTGCCGGTAAGCCCCGTAATAACTGCGTTGAATGGTGAATGGCAGGTTCCACCGAGCAAAAGAAATAATATTAGGATGCAATAGGCTACCGGTACAGCCCGCCTGCTGGCCGTGAGTGACAGTCGCGACGCTCCAAGAGTACCCCTTCTGCACAGTGTATGCAGAGTCTAATGCCTAAATTCCACCTTGACGCGTAGCGGTTCTCATCCACTTCTGGTTTTTCAAAGGATTGTTCTCCACGAAAGCCTTGACATCAGAATCTGATTTCTTCTATTTTAATAGCTTCTTTTTCCTTCAAGGAATAAATGATGATGACGTGGTATGGTGAACATTCCGCTCTGCTGCTCGACCCACTCGTAAGTAAGGCAAAATTGTCTTCCACCGGCATGGTTGCCTGACCGCGTTATGGTACTTAGAAAGAATCTGGAGTTTCGTCTGTCTGGCAGCCTCGCAGACTATGACATCCCTTCGGCGAGAGATCCAAAATTTTGGCTCGAAACATCCAGCTAAAGTTCGTTGCTGCGGCTATAGCAGTCGCATTGCTTGTAGTGATCATTGGTTTCATTCATCCGATAACTACACTGTACCTTGTAGTTGCCAAAGCACCACCATGATACCATCAGAAGAAAGCACTTGTCAGCAGCAAGCACCTCGTGTTCTTGGCGTTGTGACGAACACCTCGGGCGTGGCTCCGGAACAACTGCTACCCAAAATGAAGAAGTCCCGCAAGCTCAAGAATATCAAGAAGGAACTGATGAACTCCAAGTCTTTGACTCCCATTAAAGAAGAAACCAATCAGGGCACCACGGCTACTGCTACTCCAGTCAAGAGCAAATCCAAAGTATTTAAATACGCTCAATGGCGCAATCTCGAGGGTAGCCTAAGGCTCACCGAAACGACCTTGTTCTTCAAGCCGCATCCCTGCACGAGTCCTCGCTATAGCAAAACTGCGCTCAAACGTCTTTCATGGGATCAAATAGAAAACCATCAAGTTCGTACTATTGAACTGAACGTCACCAAAAAGTACCTCCTCAAACTTAACATTCGGAAAAATGCTCGTGGCCGGGATCGTACTACTGGTAGCTCACATGCTACCAGTACTAGTACGGGGAGCAGTTCGAACCTTATCCTGCGATTTTCCAACCCTGAAGATCTCCACGAGATTGATCAGGAGATTCAAAAGCATCTACTAAGACGTGGGCCCCTCGTTTTGGACGATTCAAAAAAGATCGGCCCCACGTACTACCCCATCGTTCGTCTGAACAGCAGTATTCCCGGCAGCTTGACTCTCGAAGCCGATCAGTTCGTCTTTGAACCATTGACCAGCGAAGTACCGGTCCTGCCTGCCATGAAGGTAGAATGGGATCGGGTCGAACAGCACCAGCGTCTCTTTCGCAATCAGCAGGCATTGCTCAAGCTCAAATGCACAAAGTCCTTTCAACCAGTCATCTTTCAAATGTCATCCTTGCAGGAATCCAAGCGTCTTCATCAAGACGTCATTGATCGATTGGACCACTACCGCTATGGGTATCGGTCGAGCAACAATCAGTTCAAAGTCCAGCCCATCGATACCAGTACCGGTACCGGTACCAGTACGGCAATGACATCTAATATGCTGTTGCAGCCCTTGCTCGACTCGTCCAAAGATATTCGGTCCCCAACCATGGCCAACGACAACAACAGAACCACTCAGAGTAGCAGCACCAAGAAACAAAAGGGAAAGAAGCCTGACGAAATCCCTACAAGTGCTTCAACCTCGTTCTTCCCGTACCTTGAAACGATCATCCTCGTCATTTCGGTCCTGACTCTCCTCGCACTCTCCAGCGACGTCTTGCTCCAAACCGTTGCGGGAGAAAGGAATCACATCTCCATCATGGCACATCTCCTATCCACGCCTTCTCCAATTCCTTCTGCAGCTGTTGAAGTGACACTCCCCGTTCGTCAGAATCCTCCCCAATCTCAACGAACTTCTTGGCAGCGTCCTCGTGCTACCAGCATTTCCCCAGCAAAGGAGAATGCAAAGGAGAAAGCAAAGTCCAAATCTCAACTCAATAATAGCAACATAATTCCTCCTCCAACTTCAAAGACAGGCGTGGGTAAAGTTGATTCGAGGAGCAGCACCAGTATCACCAGCAGCAGCAACAAAGCAGAGAGTGGCAAACTCGTACACAACCGTCCCGAAATAAACGGACTGCTCCACCTGTTGCAGGACAAGAACGATGGAGGTGTTACGCAGAACTTGATTCCTGCTGCTGCCATCAAGTGGAATAGATCGAGCGGAACCCGAAACAACGCGAACAAGGACGCGAACAAGAGACCCTTCGCAGGGATTGGTAAGAGAATTGGACAAGTGGCAACGACTGCAGCCTCACAATGGATGCAGATGATCTCCGAATCAACGATTATCAGGATAGAGAGGAAGCAACGATACTAGCCTCAAACAAAGTCGCGTACCTTGCCAAAACAGGCAGAAGTAGTTCACAAGCTAGGAGAGCAACCGAGATCTATAGAACCTAAAATATGTGCATGCCTTTATGTACCAGATTAGGTTTTATGTTCAAGATGTTTCGTTGTTTGTATGTGCATGGAAATGGTCGTTTCCAACCAGCAATCTCCCTCGTCTGGGGGGGGGGGGCTTAGCTCTCGCCATGAGCCTGTTGGCTCTTTTCCACCATGGCGCGGAAATGTCCTCCCTCTTTCTGGAGAAGTTTGGACGGTTCATCAAACTCAGCAATCTCGCCGTCGTCCAACACCAACACACGATCACTGTCCATGATGGTGTTCAGCCTGTGAGCGATCGTCAAGACGGTTGCACCGGAAAAGTTTTCACGGATCATCCTCTGGATCAGAGCGTCGGTTGTGTTGTCAATGGAAGCTGTAGCTTCGTCCATCACAAGGATTTTCGGCTTTCGAAGAAGTGACCTTGCAATACACATTAGTTGTCGCTGTCCAAGAGAAAAGTTCTCACCCCCTTCAGCGACTTGATGATCCAAGCCGTTGGGCAAAGAAGCGATAGCTTCCACCATCTGCACCTTTTGAAGGACAGTCCAAAGCTCTTCTTCCGAGGCGGTAGCGAAGGGATCCAGATTGTACCGAATTGTATTGGAGAACATCACAGGATCCTGTGGGATGATTGACAGGTTCATGCGTAAGCATGTAGTCCCAATTTCCGACGTGTTAACGCCATCAATCAAGATCTGTCCACCGTCGCTCTCAAGCTCAGAGATGCGGAAAAGACTGATCATCAGACTACTCTTTCCACTGCCTGTTCTACCACAGACACCAATTTTCTCCCCAGGTTGGATATCCAGAGATACACCCTTTAGCACCAAGGGGCCATCTCGGTAGCGCATCGCAGCATTTCGGAACTCGATGGCACCCGCGGTTGGCCAAGTTCCAGCTGGTGGATCCTTTTCAGGAACCTCGCTGGGTGCCTCCGCTTCAATGTTGTTCGAGTAGAACAGGATTCGTTCGACGGAACTCATGTCAGCCTCTGTTTGGGCAATCTACATGTAGAGAGACAGCATTGACCAACAAGTGAGACACCTCGTTCGGAACTTCTACTTCTGTAGGCTTCAGCACGGTGATCAATTCGTAGCCCTCATAGCAGTCGACGCACCATTCTCACGCCAAACTTGAGGTAACCTGTCAGTTCAATGCTGTAGTTCAGAGCCAGTCCCACCCATCCAGCTGGAATGGCAAAACTGGTGTTCTGTGTGGCCATGGCGAACGCCCCAATAAAGAATCCTGCGCGAAAACGTCAAGCAAAGTAAGCTAAAGATACGGTCGCCAAGGAAGAACGAAACCTTTGCTCAATCTTACCAACCAATCCTCCAAGCACGTCAAGCCTCAGTGCAAGCCATTGGTTCACAACTTGAACCAAAATGTAGGATGCATCCATTGTGTCAAAAGAACCCTCGCAATGAGAAGCAAATCGCTCTGCTGCACCGTATGCGCGAATGGAGGAAGTGCCGCTCAAGGTTTGGGAAAAATCAGCGAAGATGGGAGAATTGTTGATGCTTGTAATACTGCAAATTTAGAAGAGAGGGCAAGGACGCGACAATGTGCAAGGGGTCGTCAGTACTGGTTGATCAAATCAGTACATCGCGCTCGTTTGCATGATTGGTCAGACTTACCGCTGCAACTCAGTGCTTGTCTTTCGGAACCACCCTTGAATGAGGTAGTAAATGTAGCCAAGGGGAATCATCGGAAGGAGGAAAACACCTTTCGTTGCTGCAATGATCGCGCCAACGGCTCCGAGGATACTAAAGAGCATGCTCAATCCCTGCTGAAGGGACTGAACAAGTTCCAAATCCACCTTGTCCATATCAGCCGCAAAGCGATTCAACACACGCCCAATCGGTGTGACGTCGAAGAAAGCAACCGGAGCTTTGAGGATGCTGTCAGTCAGGTCTTGATGCAGTTTGCGTGATGCTCTCAATCGCAGGTTGGCAAAGCAAATTCCTTGGAGTGTGATTCCCATCAAACCACAGAGGGCAAACGTAGAGTAGATCCCAAGGTAGAATCTAGTGTCTTCGTCACTCATACCCATTCCACCATTTTCAGTAGATTGAAAACCTTCTTCGGCCCATTTGGAAAGCCAGAAAGCTCCAGCGACATCGGACCCACGCCCGAAGACAGCACAGCACAACACCGAGAAGGCAGCCAGAAAGCCACCTGCCCGGGCATACTTCACGTAAGCTGACCCTGCAACGTTTCCTTCTGCTTTGTCTTCGTCTGAAGTGAGTTTCTTTCCACTCTTTCGCATGGCCTCCTTCTTCTCAGCGCTCACGTTTTCGACTTTTTTCTCTTTGGCATCCGCGCCATCCTTCTTGTCATCACTTTTCGCTGTGTCGTTTTCTTCTTCGTCCTTCTTGTCGTGTTTGGACACGTCAACGGCACCCGCAAAGTCTACTCCTCGGGCCACCAAATCGGCATACTTTCCCTGATGCTTAATAGTGCCCTTGTCCATGACAATCACATAATCGCATCGTGGCAAGACATGAGAGGCGTGCGTCACAAGAATTCGCGTAGTACCCTTGGAAACGTCGCCACAAATCGCATTTGCAAACAAATGCTCGCCCACGTGGGAATCGACCGCACTCAGAGGGTCGTCCAGAAGCATTAGCTTGGTAGATGTAGCGTAGAGCGCTCGAGCCAAGCTGACACGAGCCTTTTGCCCACCACTGAGGTTGATTCCATGCTCTCCAATCTCCGTCTGGTCACCGGCGGGAAGCACAGCGAGATCGTCCGACAAGGCAGCCGCTTCAACGACTTGATTGTATCGGTCTTCGTCGAACGGACGACCAAACATGATGTTTCCACGAAGGGTGTCATTGACAATCCAAGGAGTCTGTGTACTGTACGAGACAAAGCCTTCCGAAACAACTCCATTCTCTCGGGGCACGTAAACGTTGGATCCGCCAACGGGTTCCATTTCTCCCAAGATGGCCGAGAGTAAGGAACTCTTGCCGCTTCCAACACTTCCCACGACCGCCACCAGACTTCCCGCTTCAATGGTCGTGTTGATGTCTGTGAGGGCCATAACTGGAACAGCGTTACTAGCATCTTCCGAATTGGTAGTTTGAAGAGAGCGAATCGACGCCTGCAGTTCCTTGTTGGCGAAATTGAGACTTGATTTGCCGTCTCCTTCTTCCGCCTCCTTGCTGCCTTTGCTATTGCGACGACTGCTTTGGCGGCGTGGCTTGGATGGCTTCTTTTCGTCTTCAATCCCGCGCACTTCTTTCCCAGATGGGTCGACCCAGGCAAAGGTTCCATCACGGATAGTGACGCTGGCGACCGCGTTTTGCAATGCAGTTGGATTGGGCGGCGGGACGTGCTGAACGTACGTATTCAGTTCCGGCAATTCCAGGTAACGTCCAACTCGACGGAGCGCAATTTTGGATTGAATCCATTGCAAGAAAACCATGGGCAAGAATGCAAAAGGGATGCGCATCAAGTTGAACAGTGCAATGGTGGAAAACGCAGTTCCAGCATCGAGTGGTTCGTCCTGGATGGCCGTGTAGACGGAGAAAACGAGGATGGGTTGAATGAATGGCACACTGGAGAGAATGAGGGAGAAGATACAAGCGATAAAGTATGCATAGCGAGTCAAAGCTTGCAATTCCTTTCCTCGCAATCTATCGACTTCAGCTCCGAATGGCTTTTCCCAGGCATAGAATTTGATGATTCGAATTCCTGTCAAAATTTCATTCATAATTTTGACTCGAGAGTCCGAGTACTTGAGCACCTTCCTTCGTAGTTTGCCAATGGTTCCAAAGACCATCCCATTGAGAGGCGCGAGTGCCAACATGAATGCCACTCCAGCCCACATGGCATTTCCAACCTGTTGAGAGAGATTGAAATACAAAAGAGGAAATTAAGACGAAGGTCAGCACGTAGTGATCCGAAATTTATAATATAGACATTGCCAGCGCTTTGCAGTACGAGGTACTGTACGCACCTGTCGATAGATGAGTGCCAATGCCAGTACAATTTGCACCGGCGCCACGACTCCCATTCCCGCAAAGAGCAATAGACGCTGTAGTTGTTGACTATCGTTGGACATGATGTTGACAACCTGTCCGGTGGACGTTTTGGCGCGTCCAGCCGCACTCACAGTCAGCGACTTGTGATATAGCAAGAGAGAAACCGCAGCTCGCACAAACACACCGGCATGTGCCACCAGCACTTGATACCGAGTTTGCAAAATGGACACGAGAAAGGGTACCAATGCCAATCCAAAAACTTCGATCCACGGGTCGACGTAGGTTTGATGTTCTCCCGCACCCGCGTCTTGAAAGTACCGTACGAGATCTTCCAGAATAATGACGGGTACAAACGTCATGAGAGAACTGACAAAGTAAATGAACATTCCAAAGCCCAATCTTCGAATCCCGAATCCCTTGAAGAGTGCAAATCCCAAGGACGGTTCGAGCGGAGGTTTTTGTTTTTTGATGAGTGCTTCTTTTTGTGCTTCAGTGGTGCATTTTGACAATTGTCGTTGAAATGCCGCTTGTTTGTACTTGTTTTGCACGTGTGTTTTTTTGATCTGTTCCTCCCAGCACACCTTGACTCGTTCGTAGGCATTGCGTGACAAATCTTGCTGTGAAGGAACTCCAATATCATCAGTCTCCAACGTCTTGGCACTTCCTAGCTTGAGCATGGGATTGAGATAGGAGAGTGTAATCCACGTGAACCAGTTGGATTGATCTTCCAACGACTTTTCCCATACTCCCAGTTCTCTGCCGCCTTTGGGTGGTTTCATGTGTAGCAGCCCACAGCACCAGGTAGTTGCCATGCCCTGTGCTGCCGAATTGTCATTGTCGTCGAAATTGGTGGCGGCATAACCGTGTTCATCCTTGAGAATGGATTTTGGTGCCGTCGCCGTCGCCGTGGGTGGATTGCTAGAGCTACTAGCATTGCTGCTGGAGTTGGAATCTGAAGTTCCATTCATCTCAATCTTGGTTTTACTGTCTTCTGCGTCCGATGAGTCAGGGCGGCACATGGTAGCTAGCTAGCTAGTGTATGCCTTGATGGTAGCTAAGCAGGTAGCTAAGCAAGCTGAAACTTTTTTGGGATCAGGATTGGTGTGTTGCTTTACTGATGCGTTTCGAATGGTTAACCAATGCTTCTCTTGTATAGGTAGCTTTTAGGTAGGTAGGTAGGTAGGTAGGTAGGTAGATGGCTAGCAAACACTATACCGTACCGTATAGTAGCTAGCTAGATGACAAGCTAGATCTTCAAACTCCACGTAGCTTGAAAGTGCCTCAAGAACGAATCCTTGACTGTTTCAGTAGCTAGCTAGCAAGTGGTAGATCTTGAGGATTCTGAAGTCGCTTGAACTCCAAACAGCTTCCAACTTGTCGAACTCAAAGGCCTCAGTAAGCTCTGCTCAGATCAGATCAGATCAGCTCAGCTCAGATAGATGAATTGGAAAAAGCTAAGAAAAACTCAATAGCCAAATTCTTGAACCTTCTCTTGTCTTTCTTTCCTTGATCAATGAAGGCAAGGCAAGGCAAGGCAAACAAACAAATGGAGCGATTGGGTTGTGTTCTTGACCTTCAGCCTGAGTGAGTGGATGCTGCAATGCGTTGTCTCTGATTCATTCAGCACAACAATGATGGCTACTGTACCCGATACTAGTACTAGTAGCGCTTGCTATGCTGATGCAGTAATGAATGAATGACAGTGATGAGGCCACTAGTACGCTACATACGTGTACACGTGTACAAGCAGCTCTGGCTGGGGATCAGGTCAGGGACATGCGTAAGACTGAGTGGACGGAAATGCTGACGCAGAGACAAGAAGAAACGGCGGAGTCGAGTCGAGTCCAATGCATCGACAGCTGTTGCTTCTTGATCGCTGATGAGTATTGTATGCTTTCAATGCCACTTCCTTCCTTAGCTACTGCTTGGCTACCAGCACCAGCACCACAGCCACCTTCTCGTTGGTGTTGTTGGTTTATTTGTTGGCGGCTGAGTCAACAGTTGTCTTTCTCATTCTCATTCATTGGGCTTTCGTGGAAGGAGAAGGGACACGTCATAAATCAGACATGTATGCATACGTCAGTCTGTGGGCAATTGCCGCGTTGCGACCGCCAACAAGAACCCAGCAAAGACTTACTGTGGTATTCGTATTTTCGAGAAGCCAACAATGCACACCCTATCTCTAATGATTTTACCATCCCAAGAAGGCAGGAAGGTTACTAAAGTAAAAGTTTAGATGTCGCTAACGGTACAGACATGTAGGTAGCCCAGGGTCCAGGGTGGATGCAGCTTCATCAAAGTGGTTCTTCATCTACCGTATGTAGCTTTACTGACACCAACACTGAGAACAAGTACATTCCACTTGACAATCAATCCTCAACGAGGTCAATTGAGCCAGGTCACAAACACCACCAGGGACAGATCCAGTCAATTGAGGATTGCCATACAAGCTCAATCAATTCAAATTGGACATGGTCGAAAGCTCCGTCGGAACCGTCCCAGAGAGTTCGTTGTCCCAGAGCGCCAACGACGTCATGGACATGAGATGTCCCATCTCGGACGGAACCGTACCGGTGATTTGATTGCGAGCCAAACTCAACACTTTTAGCGCCGTCAGTTGTCCCACCTCTGTGGCCAAGCTCGATGACAATTGGTTGAAACCCAACGTCAAACTGGTCAAACGGCGCCAGGCTGCAGCAGCACCCATGGGAATGGGAGGTCCCACCAATTCGTTCTGGACCAAACCCAAATTCTCCAGACGCGTCAATTGGGCTAGTTCCGGAATGATGCCGCCCGTCAAATCGTTGACCCCGAGATTGAGCAGAGTCAATGCCGTCAGTAAACCAATCTCACTGGGGATGGGCCCAGTGAGGTGATTGTCATACAAGTTCAATGCGGTCAATTTAGAAGAAAGCCTGGCAATGGCGGTCGGGATGGTTCCAGCAAGATCCAAATTGGATAAATCCAATTCGGTAATTTCATTCACGAGAAATGTCCTGTCAAAAAGTTGTACACTATTCAATGTTGCTTCTGTGGGTTGTGGTGTGGGACGATTGGTAGTGGGACGACGCGTTGGTCGATTGGTAGTGGGACGATTCGTAGGGCTTGGACTTGGTGGTCCTGTGGTTGGTGGAGGAAGTGGTCGTGGAGTGGGTCGATTAGTAGGTCTCAATGTTGGACTCGATGTCGTGGGTTGCTGCGTTGGTTCATTGGTGGGTCTCAATGTCGTGGGTTGTCGTGTCGTAGGACTCGGTGTTGTTGGTTCATTTGTAGGATTGGGTGTTGGTTGTCGTGTTGTGGGATTGGGCGTAGTTGGTGGTAACGTGGGAGGATTGGATGGCGGTTTGGTGGTGGGACTTGGCGTGGAAGGAGCTGGAGTTACGGGTCGAATGGTCGGTTGCTTCGTTGGCTGTACAGTCGTTGCATCATTGGTGGGTTGACTTGTTCCGTTCGTGTTGCTATCGGTTGTTGCTTCGATCTGGTAATAGCTGATGGCGGGAACCTCGGTCTCCGTTTCGTTTGCAGTCATCAGCAAATTGTCCGTGGCATTGACCATGACAGGTACTGGAAGTTCCGTTTCTGTTTGTGACATGGATGATGGACTGGCTGTTGTTGTGTCCTCTGCAGTTGTTGGTTGCGGAGTACTGCTCGTAGGTTCATTGACAGGCATCTCCGTGGGGACTGGTGTTGAAATGAGGGGTGCATTGGTGATGATGACGGGTGCTGACGTTGTATCCTCTTGAATGGAATCTGTAGTAGAGGAAGAGGAAGAGGAAGTGCAGATGCCACTGGTGCACAAAATGGCCGTGACCGCCACTCCTGATAAAGCCAAAACAATGGCCAAACAGAGAAGTTTTCCACCTGTGGTTCCAGTATCAGGAAGGCATTGTTTCAAAAGTGAATCGGAAGCTCCTCCTCCGTTGGATTCCTCTGCCTGTTCTTGAATGGATTCCGGATGTTCCTGATTTCTTCCACTGTGAGTTTCAGGGATTTCAACATCCGTTTCAGGAATGGGGACTACTGATGGGGCCAACTGAGCGTTGGTGGCCACAATGGTGTCCGTGCCAGGAGCTGAAGCAGCGGCTGGGGTAGCGGATGCTGCTGCTGCTGCTGCTGCTGCTGATGGTGGTGATGGAACGGGTTGACAAGCACTGCTAGGACTGGGAGGGTTGTTTTCCGTGGGAACCGGTACAGGCACTACGACGGGCAAGGGCTCCAGCATGGAATCGGTTGGACCCATCATTTCCCCCTTGAGGAACTGCTGGTCTTCAGACATCCAATCGGGGAATCGACTGCTGCTGCTGTCGTGCATTCTACCGGTAGCATCGTTACCAGTACCAGTACCAGTACCTACGCGTCCAGTACTGTAGCATTCGCAATATCTTCGTACAAATCTTCAGACGATGGAGGATCATGGGCTGACGATCCTGAGCCTCCGGATTTACCGCTGCCTGAACCACCTGATCTCATTGTGTCTTTCTTTCTTTTTCTTCCTTGGCTTACCTTATGACTTAACTTGGCTCAGCTTGGCCTTTGCTTGCTTTAGCTTGGTTGTTGCTGCATGCTGTTGCAAGGAATGAATGAATGAGGGCTCTTTGCTGGATCTCAAAGCAAAGCAAAGCAAAAACGGGAATGGAGCGAACGCACTGTTTGTATTAGTATAGAAAAGATCTCACGTCTCAGGTGCACGTGCCACTAATTACATTGATTGTCACACTTTCCATCCTACAATATACATTTCACTCTCTCTTAGGAGACATTTCAGTGTTAGGAGGACACTAAGATTTAACAACACATTGACTTTTTGACCATCATCTCTTCTTTTACGAGTATTCATGCAGACTTGCTTTCCGAGAATTTGATTACTGTATATGAATAGTACCGGTGCCGCCAGAACACTTCTAACTAGTCTAGTCTAGCTAGAATAGCCAGCAATCATCTGCGAAATCGGGACGTAAGATTCAGCCTATAGGAAGCTCGATCGAGCTCTCCAAAGCCCAAGCGCTCTAACGCCAACCACGTTGAGGGATACGATGATGAGCACATGTGTAACAGACCGTGGAACCACAGTCTGACGCGCATCTCATGCCATACACCCACATTGCGTAACCGCAATTGGGACAGTCGCCCTTATAGCCAGCACTGCGCCTCCAATCATGAATGCACACTTCATTGGCTCGAAGTCCCTCCACCGCATTTCGAAGAAGTTCACGACGAGCAACCACTGGCAACACTCTTCCACGAGCTGCTTCTTCCTGACGAACACGTGCCTCCCCAGCTTCCAAAAGTCGGTCTTCTTCCCAAAGTTCACACTGACCAGACGAGCACTGCGCATTCCTCGTGTCCCAACTCTTTAGACAATTGTAGCAAAACTCGTGGCGGCAGTACACACACGTCATGTGATTGCACCCAGAACGAAGCTCAATCAGATTGGAACAGCCCGGGCATTGCTTCCAGCCCTTTTCCCGCGAAACCTGGAGGACAAGTTCGTCAGAACCTTTCTTGATGGCCTGGTTCTCCTGACACGTAAAGCCCGAATGGGCCTCCGTTTTGCATACTGTACAAAGCGCGATACCACAACTACAAATCAGGTCGTGAGTAAAGAACGTGTCGATCAAATCCAGGTTGAGAAACTCGTTGCACGAGGGACAGTACATCTTGTTGGTCGCTTCAATCTCCGCCACTCTCTTGAGAATGCGAGCAGCGTCTTGGGGTTTCAGAATCTGCGAGGAAATGTTCATATCAATGGGAATCTCACAGCACCTCAAGGGAAGCAGGGAGTTGTCCTTCAGAGCGGTCTTGAAGAGTTTCTTGGTGCAACGCGTACACTGACGATGACCGCATGCCAGTGTATATCCCTTAACTTGATCTTCGAAACAGACGTTACATTGACGTACAAAAGGGAGGGTAGCCTCATGCTTTGCAACAGCAGCCGGTGGTTTGCGATCGTCCTCTTCCTCATCCGTGTCTTCTTCGTCTTCTTCTTCTTCTTCGTCGTCGTCGCTCACAATGGAAGGTTGCGGAATGGGTTTGATCTTTCCGGTCCTGAAAGCTTCCGCCACGTTTATCTTGTTGGACGAACAAGCATGGATGGAGAGCCCAAAGAGCGAAGAAACTCGCTGCACTGCCTGCTGATCTTCCTCCTGCAAGTGGTCATCGTTGATCGTTGGCATTGACGCTGTGGCTGGTCGTACTTGTTCCATGTGTCTTGTTCGATCCCTGACTTGCTGCCCAGGGGGCGCCAATGTCTGGGCATATTGCAAGTCGGACTCTGCTTGGGCAAAGAGTTGGTTGAGGCGCTCTTGTTCCTCGCGTGCCACCTCGGCGTCTTCATAAAATTCCTGTCCAATCTTCAAGGCCCTCTGCATCCTGTGGGCCAGCAAGTGATCCTCAACCACTTGTCTTTGACGGTGAGCATCAATGACGAGTTCCTGAACGACAGCCGAGAAGGAAGCGCTTGCTCCACCTGATGCAGCATCGGGACCTTCGGGTATCGTTGTTGTTGTTGTGGGCGGTGTGGAGGAAGAAAAGGCCCGTATTTCTTCTTGATGAGCCATAATGGCAACCGAGTAGTCCCTGGATTCTTGCTCCTCTTTCAAGTTTTTGATCAAATCCCACAGATACCTTCTGGCTGGCAACGAGGTGATTCCCAGCTCGGATCGCAATTCTATCTTGGACAAGGTAACCAAAGTAGGTCCATCGACTTGGTTTTCCAACAACGCCGCGATGGTGTCTTGCGAAAGTTTGGCCTGGGCTGCCCAAGACTGTACGTCCTGCGCCGTCCAAGTTCCTGGTGATTGATTGCTCTCCATCGTCAACTTGCTTCTTGTACCCCCCAAAAAAGTGTGATATTTTGGATTTCGAAAAATGACAAGAGATGTTCTCGCCCTTTACTCCAAAACCTGGACAAGCCATGGGACAAGCTCAACATGAAAATTTCTCGACAGGTTGGCGTGAAGCTCACAGATGAAAATTTCCAGTCGCAGATTCCCTACGGACCTATCAATACTGTACGGTAGCTCCGGGCTATGTGCCGAGATGCTTCGACCTGGACTCGACCTTGAGGTTTCAATCAGCTTAACTGGATACTATGGGTTCTCCACCAAGTTCCGGCAGCCGGCAGTTGTCACTTCCATTGAGGACAGATAAGATTGCACCCCATCTGGACGCTGTCAGTGACTGAAAGATCTTGGGAAGGCTGAACCAAAGCTGAGCCATCACAATAAGATACTGTACCCTTTGACCTAACAGACCGCCCTTCGCAAACAGATTGATTGGATTGCATTGTTCCTCCACCAGCAATCTTCTTCTTCCTCATTGTCTGTTGCTTGCCATTATCTTCTCACTTTTATTGGGTTTAGCTAGCTACAATAGCAAGCTTAAGCACCCATTCTACCTATACCTATCTCCTACCTACCTACTACCTACTTGCTCTCCAACATGAAGCTCATTTCAGTCGCTTCCTTAGCTCTAGTGCTGTTTGTGTCAGATCTTGCAAGCGCTTTCACGCTACCGGTAGCACCCACCACTACTAGTATTAGTATTAGTGCTACTATTAATAAGACAAAGTTGCAATCTCAAAAGCTGAGCGACATTGACGAAATGTGCATTGAGAACGTAGCTGAACTTTGCTTGCAAGCAGACGAAGCATTGGCGGCCGATGAATGCAACTTTGAAGAGCACGAAGCGCTGCTCAACCAGCTGGAAGACCAAAAAGCTCTCTTGGAAGCACACGTGAACCGCATTGACAACTTAGTCCACCGATTGAAGGCAGATGGATTGGCCAAAGAGGAACCAGAGCCTACCTACTTTGCTGGATAAAGAACTAACTAAACAAGCAAGTAGCTATTAATCAATATCAATGGAATAGATATATACCGTAGTAAACTAAACCAATAAGTTGATTCTGACTGAACTAGTCAAACATCCAGGTCAAACAGAATAGAAATAGAAAAAGAAAGATGGTTGTTCCTATACCAAAGGAAAGGAATTAAGTAGTAGAAGATGACTAGAAATGGATTCAATGGAACTTATGTATTATTCAAGTTTTAGGATCCACTCATCTCCTAGCATTGGGCTGGATGAACTGGGATTGTAATTAAAACCTCTAGCTAGCTAGACAAGAAAACCAATGGGGCATATATTGGAACCTGCTGAGACGCGATTTGGAGGAGAGATGCGCACGCTGGGCTTTGGGAGATTCAGCATTTGCTTCTTTACTATCTTGGTCAAGAAGAAACCGGGAGACACGATCCATGCAGCTCGCCAATTTCTTGTTTTGTTGGGCAACCAATGCCGTATCCCTCTCCAGCACTTTCATCTCGTTCGTATGCCAAGCCACTTGACTTCCCAGTTCTTCCAAAAAACTGGTCCAAAAGACTGGAGATCTCTTCACAGGAAGAAACTACTTCCTCTACTCGATCCGTAATTATAACTGGTGGGGGTTCGTCTTGTTCTTGGTCTAGAATCTCGTTTTGAAATTCTGCCAATGCTGCCGCCATTTGCTCTTCTTTCTCTTGTTGAATCCGGGACAGTTCCACGGCCTTGGTCTCCTCAATGCTATCGATACAAGCAATTCTTCCAAAAGATCCGTTTCTCGATCATTGCTTGAAAATCATCAACGAAAGAAGTCGGGGCTTGACAAACCTTTGAAGGGTACGAGCGGCGCGAACTTGGCGATTGCAATACACAAACCCCGTCACACAGGAGTCGTAGTACTCTGCTTGGTAAGTTTCCAAAATGTCTTCAGGAATCTCAGTGACGGGATCTTCCGAAAAGGAAACCTGCTTTCTCCATCTTTTGTTGGAGATTCTTGCAACTTGGCAGGAGGGGCTGCTCATGTAGGTCATGGTAGTGAATTGAATTGAATTTGCTTGAAACTCGTTGGTGTAGGGGTTGCGTTTCTATCCTGACAGAGAGATATACTTTGCTTGTGTGTTGGGCTGAACTTGTGTGCACTTGGAGGCCTTGAATACAACGTTGCTCCAATCATTCACTCGATTTAAGATTCGAGTCCGAGTGGGTACCAGTTTCACGGTCGAGAACTGGCTAACACTTTGTGGTCGTCAAATGACCTTTTTCATCAAAAAGGTTTAAAGACCATATCACCTGTGATGCTCCGGTGAATAATCAAGTGTCAGCAACTCAGTATTAATAGTATTGAAAGACTTCTCAAAATCACGTGACATCCGCTTTCACAAAGTACCGGTACCGGTACCACTACAAGGTGCAGAACAGACCCAAACAGATCCAACAGGGACGGTGAAGGGACGGCAAACAGTACTAGTGTTGTACGGCGCGGTACTGGCTAGCTAGAGAGTGGGTGTGAATCGACTCGACTCACATCTGCTGTTGGTACCCTACGAACCTGGTAGTCTAGCTAGCTGTCTACTCAGAGTGGTGAGTATTAGTATACTATAATTCCATAGCGGTAGCTACCGGTAGGTTCCGGTTGTCCTCGCACGAAGTGTCCAGATCCAAGCAACCGTGTTTGGCTGGCAGCAGTGCCCTGCTGCTAGCTACAGTATGTGCCCTGCAGCTACAGGTTGCTGCTACGCTAAGCACCTTGACGGACTACAGTACAAGAAACCAAAGAGGATGAGTGCAAATTCGTACGAGTGCTGCTAGCCAGCCAACAAAGACTTGAGCCAGGCGGGGAGCACTGCGAGCCATGGCAATGATAGAATGGCTGGTTGATTCGACTGGTCGCTGCCTCGTAAGCTGGTAACTGGATAGTCATTCCGCAGTCACAGGTCATTTTCGGTACACGACTGAGTTGGAACGGGACCGAGGATGCTTGGAACGGGACCGAGGATGCTTGGAACGGGACCGAGGATGCTTGGAACACGACTACATTGGAACGGGACCAACGATTCTTGGAACGGGACCAACGATTCTTGGAACCGGAGAAAGGATCCTTGGAACACGACTGCATTGGAACGGGACCGAGGATGCTTGGAACGGGACCGAGGATGCTTGGAACACGACTGATTCTGAATCGATGGAAGAAGCAAGGAAACAAGAACACACTACATGTACGGTACGCACAAGGAGTCGAGTCCGTAGTTCGTCACCTCTCGCTTCTATTCTTTTGGGTCGAGATCTTTCTTCCTCTGTTCCTATCGATCACCCAAGCCATCCCTCATCAGAGTTGGTCCTAACCGCATTCATGTGGTTCGTACGTTCGCACAGGAAACACATTTATTTCCATTCCGCCTCGCGTATGTGTTTTCATTCTTAACCACATTCGCAGATACGTCGTTCGCGAACAAAAAGAGAGTCGCAGGGCGAGCCACAGAAGGCTACCAATTTTCGAAACTCGCTAGCTAGAGTTGGGGATAGTGGGAGATAATGAGTTCTGATTTTCGAAACTCGCTAGAGTTGGGGATAGTGCGAGATAATGAGTTCTGATTGTCCTACGCGAATTCCACAATTCCAAATTCACGGCGAACCGCAGCTCCACTTTTTTACTATAAACATTTTCTGCGGTTCGCCGTAGGTGTGAATTTGGAGGTCACCTTTCCAAATTCGGCAGTTAAATCCATTTATTTTGATTTGGCGAACGTACGAACGGCAGTTAAGCTGGATAGGACCAGCCCTAAGCCCACCGATAGGGTACTATCGGCATGGGGCTTGATGTTGGTTCTCTATTCCTGAGATGTTCATGGATAAGTGGTAGGGCTCGCATAGAGTGAGGATCTTTCGTTGGGACAGAGGCACGCGCTATGCATAAATCTTTTCAAGATCCAAGAAGATTCTGGATGATGAAGGTCAGAGTTGTATATAATAGATCCAATATCAACGTAAAACAGTAGTCATCGAACAGTCAAGTCATTGACTGACTAATGTAGAGTAATGTTGATCCATGCTCTACAATAATGTATGGACAGGATCGTTCGATACTGTTCTCGAATACTACTACTAACTAAGCAAACCCGCCAAACTTGATGCGACCCTTAAAAGTGATGCTTAAGTGACCTCCATGATGAGTCATTGAAGACCTTCATTGACATTTCTCACTACGAAAGATCTTGGATGCCATGACATTGTTGCTTTCTCGTTTCATTTCTTTCTCATTATTTTTTTCTTTGGGATCTACAGCAACAACATCTACCGAACCGTTCTGGAGCTCTCATCTGATCTGATCCCATCCTTTCTCTTCCCAACTAAGTGATACTATTATAGTGATAGCAAGATGACGACACCCGCTCCCAGCGTAAGTCCTAGTGTAACTCCTAGTGTAAGTCCCACTTTTGCGGGATCTTGCAGCTTTAGTGTGAATTTTGGTTCCGGCGCCGTACTAAGTACCCACGGCATGTACCAATTCAACCAAGCCGCTGGTACATCGGCTACGTGTACATTGACGTGCGATTCGGGCGCCACGACGAATCTGTGGTTGGCGTACGACGAAACGCCTTCGATTTTTAACCACGATGCGGCCGCCGTGGATATTACGGGCTGTTCTTCCACGGTCAGCATTGCTGCCAGCGTGGATGAATGCTTCTTGGGGTACCGCGTGGAAAGTGCCTATTACAACAACATGGTATTGACGTGTACATGCAACTCGTTGGGACCTTCCAGTTGCCCCACTCCCGCGCCTCAGGTCGCTCCCGACTGTAGCCAAGGATCCAAGTCCAAGGAGAAGTGCAGCGGAGATGGCGGCGATGTCTGCTTCTCCAAGGATACAACGGTCAAAACGCAGTCGAGAGGAACGGTCCAGATGAAGGATCTTCAAGAAGGAGAACTCATCCTTACAGGAACCACCCCTAGTCACCAAGATATCTACGAACCCGTCTTTCGATTTGGACACAAGAATCAGGACAAGTCTGCTACCTTTCTCAAGTTCTACACCAACATGCTCGTACACCAAGAACAACAAGAAGAAGAAACCGAAACTGAAGCGGCTCCACTGGAAATCTCACCCAGTCACTTGATCTTCAAGCTACTGGCCAATGGACAGCAACTTGCGGTCCGAGCCGATTCGCTTCAAGTGGGAGACACATTGGTTCAGGGTGTTGGAGGACAGCACGCCACCATTTTGCAAATCAAGGAGGTCACCAAACGAGGACTCTACATGCCACTCACGCCCACGGGAAACATTGTCGTCAATGGAGGATACAAGGCGTCCACGTACGTTTCCAATACCGATTGGGCTCCCACCTTTGTCCGCACGCTACACGAAACGTTTGGAATTCCCGAACAAACACTCTTTCATTGGTTCTTGGCGCCATTTCGATCCGTCTGTTTGGGATTGAGCTTGTATTGTGGAGACGTCAATGAACAAGGAATCTTGAATTATCTGCTTTGGGGACAACAGTTGGCCATGTGGGTCGAAGCCACCGGAGTCTTTTGCCAAACGTGGATTGTCGCGCCCTTGTTTATTGTCTTCTTTGGCATGTGGAACGTTTTCGATCGGGTCTTTGGTGTCACCCTCTTGGCGGTCCCCTTGCTTGTCCTGCTTCGACGTTGGAAACAACAACACGTCAAACAGGACTGATTATTATAGTGTCACGTGCGAAAAGTATGGTACTCGCAACAAGCAACAACATGATGGATGGATCGATCGATCGATGGTGGAGATCTGACGTTCGACGTGGCGCTTCCGTACATATTCGACAACCTTTCTTGTATTTATTCTACACAAATTCAGATTTCATTTCTATGTTCATGCTGCCTTCTCGATGATGGGGATCAGCGAGTGCCGCTTGGTGCAAGACGAGGCTACTGCATCGTATCAAAGCTCGCAATTGAAAATGACAAAGTCTATCTTTTGCACCAGCTCTCGATTCCATTCAGAAGAAATTGTACTCGCAGGACGGCGGTGAGCTAAACACTACATAGGTAATACATGTACTAGTACAATACACACATTCGTCGTACGTTTCCTTTCAAAAGTACTGTATAGTCGTTACGAAAACGAGCCATCGACTCGATCGTTCGTTTGTCGTACTCGATATGCTAGCTAGTACTACTGTAGAAGCCTGGCATACAGCAAGTCGAGTCCATGGATCAAATGCTTCGATTGAGCGACGTTCTACACTGAGGATGGATGCCTTTGCCAGGTTGTGTTTCTATGTAGTCAACCATTCCTCAGCCAATTACGAGAAGTCCCGATCCGGTACCGGTACGATACGATACGGCACGGGCGATTTCTTGGTGCCATCAGATACCGTGCGGTACTACTGTATTCAAAACGCATCTCGAAGGGCAGAGGGGGGCAGCCAAGAAGGCAGCACAAGAAATCGTATCACACGTCGACTTCGGGGGCTGTCTATTGTCTATTGATACTGTAGCTGGCTAGCTAGGGTCGGAGAAGGCGGGTCCGGAGCAACGGAAGGAACAAGTGTGAGAAGCCAAGTTGCGGTGGATCGAATCGAATCAAAAGGTACACTACGTTCCGGTACGTCAAGATGGCTTCCCCGCCGACAAGCAAGCGGCCAGCAAAGATGGAGGCGGAGCGGAAGCCATGCACGCGAGCAATCAATCATGCATCATGGAGGCATCGCGATCCAACGATTTTTAAAGCTTAAAGGGCACGTAAAGACGACCGAAGCTGTCGAGTGACATCGTGGCATCATGGAGCACCTTGGAATTTATGAAGTGTCGCCCATTGACTGCCTGGCTATCTGCCAACGCAACATTGAACTGTTGAACTGTTGAACTGTCGCTTCTCTAAGAGAATGATCGAACAGGCTGCACAAGCTTAATTCCTGGCTCACGATCGAGCTGCCCTGCTCGGACGCATATCTGGAGTTTCAAGGCTCAGCTGCTAGTGCTACCGGTACGGCAGCTAGCTAGGCTTATTAGATGTGGTCTCGTTTGCTTCCGCTCCATCTGCTCATCTGTTGAATGGTATCTACTGTATCCTTGTTGTGGATTTTCAATATCCTGCTGTGTGTCATTCTGGCAATGCTTGTCACATCAGCAGATGGTACAGGTGGTACCGGTTCCAGCGAACCCCAAAAGTATGCACTGCACATGATTGACTTGAATGAGGAGCATCGTCGGTTGGTTCCCATCAGCGGATATGTCCAATATGGAGGAAATCTTGTGGGAGCCGATGATGTAGAATTTGGAGAGTCTGTTGCCATAGACGAGGCAGGCACAACAATAGTGGTCCATGAAGGACTAACTGGCATTGTTCGAGTCTACGAGATTGCTGCCAACCGATGGACCCAGAAAGGGCAGAACTTGACAGGTTTTCCTCTCACTATTCGTTTTCCTGGCAGTGGTCGTTCAGTTGCGATATCAAGTGATGGCAGCATTGTTGCTGTTGGCTCTTCCGCCAATGAAATTGTTATGGTGTTCCAATATGACACAAGCACAAACATGTGGCTACAAAGAGGCAGTGCAATTTAAGGTGTGGAGTTGGATGGATCACCAATTGAATCCTTCGGTTTTTCCATTTCTATATCAGCAGATGGAGAAGAAATTGCAATTGGGGCTCCCTACTATGATAGCTCAACTGAAAACAACATCGGCTTTTCAACAACCTATTTCTGGAATGAATTCAATGATGACTGGGAGCGTGACACATATGGTGGTGATGATGTATTCACCATTGTTTCTGGACTCTATGGAGAAATTAGAAGGGCACTTTTGGGGTACTCTGTATCACTCTCTGGAGATGGCAACTGGTTTGCTGTTGGAATGCCCGGATCTGGATCCTCTGTGTCTCAAGCCACACGGTTTGGTGAATGCCGTGTTTACGGCAATGTGCGTGGGGTTATTATCTATCAGTTTTTAGTTGAAGGTGGAGCAATGTTTGGCTCGGCTATCTTGGACTACTTTGGTTGGTCCGTGGTGCTAAACTATGATGGAGGCATCATTGCAGTTAGTTCTCCTGGGTCTGGAGAGATCTCTGTAGATATTGCTAGGGTACAAGTCTTTGAAAGAATTGGACAAACATGGAGGCAATTGGGAAGGTAATAATTGCGCACTGTGAAATTTTTATGCCCCATGATTTCATTGATTTCTGACCCCACCAAATTGTGTTACCTGTATACATAATAGTGATCTCATTGGAGATGAACAAAGAGAAGATTCGGAATTTGGGTGGTCCATTGATTTGTCCGATGATGGCAAAACCCTTGTGGCTGGAGCAATCGACCGGTTCGACCCATTCGGTGGTCGCCGTGGTTATGCTCGCATCTACAAGTTTGATGGCACTGATTGGGTCCTTCAAGAGATCAGCAGGGCTCAAGGTTTTGATATTGATGGAATTGGTGGAGGTGATAGGTTGGGATGGAGTGTTGCCGTTTCTGGAGATGGGACAAAGGTCCTTGTTGGAGCACCCTTGCATGATGTTCCTCCCGGTGGATTCTTTGCTGATAATGGACTTGTCCAAATGTGGGGACATACTGACTTTCCCACATTTTCACCTATCCTGAATCCTTTGCCCCAAGTTGGCAACCTAGGCACTGGAGGAAGCCCAACACGCACCAATTTTGTTAGTAGGGCATTCACTTGGTGGCAGGGTGCAGTCGCCTATTTGGAAGGTTTCTTTGTTTAAATGATGTGGTTGCAGCGACAAGCCTGCACAGCTGGAATACACAGGCGTTTCTAGGCCTGGCTGGCTTGTGATCCTGCCTCCACAAAATAGTTGATATTCAACACTGTTGGCCATTGAACAGACCAAAGATATGTAGGGAGCCAAATATAGATAGCTCCCTACCCAAGACTAGTATTTTAGACTTGTAAACAGCAATAGCCATAATTTTACTTTAGAGGGCTACTGCACTCAGATCTGAAGCCTTTACCGCTCTCGAGTAAAGCCTCGTGTACACGACGAAACGAAAAACCAACCATGACCAACTCGTTCTCCAAACCGATGACAGCTGAGCAAGAGCGTACTCTTCAGAAGAGCTCGCTCATGCCGTACCCTGTGGTGCAAGACGCAACGGAGCGCAAGATCGAAAATTTCAAGTACGCTATGGGAGCACAGTCCGGGTATTTTTCTCATTGGCTTCTTCGAAGAGCTGGACCTCCAGCAGACATGATCGCTCATGTCATGGGATACGCGAAAACGGTTGCAGACTTGGCTCTGTCTCACGAGCAACAAGGAGCGCTGTATCGCAAGTGTCTGACGGACACAGCTCTCACGGCCTATGACAAAGCCGTGACGAAGTACCGTGCAAGCATCGCTGCTGTGCCGGCACAAGGTGCTGAACCTGCACGAATGGCAATCGATTTCAATATCGAACAATGCCTCAAGGCCTTCATTGGGTCCCGAACAACGGAGGTTGCTCGCTACAACCATGTTGAAGGGCTTAAGGTTCAACGTAAACCACGTAAAGTGGAGTGTCACGAATGGGAGGACAACTACTTGGTCGCTGTCGAAGCAGCCAATTGGTTGCGTGGAACGCATCCCATTCCTGATGGAGCGCCTTTGCTCCGACACTACTTGGATTCTTATCCAGTCGCGTGGGTCACGGAATACGAAAAGATCTGTGGCAAAACGCTAGACGACAAGGAAATCGGTAACATTACCGCGTTTATGCATGATCGTGCAGTGGAAGCTGACTCAGCTGCACGGCGCAATCAACACAAACAAAAGTCAACAGTGACAAAAGGCAAATCGACCAGTCGCACTGCCAAGCACTACAAAGGTAGCAATAGTTCCCGTAACTCGTCTTCGGGAACAAAAGGAAATTTTAACCGCATTTCCGACGACACTCCATGCCCAGTGCATCCAGAGTCGACGCACACTTGGGGAGAATGTCGTACCAATGCGTATGGCAGTTACAAACGCAACAACAACAACAACAGTCGTGCTGCGCGTCCCAAGACGAATGCTACCACCGGTAGTGGTAACAAGAAAAACGACGAACAATACGCATTGGATGAAACGAGTCCAGGGTTCCAAAATTCCAACAATGGTAAGACATTGATCACGAATGATCCTTTGTCCAGTTTCACAACGCAGTCACACCTTGACTCACATCACTTGCATTCTTTCACACAACAGGAGGTGGATCCGAAGTTCGCTTCGATCCAACCTTCAGCTGCATCGAAGACGACAACATCGCCATCGCCTGGAAAGCTCTCTACGAGGACAAACCAGAGTATGCGAGAGTGGCCTTTGCCACACGCAAGCGCTTCTAATGAAGCGTCAAGGCGAGATGAACAAATGGCGACAGCCGTCGATGTAGCAACAGACGATCTGTTCGATCCAACAGCGGATCTAGTGAATAGACAAATAAACTCTACTAGAGAAGTGATTGTACCAAGGAAACCTAATCCATTAGCTTCCCCAAGCACAATAGTCGTCATCAAGAAGATAGGCGATCGTGATTCTAAGAAGCCTCTTAGAGCTTTATGTGACCCTGGCTCTACACGTAGCTACATCTACAAGCAAGCACTACCACGTGGTTGCGAAGTAAGAGCGTTCAAACGCAGTCGAGTTCAAGTGTTGCACACGACCACTCAAACAGACAAAGGCGTCATCGTCCAAGACATTGTAATGCCAGAGTTTAGCCCCACTAAACATGTCACAACCCCCTTTGCTTGCTATCTAGCTGAAGGACAGAGTTCATTCGACCTCATCTTAGGTCGTGACTACTTGGAAGCTGTCGGTATTGACAACTTCAATTCTAGACAAGTATTACGATGGACACCTAATCCTCAGTCTCCTGACACGTTCATGGAAATACCATACCGTGTTGCACCAAAAGCAACTGAACGATTTCGTGCTGTTCAGCAACAGTTCCTAGCTTCAATCGATGAAGACTATTCCTTCTTCTGTCAGGCCGAAGAGGAGTTCGATCCACTCGAGGAATGCTTCCAGAACAAAATCATGTCATCCAAGTATGAACAAGTCGACATTGACAGTGTGGTTGCACAATCACGTCATCTGTCTCAGGAACAACAACGTGATCTTCATGGTCTCTTGATTCGATTCAAGAAGCTTTTCAGTGGCAAACTTGGTAGTTATCCACACCGCAAAATGCATCTGGAACTTTTGCCAGGTGGTCGTGAGAAACTCAAGTTTCAACGACCATATAGTGTGCCTGATGTGCACCGGCAAGTCTTCCAGGAAGAACTGCATCGATTAGTCGACCTAGGAGTCTTATCCAAAGTTGAATGGTCCGAGTTTGCGGCACCAACATTTGTTATTCCGAAAAAGGATGGTCGTATCCGATGGATCTCTGACTTCAGAGCCCTGAACACCGTCATCAAACGCAAATGCCACTCTTTGCCTCGCATTCACGAAGTGCTCAAAAAAAGAAGTGGCTACGAGTTCTTCACTAAGCTGGATATCTCTATGCAGTACTATACCTTCGAACTCTCTGATGAGGCTAAGGATCTATGTGTGATCAACACACCCTTTGGTTTGTATCGTTACAATAGAGTTCCCATGGGAGTCAAACAATCTCCAGACTTTGCACAGGCAGTCATGGAGAGTGTCCTCCGTGACATTGACGACATCGAAGTATACATTGATGATGTCGGTTGTTTCAGCAAATCCTGGAACGAACACCTCAAGACACTTGAGGTTGTCTTGACACGTCTACAAGACGCTAACTTTACCATTAATCCCCTCAAATGTGAATGGGCTGTCAAGGAAACAGAATGGTTAGGCTATTGGCTCACTCCTCGTGGACTGAAGCCCTGGAAAAAGAAGATCGAAGCAATCCTTCGATTGAAAGCTCCACGTAACATTCGTGAAGTCCGTAGCTTTGTGGGCGCGGTCACGTTCTACAGAGAACTCTTTCCACGTCGGTCACACATCTTGAATCCTCTCTATGCACTTACATCCAAGTCGCGAGGGTTCAAGTGGCTCGATGTGCATCAAAAAGCTTTTGATCAAGCCAAGGCCGTCATGGCTCGGGATATCTTCATCCGCTACCCTGATCACAATAAACCATTCCATGTCTACACAGATGCTAGTGATTACCAGCTCGGTGCTGTCATCATGCAGGAAGGCAAACCTGTCGCTTACTACTCACGTAAGCTTAATTCTGCCCAGAAAAACTATACAACAATGGAGAAGGAATTACTCTCCATCGTTTACACTCTCGATGAGTATCGTTCCATGCTCTACGGCGCTAAGGAACTACACATCCACACGGATCATAAGAATCTTACTTATGCCAACCTCAACTCTCAGCGAGTCCTTCGTTGGCGCCTCTTCCTAGAGGAATTCAATCCTCAATTCCATTATATTAAGGGAGAAACCAATACACTCGCTGACGCCCTCAGTCGGCTTCCTCGTCAGGAGGGGAAGGGTAGTGAGACTCCTTTGTCTTCGATACCGACACAGTATTCTCACAGCCAGAATCGACAATCTTCCGCAAGTGAAGATGGCATGCCAGTGTCAGGGACGCCTGACGCGTATTCCGTACTAGAAGACGCGGAAATGCTTGAGTGCTTCCTCAACTTTCCGTTAGTCAACATTGACACACCATTCGCACTTGACTTCGACGTCATGAAAGGCGAACAAAAGGACGATGAACGTCTACAGAAAGCTGTCAGAGAACAGCCAAAAAGGTATTTCTCCCAAGTCTTCTCAGACGGCGGTCCAGAAGTAATCTGCTACCGTGAATCCGAAGGCGCAACATTCCGAATATGTTTGCCAGACTCAATGGTGGAAGACGTCGTACGCTTCTACCATATGACGTTGGTTCATCCAGGGCCACATCGATTATACGAAACACTTTCACAAGTATACAAGAACAGTCGCATACATGGCGCTGTTCAGAATTTATGCCGCACATGCGATGCTTGCCAACGTTGCAAGACTCTAGGGGCAGGATATGGTCATCTGCCACCTAGACAAGCTTTTGCCGTACCGTGGTATGAGGTGGCTGTGGATCTCATTGGTCCATGGGAAGTCCGTGATGAACACGGCAAGAAACATAGCTTCTCAGCTCTCACTATGATCGACACAGTTACCAACTGGCCGGAAATAGTCTTGATAGACAACAAGACTGCGTCACATGTGGGACGACAGTTCGAGAACCATTGGTTGGCGCGATACCCCAAACCAATGCGTTGTGTGTATGACCAGGGAGCAGAATTCACTGGCCACGCCTTTCAGGAGATGTTGTTGAAACACGAAGTCTCCACTCACCCGATTTCAGTACGAAATCCACAAGGCAACTCCATAGTTGAAAGATTACATCAATCTATAGCCAACTCACTTAGGGCTTTGGCTTATGCTCATCCTCCGAACAATGAATTAGGAGCACGCACGATGGTGGACACGGCTTTGCAAACAGCAGCCTATGCCGCTCGTGCGACAATGCATCACACGATGAAACTGTCTCCAGGAGCCATGGTGTATGGACGAGACATGATACTCAACATCCCTGTTGAGGCCGACTTTCAGTTGTTGAGACAACGACGTGAGGCTCGCATCAACTACAACCTCATGAACGAAAACAAACGTCGCATTCATTTCGACTACCAAGTCAATGATCAAGTCCTGCGACTAGTTCCTCAGCCCAACAAGTTGGACAACAGAGCAGAGGGACCGTACACTATCACTAGAGTACATACCAATGGTTCCATAACCATCAGACTTAGTCCTCATATAGAGGAACGCGTCAACATACGCGGAGTCAAGCCTTACAGGCAATGATGAGGTTTTCCTTCCTTCGCAGTTTCCTCATGTAACAATCCGTCGTCGGATTCAATATAATGCTAACTATGCAGGCTTATCATGCCAAGTAGCAAGCCAGCATACCTTGCACGACAGCATGCTGGCTCTC